ATAATAATATAATTATAATAATATATATTTCTCTTTATCATAAAAGTTAAAAAACATTTATCAAAGTAAGTATAAATTTAAGATAATAAATTTAAAGATTATCTACCAAAAATAGATTGATTAGATCAATAAATTAGAGCTAATTATATATTTTTATAAATATTAATGAAAAAAAAATAGCATTTCTTCTTTAAATATTTCTTAAAGGAAATTCTAATTTTTAATGATTAACCTAATAATATTTACTCAAATATCAATTGCTGTGTACTCTTGATTGATCCTGAAATAATTTCAAAAGACTTTACTGAGAAGATAAAAATATATCTAAGTATGGGTAATTGTCTTAGAATATTTTTTTTGAATATAAGAAATTAATAATAAATGCTAATTGAGAGATGATTTTATTGAATCTTAAAATGATAAAATTTAAAAGAGAAATTAAGTGAGTATTTAACAAGATTTATTCAAAATTAGTTGTAATTATTTATTGAATAAATTGATTTTACAAAATTAATAAAGTATTGATGAATTTTCCAAAAGCTTCATTTTTTGATGATACCAAATCAAATTTATGGATTAAAGAAGTAATTTAAGCATCAGATCCAATAATTAGTGGAATGTTGATAAAAAATTCGAAATTAGGAATTTAAAAAGAAGCCAACTACTTTATCCAGGATGGAAAATTAGCTTGTTCAAAAAAATATATAGATCTATAAAATGTTACTCTAGAGAAGATTAAAAACACAGGATTCAAATTGACAAAGAATCGAAAATCAGTTGAGTTTTATACTCATAATGAATAAGCCTTAGGAATGTGGTATGATTACCTCAAATCATTTTGTGTTTAGAAAGGGTTCAACAATGTCTATTCTATAAATAAATTGATTGGAAAGGGGAATTTTGCAAAGGTAAAGCATTATCAAATAAGCATAGGTGTACAGTGCATCCAAAAAAAGTGATCACTCTATGTATGCTGTAAAGGCTTTCGACAAGTTGAAATTTTAAGATATTCAAGTTGATAAGGTAGAAAATAAATATAAATAAATAGCCGGCTCTCATAAAGGAATTATCTATAATGAGAAAAATGGATTTTGTTGGTGTAATAAAATTATATGAAGTTTTTGAGAATGACAATTATATATTTTTGGTTTGTGAGTTGCTAGAAGGTGGAGAGTTGTTTAATCAAATGAAAGGTAAAGTTTATGATGAGAAAACTGTTGCTCATATAATGTTTAGAATATTATAATCAATTGACTATATTCATTCTGTAGGGGTTCTACATAGAGATATTAAGGTAATGAAAAATGATAATGATTTAGCCAGAAAACTTGATTCTAAGATCGAAAAAGGATATATCTGATTTAGTAATTGCAGATTTTGGTCTAGCTGATTTTTACAATATAGATGGTGATTACATGTTTAAACGTTGTGGAACTCCTGGATATGTTGCTCCTGAATTACTTCAAGATAAAATATACGATTACAAGATAGATATTTTTAGTGCAGGGGTGCTTATGTTCATCATGTTGACTGGTCATTCTCCTTTCAAAGCTAAGTCATATGATGAGATTGTGATGAAAAACTATCATTGTTAGATAGAATTCAATTTAATAAATAATTAACCACTAAGTGAAGAAGCTGTCCATCTATTAAAATCATTACTCGAAAAGAATCCAGAATTAAGAATCAGTTCTGAATTAGCTCTCCAACATCCATGGTTTTAAAAATAAGCCGATCATAAATTAATTTTGTAAATTTAGTTAATATTTAAAAGGGCTGATTCTTACCCAAGACACAAAAAAAATTCTTAATTATATGCCAAAACACCTTTGATGGGATAGGAGCTTAATTAGTCTATAACTTCCCCGTTAAGTGTTACACCATAAATGAGGAGCAAATCTAATACAGCAGATATACAAAGGGAAGAATAAAATTAATCTGCTTCAAGATAGTAGAGTTAATCATTAAAAGTTTAAAAATAAGAATGCATCTTAGAAGAAAATGATTACAATGTAAATGAAGAGGATGATATACCTCATAGCAATCAAATTAAAATGTATTAAATCTAGCCAAAATTGAAAAAGAGTATTTAATTAATTAGATTTAATAGATTAAGAGGAATTATAATAAAAAAACATTAAAGGGTCACTCTAATTTAAAGTTTGAATAAATAGTTTTGTAATAATGAATATAAAATTTATTTATTGAATTTTTATACTCTATATAGAAATCTAGAAAATTCTTCATTTTAACAGAAAAATACACGCAAGAAAATTAAATATTTAAAAAAAGACATGAAATTCCTTTTATTACTAGCACTAACATTTTTCGTTATTTCGTCAGAACAAATTCTAGAAGTTGATGGAATATTGTAATTAAGCCGTAGAAATTTCTAATAAGCTTTGGATTCACATCCAAGATTATTGGTCAAATTTTATATTGACACATGTGGATACTGGTATTGAATATCAATTAAAAATCAGCTAAAAAATGAAGCCTGTATTCATTTAATTGGCTTAAAGATTGAAGGAGTATGGATTTGTATTAGGAGAAGTTAATGTTTAAGAAAGTAAATCATTGGCAGCTAAATATGATGCCAATGCTTATCCAACATTGAAACTTTTTAGAAATGGGGAATCAATTGATTTTCCAAATTCTTCAGATTCTGTAGAAATATTATTTGAATTTGCATTGTAACATGCTTATGAACATATCACAAAACTTTATAATTAAGAAGAGGTATCATCACTATTTAAAATTTGGTTAGATTGATTTGTTTTTGAAAAGATCAAATGTTGCAGTTCTGAAATACGCATTTGATTAAGATGATTTATCATCAGTAACTTTGGATCACATTTAAGTAAAATTTGGGATTGTAGAAAATAATGTATTACGATAAGGTCATCCTCACAAATACACATTAATAAATAAGGATATTGAAAAACCACTTTATTATAATGGAGATGTAAATGGATTATCAGAATTCATTTCAACAAAAGGGTATCCACTAGTATTCTCTTTGAATGAAGAAGAATTCATGAAGGCAGAAAATGAAAAGATTCCTTTGATTGGAATAGCAGGATAAAAAAATGGAGTTCTTTTTAAAAGATTTAAATACATAGCTGAATCATATGTTAATTCAACTAGATTTGTTATGATAGACCCAAGTCTTGAATTATGTAATAGAAGATTTGAATATTTAATTAAAGAAAGTCCAGTTGCTTAAAATACAATTTATTACTATGATTATGAGTACATATATTAAGTATATTAATATAGAACAAAGAAAACAACTACTACAACATTTAATGATGATTCACTTGGAACATTGAAAAAAGCTGTTGAATCTTTAATAGAAGAAGTAACAAGACCAAAAAAAGAAGCATAGAGATTAGCAAAATTAATAAAAGGTGATGGTTAAGTACATAAATTGACAACAGAGAACTTCAAAGAATAAGTTTTTGAAAACCATAGACATATATTTGTTAAATTCTATGCCCCATGGTGTGGTCATTGTTAAACTTTAGCACCCACTTTTGAGAGATTAGCTAAAGAATTAAATAGGGATGATATAGTAATTGCTGAAGTAGATCATACAGCAAATCAATTTGATGATATTCCTATTGAAGGATATCCTACATTATATCTATTTAAATAAGAAGGTAATACTAAAACGAGAAAGGAATATGAGGGAGATAGAACTTTCTAAGGAATGAAAGCTTTTTTAGAAAGAAATTTAGGTAAAGTTGAGAGTGGAGAAAAGAAATAACCTGAATTCAATGAAATAAAGAATGAAGGAACAGTCATTGAATTAACAAGTGACAACTTTGATCATGTTGTTTTTAATAGCAAATAAGATGTATTAGTTAAGTTCTTTGCTCCTTGGTGTGGACATTGTAAAGCTATGGCAGAATCTTATAAGGAACTTGCTTAGAATTTGAAAGATAATTAAAATATTCTTATAGCTGAAATGGATTGGACTACTCATTAGACTGGTTCTGTTGAAATCAAGGGATTCCCTACATTAATATTCTTTAAGAAAGGACAAGATAAACCAGAATAAATAAAGTATTAATCAGCAAGAACAGCTGAAGCCTTGTCTAAGTTTATAGAAGAGAATAGTAGTTTTGTAAAGAAAGAAGATTTATGATTAAGTATAGTAATTCTAATTAAAATATAAAAACATCTTATATTTAACATAGATAAATATTAATTCAATAATCATCACCTCTAGAAAGGACTTCTATACAGCTTGGTTTTAAGAATATAGTATGTTCATATTATGACACATATGAACCTCTGATGTCACAAAGAGGAGGATATCTATGATATTATATATAATAATATACGGATTAATTATTCCTAGATCACATAGATTTTTCAATCCTAATAAATAATTTGTTTAGCCATCTCTATCTAAAAATCTTCTGCAGAATGCCAAAGTATCATAATGATTATCTATGTGAGTTAAAAGTGATTTGGCTTTTGGAACTCTAACAGCTGTAGGTTTTGCATAGAAGTCTTTCATATAATGCGAGCATTCCAAATCCTCATTTACATATCCTTTGCCTGTTGATCCAAATGTTTCAATTGCATATAATTCTCCTTCTTTCATTAAAGTATTATCATTTGATTTGACAATTGGAACACTTTTACCCCCATGAATATGATATTTACATATCAAATGTCCATTTAAATTTTTAACTGATTTAACTTTATAAACTTTTCCTCCGATTTCAACTTCATAACTTTCCATAGTTTCTTATATTGCTGCTCCAACATCTCCTAATCTAACATCAATTCCAGAATTTTTGATTCCAGTATCAGTTGCATCTTTAGCTGCTTATAATAAAGTATCATAAACTGGATTAAATGCAACAGTAAATGCACAATCTATAATCCATCCATCTACTTATGTTCCAAAATCTATTTTACAAACATCATCATATCCTAAGATTGTATTATCTCCATTATTTGGTGTATAATGAGCTGCACAGAAATTTAAAGAACAACCTGTTGGAAATGCTATACCTGCATTTAATCCATTTTCCTCTACTAAATATCTATTCATATTTTCCAATTTTTCACATATATCTATCAATCTATAAGTATAATATAAATATTTACTTATTTCCTGGTTTCAATAATTTAGCCTAAGCATATTATCTTACTTATCTATGACATTCAGCAGCCTTTCTTAATGATTATAATTAATGTTCATGAATCAAATCCTTTTCTCTCATTTCATCTTTACTGATTCTTGAAGACTTCTCACCCAAATATGGAATTTCTTATCCCTTTGGATAAACAGCTTAAGGAAACTATTTGGAAACTGGAATTGTTGGTGGTTGGGTTTATTTCCACTCCTTCTCTTCCCAATTTCCTAACTTTCTGATTCCAGAATTATCAACAAATCTTGAATTAGTCTATAATATAATTATCAATATATACTATGGGATCACCTTCAATATAATCTGGTCCCAATTACTTTTTCTTATCCTCTATTATTTATTATTATTATTATTGAATTTATTACTATTTCTAGGCTTCTTAATTTTATTATATTAATTAATCTAAAAAGTCATCATCTGAATCAACATCCTTCTGATTCTTTTTGTTATTACCTTTGGCTTCTTTCTTTTTATTTTTATTCTTTTATGCTTTTTTATTTTGATCTTATTGCTTAGCTTCCTCTTTGGAAATCATAAATTAATTATTAATAAAAATAATTCACATATGTGATTAATTTAATTATACATCAAATCTGGTTCGCTTACCTCTTGAAATATGTCTTTATATGTTTTTTACTTAAGGACTTGGTTAAATATGGAAATGTGAAAGAGGACTTAATTAAGTAGAAGTGTGCCTCTTTTCATATGTCCTTCTTCGCTTCTCAACCTTTTCTTTTATTTAATCTGTTATATTTGTCTGCAAAATTGGTTCCAATTGGAAATGCTCAGCCTTTCGATGTAAATATTCATTAAAAATTGAATCAAATCTTATTCTATATAGTTTAACTTCTCTTGGTGATCTAAGAAAGCTTTCAAAGAATTGTTAATTTGCCTTTGGTGAAAAATATTTAGAATTCATTAATGTTATAAATAAACTTATTCATTAAATATTTTATTATGATAAAAAATTCATTCAAAAAGCTACAATTTAATAATATCATTCTTAATATTACCAGCCGGTATTATAAAATGTTTCAGCAACACAAAATAACAAAATTGCCATAGTATAATAATAATATATAATCAAAATTCTAATATGTCTTAAAAAGGATCACCAACAACAGTATAACCTAAAATGATTAAAATTCAATACCTATAAAAACTGCCTAATGTTTATCAGACCCATTCTTCTTGATTTCTCCTATATCATTGTTTAAAATCCAACTCCTATATACTTTTTTGCATTTTACCTATGATCTTCCTATTTTTGATGCAGAAATAGCTTTCTAAGACAATTAAATAAAGTTTTTGGTAATCAACTAATCACTGATTAAGAACAAAATAATAATCCTACATTTTTCCAAGTTTTAATACCCTAGAATAAATAAATGGAATATTTATAAGCAATCCATGTAGTATCATTTCTTTGAATGATGCTTTGATTGATATAGCACTATAAGTTTAAAAAATATCATTCTTCTCTTCCTGCATGAATATCAAGATGTAAATAAAACTATCCTCCAACTTATTCTTCCATTTAAAGAGTAGATTATCGAAATAACTAGATAGCAAAAAAAAGAATATGGAAATATAGATCCAAATAACCAATGTATGGTTTTATCCATCTTTAATTAATATTTGTATTCTGATTAAGTAACTTCCATAAAGTGATATTTAAACAAGATCAGTAAATTCAATATCAAATCCTCTTTCTATAACTAATGTGTAGTATTTCCAAATACATCCAAAGCATCTGTTGATTTTTCTGATATCTTTCCCAATTCATTGTATCTGGCCATACTTCCAGCGTTATTTGAAATGGTTCCCTAGGCTGTTATTAATCAAACTTTCAGTTTGGATAGCATGCCTAATTCAGCCAAATCAACGTCATAAAAAGGACAACGATTAGATGTTAAGACAATTGCATTCTGTAATAACTTTTAATTCAATAGAATAGACAACTAAAGTAGAACTAGTAGATTCAGCAAATGATTAAATGTTTATACTTTAAGGCTATATCAAGTATTGTAAATGATTACGATTAAGGATTAATGGATTAAGCATTTGAAACCAAAAGTTATTCAAAAAATAACTTGTTTTGAAAGCCCAGCTTTAAAGATATAAATGATAAACTTATACATGAAATGGTAATTTACATCCCTAAATATCCGCAGAGCATTGATGTTGCAACTATTAATACAGATGTCAAAGCTGATCAAAGGGGATATAGAATGAGTAATATATAAATTTTTATAATACAATAGATTATCGATAATTTTTTTATTTTACTCCATCAAATAATATGAAGAAAACCAATAAATTAATTAGACTATTAAAAATTGTAGAATTATTTTCTTTTAGCTTTTATGCTCTTTCAAAGCTAATGATTCAACAATTAATACTTGATATTGTTAATATTTATTTTTTGATACTGATATTACATTCTAATTTTAAATTTATTATTGATAATTGAGGGGTCTGTTTTAATGATATTGTTAACTCATCAAGCTTATTTTTATAAAAAATAGCAATTTTAATCTTTTTGACCTTAGCTTTAATTTTAGCAGATTGTTTTATTCACATTTGGAAAATAATAATACTTCTTTAACTAATATCATTAAAAATAAAAGAATTTTTACCAAATTATTTATGTGATTTGATTTATTTCTTCTAACATTATTTGAAAAAAATAATACTTTATTTTAAACCAATTAAATCAGATCAAAAGAAGCAAATCAAATAAAAAGTTAAACCTAAAATTAGTGAGAAAAACTAATAAAATCAATTTTTTTGTTCAGTATAATAATCCAATTTACATTAAACCTAATATTCTCATTCTAAATTAAGAAATAATGGAAGAAACAACAATATTTTTTTTATGTTAACTGTATTAATATTACTTAACTAAAAAAGTTTTGGCTCCCTTACTTATTAAATAAATAGTATTAAATTAAAGATATGTTCACAAATTTCTAAGATAGTTTCTATCTTCTTTTATCTATCTCCTTATCGTTTAATCCTTTATGATTATTATGTATTTAAACTTAATTTACAAAAATCCATTTAAATATTTACAAGACAATTCCTCATACGCAGAAGTTATATAAGGGCATTTATGAATTCCATTATGTTAATAAATTAAGTCTTTTATCACGCACTAGAATAATCAATTATTCTTAAATAATCATTATAAAATAGTATAGTGCGTATTTTGTCAACTAAATAATTTAATATTTGATTTAACCTTTAATTCTTTATTTTAAGATATAATTTTCTGATTGTAAAATAAGTTATTTATATAATAATGCTTAATTAAGTTCTGTAAGTGATTGGTGTGACTTAAAACGAAGAATAATAATTGGAGGCAATCTATAATGATTTTTAAAGACCTCCAAAAATAGATATTGCATTAATGCATGCTGCTGCAACGAAATTTGCTAGAACTGATCCAAATATTGATTTGGACAAAACAAATGTTTGTCCATGTTGTGGATTGCCTACAATAATAGAAGAGCTACCTTTATGTTCATCTCGAAAAGAATTCAGCTTCAATGGTTCTGGAATAGCATTATATTTTGACTTTCTTGTTTTTGCAGGTGTCATAATTTTTGAGTATATGTACAATATTGCAATTAATGCAGAGCTATAAGTTGTGGATATAATATATATGCAAACATGGAAGGACATAGATGTGATAATCTAGATGATAGTCAAAGTGAGAAATGTTAGACTAATTTTTTCAACTTATTTTCTCTTACAAATGATGATGGGTAAATGTTTATTATTACTATTAGCTAATTGGATAATATTCGAAGTCTTTTGAATTTTATATCTCTTATTTGCATCTTATTTACTACACTCTTCTACAGGAGACACATTAATAAAATAGCTATGGAATTGGATGACGCAGCCATTCTAGCATCTGATTACTCTATTTTTGTTGAAAATATTCCAAGAGATGCAAAAGAAAATGAATTAAACTAGTTTTTTATGCAAGTCTTCTAAAATGAAACTGTAGAATTAAGGAAATTATGTATAGCATATGAAATTTAACCCTATTTAAAGTTGAATAAATAGAAATAGCTTAAAGAATCTGTATTAACAAAGGTCTTAGAATTAGAAGCAGAGGGCAAATCAATTCCTAAGTCTATTCCATCAAGATAAATATTAGAATAAGAAATAGCAACAATATCTAAAGAATTAGATTACATGGAAGATCATAAAGAAACTTTATTTGATTTTAGTGGTGTTTGTGTTATCTCTTATAATTATGAGAAATAGGCTGATAATGTATGTAAGACATTTAAATGTACAAAATTTTAAATTCTACTTGAATAATTGGGTTTTGAATAAAAGCATTATCAAAAATTTCGTAACAATAGTTTATTTGTGAAAAAGGCACCAGAACCTGGAGATATCATTTGGGGAAATCTTGGTATAACAATTAAAGAATAATATAAAAGAACATTAGTAACAAATGGAATGACTTTATTTCTACTTATATTAGGATTCGGTTGTCTTTTTGGATTATCTTACATTTAATCCATTGTAAACAATTATACTGAAGAAGGATCTCTTATAGATTCAATCATTGTTAACCTTATTGGAATTGCTTCATCTATTCTCATTTCAGTCATCAATGGTGTACTTGCAAAAATGATTGTTAAATTTGCAGAACTTGAATAATAAGCTACTAGAACTGATTATAATGTAAGTGTAGCATATAAAATGGGTGTTGCATAATTTCTTAATACTGCAATTCTTACCTTAATTATTAATCTTGTGATTAAGGATCAATCAGTGACACTTAATTAAGCCATTTGGTAAATAGGAGGTCTTAATTCTGATATCATGTTGATTTTCATTACTAATTCTATAGTACCATGGTTCATTCTCTTATTAGATGTCAATTACTTTTACAAATTATATGTCAGAAACAAAATTTTAAAATAGGGAGAAAATTGTAAATATACATAAAATGAAGCAAATCAGTATTTTATTTATCATAATAATAGAGCTTTTGAAGGTCCTACAATTGATTTATCATAAAAATATGCTCAGTTATCTAAGACTTTAATGTTAGCATTCCTTTATGCATCTTTATTACCTTTAGGTGTATGTTTTACTTTTGGATCAATTGTGTGTATTTATTGGACAGAGAAATATCTACTATTAAGAAGAGACTCTAAACCTGCACCAACTGGGAGTGCTATGGCAGAAGCTATGATAGATTTCTATATAGAATTGATCCTTATGCTTTTTTCTGTAATAGTTCTATAATATTGAATATATAGTTAGGTTGTACTTTGTGGGAATGGATTAATTATGATCAAGTACATACTCTTACTTGGATTCAATTAGGACTTTCCACTTTACATTATTTAATTCCTATTTAATCTATTTGTGGATGTATTGTAGATTTAGGAATTGACAATGCTACTATTGAATCATATGATGAAAAGTTCTTAACTTTCTATGATGATTATGATCGTCGTAATCCTGTAACAGCTGATGCAGCTAAAGATAAATGGATTAAAATTTAATCAGAGACCATTTAAACAGCTTAACCAAGTTCAAAAAAGTAATTTTCTCTTTAATTTATAGTAATGTATTAAAAAGTTATCATTAAATCAATCATGTTATTACAGGTAGTACAAAAGTACATCCAATAGAAAGTAGAGATAGTAAAGATGAATTGCAACAATTAAAAATCTGATTTTTTTATATGTTTAGCATAGAATTTTAATTTTTACTTCTAATCTTATAAGTTATTTATATATTATGTATAGTCTTATAAATTGACTTTTCACTTTGAATCATCATATATTACCCAATAAATATTGATATAATTATGATTATGGAGTTTTTTCACAATTTGAATATGCACAATCAATCAAATTATAGGAATTCTCATTTTTTTTTAAACAGGCTAATTAATTGATAAACATTTTATCTTACAAAGTACATTTGAAAATGGCTTAATCTTAGTACCTTATTTAGGAGGTTTATCAACTTTAGGTCTACATTTATTTAATTATAATTGACAAGCATTGTCGTCATAACATAATTTCAATTATTCAGGACATTTTTCTCTTATACATTATTATATTTCTTCATTTAGATGAATTCTTTTGCTCAATAAAATTGACAAAAATGACAATAAAATTGCAATTTAAATTAGTTTCATATATAAAAAATATTGAATAAAAAGACAATAGTATAATATCAGGCCTATCATTGTAATATTTTGCAATCATGGTTCATGCATATAAAATATTCATCATTATTAATTAAAATATATTGATTATTTTTAATATATTGTCATTAATCAATTTGTTATTATATGGGACCAATTAGATATTCAGCAATTTATTTCATATCATCTATGGTCAATAAATGAGTTAAATTATTATTATTATTTTGATTATCACATAATGAGAGTAATATAGCATTCTTTAATGCCTATTCCCTCTATTTCTTAAAATATATATCTTGAATATATTATAAAACAAAATTAAGTGGTTCTCCTTACTATTTCTTTACCATATTGCAATAATCATATAGATTTTTACCATTTTTATCTACATACAATAAAGGATCTGCACCATTTGCAAACATTAATTCTAATGTCTCTGTTGAAGTACACTTCTCTGGTGTTTATATATAATAAAGAGTTAATAAACTCAATGGTGTGAATCCATCACATATCTCATTAATATCATATAAGTTGTTTTCTATAAAATATTTTATAAGTGTTAGTCTGCCATTCTCACAAACTATATGAAGAGGTCCTCGTTTCTATTTATAAATTTAAATATGTAAGTTACGTATTTCTAAATTAAATAACTCTTATAGTCATAATTCTCTAATTAATTAATTATCATGAGATCTTTGAATGAAGATATAATCCCATTTGCTAATGTATGTCTCATAATTCTCATCTGATATATAATAATAACAATAATTATTTACGAACTCATCTTTCTTTTACTACTCTACAGCATAACTTGTAGAGTTCATGATTTCTTTACGTACTTATTGAAGGTGTTTCACTTATACGTTCTGCATTTATGTTATATAATAAATCTAATATTTTATTATAATTGAAAACACTCATTATAAATGAATTTCATATTTAATAAGATTATAATTCTATAAATCATTTATCTTAGATTCTATACAAATTAATAATAGTTAATTATTCCATAGAATAAAAATAATAATGAGTATTTAAAGATAATATAGTCTGTCTTTAGAGTTATTATATAAATAATGAATAAGATTTTCCTTATCAGTATGTTATTACTTGCATCCCTCTCAAAGAAACATAAGACTATAGATGAAGATAATGTATGTTTAAATGAGAAATGTGGAGTTTAAATTAATGAATGTTTTGAAGATTACGAATGTTTTGAAGCTATATCTGAATGTGCTCCTTAAGAGAACCCCACAGTTTAGGAAATAAAGGAAGTAAATTTATATTTTTTAAACTAGGCTGAGTAATGCGTTAAAAAAAAAAGTGAGGCAGCAGAACAATTATTGGAATGTGCATAAAAGAAATGTTCAAAGAAAGAGTTGAATAAAAAGTAGATGAAATTGATAAAGAAATTTATGAATTTTGTGTGAATATATATGTTTAGATTTTCAAAATTAGACTGTTTTACAATAAATTTTTCGATTAATTTAAGATCGTAGTTTTTTATTTTCTTTATGCAAAATATTTAATTCTGTAATAATAGATTTGAGGTCCTTCTTTTCAACAGGTTGGGGTCTGGGTGTTTAAGAAAAAAAGGTATTAGGCTTTCGAATGTAAGTGAATTTATTATTTTATTTAGCTAATTTTTGTAATAAGAATTTATCTTTCGTAAATCTAGAGATATCTAAATACCTATTGATTTAAGCATTTGACCATAGATCACCAATATTCATTGTCCCTTTAGGTTACAATAAATATGAAACCTGTTCTCTGGAAATTAGTGCCTTTTTAAAATTACTTGATATAAATATTTTCTTATCTTTCTTCAGTTTTGAAGGCAAATTTAAGATAAGTGAGTTCATTATCTTTCAAAAGTTCATTAAAATCCATTAATTTTTTGCTTCTTTCTTATTCAATGGAATGAAGTAATGCTGCTCTAAAGCGAGGACTGTCTTATCTCATAATATTAAATAATTTATATTTATTTAAGGACTTAGATGAGAGAGAGATAATAAATTTTTTGAAAAAATTAAAAAAAATCAAAATCTTTTTGCATGACTCAAGGAAAGAATAAGAAATTAGGAAAGAAGAAGGGATAAAAGAAAACAATTGACCCATTAGCTAGAAAGGAATGGTTTGAATTAACAGCACCTGTGCCTTTTAGTGCTGGTGGATTTGGGTTTACTTGCATTAATAAATCTGCAGGAACAGGTATTTGATTATAAATAAAATTTTTAGTTGTGGCTACAGAAGCAATTAAAGGAAGAGTAGTCGAAGCATCTTTGGCTGACCTTTAAGGACAATCAGATTAGATGGCATGGAGAAAAGTGAAATTGATTATAGATGATGTTGAAGGTACAAGATGCAGAACATCTTTCTATGGTCTTGATTCTACAAAGGATAAGATCTTCGGTATGATTAAAAAGCGATAAACTTTGATTGAAGTATTTAAGTTTATCATTCCTTTTAGACTTAAGTTGAAGCCAGATCTCAAGATGGATATATCCTTAGAATCTTTGTTATTGCATTTACTAAGTCAATTAAAAATCAATAAAGAAAAACAACATATGCTTAAAGAAGTCAAATCAAAGACATCAGAAAGAAGATTGTCGAAATTGTTCTTAAGGAAGTCTCCAAAAAATCAATTACTTAATTGCTTAATTTCTTCAATCAAGAGACTCTTGCCAAAGAAATTGGAAAAGCCACTAGAGCTATTTTCCCATTATAAAATATTACATTAAGAAAAGTCAAGTTAGTCAAAAGACCCAAAGTTGATGGTATAATTATTGAATTAATTAAATCTAGCTTAAAAATTGAGAGAATTTTATGATGATTCTTAAAGATCAAAGACATCCTAAGTTAGAAGAAAAGGATAAGCTGAAGATTAAACTGCTCTTAATCTTATTAAATAAGGAGAAATTGACAAAGAATAAGCATAAGTCTAATAAGAATGATATATTACAGTATAAACAATAGTACATATATATAATTATTAACAAATTATTTATTATTATAATTAATATCTTCAATCTGATAACATTTCAAAAATAAAGATTTTTTTTTTATTTTAATTTGAGGAAATAAGATGTCTTAATAAGCTCAAAAAGGTGGTAAAGGAGCATAACCTAAAACAGATGCTAAATAATAACCTGCAGCTTAAACAAAAGTTGCTAAACCATAAGAAACTAAAGAAAATGTGATGAGAAAAATTAGAATTGAAAAATTAATGGTTCATATTTGTGCTGGTGAATCAGGAGATAAATTGACTAAGGCAGCTAAAGTCTTAGAAGACCTTACAGGATAAAAGCCTGTATTTGGTAAAGCAAGATATACAGTGAGATCATTTGGTATCAGAAGAAATGAAAAGATCTCTGTCTTTTGCACAATCAGAGGTGATTAAGCAAGAGATATTCTTGTTAGAGGTTTAAGAGTTAAAGAAATGGAATTAAAAAAGAGAAATTTCTCTGATTCAGGAAACTTTGGATTTGGTATTCAAGAACATATTGATTTGGGATTAAAATATGATCCATATACAGGTATTCTATTAATATAATATCAATAGGTATCTTCGGTATGGATTTCTATGTAGTCTTATCTAGACCAGGACTTAGAGTTGCTCAAAGAAAATCAAGAAATTCTAGATTAGGCACATAATAAAGAGTAACTAAAAAAGAAGCAGTTGAATGGTTCAAATAAACCTTTGAAGGAAATGTCTATTGATACAATACAATATTACATTAATACATATAAATACATTTTATATGGTCATTTTCATATATTACTAGGTAGGTTATTTAAATTCTCTTACCGTTATCTAAACTGTTGACATAAAAATATTTCATTAAATAATAAGTTCTTAATTAATTATTATATAAATGTCACTTTTTTCTAGATTTACATCCATTTTTGGCTCTAATTAAACCACTTAGGCCTCCAGCACTCCTATAAATTAATAATTATAAGAGAAACTAGCATAAATAATTACTTCAAATAGTAAACTAGATCTTAAATAAAAGGGTGAAGTTTTGGCATAATATTTATTAGATAGGGATGGTAAATGATAAATAATTAAATTATAGAGCATATTGAGTTTTTGTTCTAGTTTTTAGAAACTAAGTCTAAAGATCTTCAAGGAGTTCAAGTAGTCCATTTGTTGGCAGCTTTACATTAACAATTTTAATATAATGAAATAATATAAGATGTAGCAATTAAGTTAAGAGAAACAAAAATGCCTTGGGTTTAATTGGAAAAATAAGAATGGTATTCTACTTAAACTGAACCTGACTTATAAAAGAATTAATAAACATAAAAGATTTTGACTGAATTTGAAGATAAAGCATAACCAGCTAGAATATATGCTTAATTGTGTTATGTTTATTTATAAAAATTGGCAGCCAATGTTGATTTATATAGAGCTGTACTTAAACTTAATTATCCCTATGTGGCAGATAAAGAACAAATTGAAGCAAAATTAATGTTCTTATGGCATTACAAAATACAAAATTTGATAAATTCAGGCTTAATATTGATTTAATATAATCCAAATTTAATAGAAATATAAGTAGCTCTATATGTTGATGTATGGAGATTTCAGAAGTTTATTTGTACTGAAATTGAAAAAATCATAGATTAATATGCTACTTTACCTAATAGTGATACATTAAGTTTATATGAAATTTATTGTGAAAGCATAAAACATTATGAATATCTTAATCAATTTCATTAATTTACTTAAAATATTACAAAGCCTCCACCTTAATGTTAAATAAATAATTCACTATTATAAGAATTCTTTGGATTTGTTACTAAATTAAAAGTGTTAAATCAATTCAATTTCAAAAAGTCTATTAAAGTTCCTAATAAATAAGATCCTATTATGGGTATTCCAACTAAAAATCCAAATGTATTATTTATATTTACCTTAGGTTATTAATATTAGGAGATCAAGTTAACAATTACATGACTCATTAAGTAGTGAATCTGAAGTTGAAATTGATTTAGGAAATAATAAAAAAATGAGATCTGACCATAATAGAGGATAAAGTACATTTCAATATGTCTAAAAATGATTTATCTATTTTTATTGATAATTATAATTTAATTAACTTTAATATATAAATAATTAAGAATAGAATAATTGTCATTAATCTAAGAACTCTGATAAATTGGAGACTATTTTATTGATAAATCATTAAACAATAATAGAATATGTGAAAAACTATTTGCTTTATTTGAAATAACAAATTCTGCTTAATTTGAATTTAATAACCGGGAATATATTGGCGGGTGAATAATATATTAAATTTATGGATATCACTAATTGTTAACATCCAAATCATGATTCTTAACGCATCAAATATGTTTGTGTTGATCCTTAATGTTCTATTCCAAAGAAAATAGGTATTATATATTTGAAATTTAAGGTTGTGCTGATTGTTTTCTTGATGATCATATCACTCATATTAGAAAAACAACTACTCAATTCAAAGATTTTGTAAATGAATCTATATTACAAATTAATGCAATTGAATTCTAATAAGCTACCAATTCACCATAAAAGGATTTAACAAAAGAAATTGATGGAGAATTAGACAACTGCATTGAATGTATTAAATTAAAATTCAATACAATTAAAGGAGATCTAAAAGGACAAATTGATAATGATATCATCAAAATGTAAGATAATTGTGCTTAATTTTAATAAAATATGAATAATGAACTTCAACCTTTTAGAACAACAATCAAAAATGATTTACATATTCTAAATTAAAATGAAATAAATTCATTAGTTAAATTTTATTAAGAAGCACCTAAAATATAAAAACATTATAATAAAGCTGTAGAATAAATATAAGAAGAAAAATAAAAGATAAAATAAAAAAAATAAAAATACTTAACAAAAATGCGTAGTATTATGCAAATATTACTAAAGGATTTCAATGAATTAATGACAACTAAAAATGTATAATATGATGATTACTGTGATTATGAAACACCTTAAAAATAAGTTATGTCACCTAACAAAATGATTAATCTAGTAGAAACAGCACGTTCTTCAAGAAGGTTTCCTATGTCACAAATATAAAAAAAATAATTCTTATCTGCTGTTACTAAAAAGTTGGAATGAAAATTTAGTTTATTTATATATATATATAATTAAAATCATTTATTTTAAGCTTTTTTATAATCTTCTTTACATCCTTAAATAATCTTTTTGAAATCATTTAAGTACAATGATATAATTTTTAATTTCTACATTGCCTATTAACTTTTAACTTCATAATTATCTTCTTCTTCTTCTTCTTTTTCATCTTTATTCTATTATTTCTTATTATCTTCTTTCTTTACTTTTTTATCATCTTTTTTATTATTTTCTTATTTTGTTTCTTCCAATTCATGTTTTATCTTTTATGTTCCTTCTTAACATCTATTAAATAAATTATCTATAGCCATTAGAATTCTTCCTAAACTTAAATTCTTAGATGATGCTTCATTTGCTGATGCCTCTACTAATTATTATAATTAATTTCTCTCTGCTATCTTTTCTTCTAATTTCTTTTAAAGTTCTTTTATATCATTATTTAATTATAATATTTCATGATTTTTATCCTTCTCATATTAAGTTGATTCATATTTTAATTTTTCATATTCTTTTTCCATTGCTTAATGTTCTTCTACTAATTTAGAATTCTAACTTGACAATGTACTATGTCTCTCTAATATAGATCCCATATCATGATATTATTCTGGATATTATTTTGCAACACTATCTAAATATTCTTCATATTTTTTCATTGAAGTAACTGTCTTGATATTAATCTAAACATACCCTTCTTTTCTAATTTTTATTATTTCTTTTCCAATTCCTATAATTATGCTTTCAAATCTTAAATTTCTTTTTCTTTCTATATTTTTTATCTTCTTTCTTCCTCTAATCTTCCTTCAGCTCTCTTCTTTTTTGCTTCATTATCTTATAAAAATTTGCAAAATTTAATTAAAGATTCTTAAATTTCCATATCCTTTTATCTAATTTTTTCTTCCTCTTATTTAAACTTATCTTCCTATCTTATATTTTTCTATTAATTTACTTCTTAAATTCCTCTCTTTATGCTTCAAATGCTTCATGCACTTCATACATCTTTCTTCTCTTTTCAAGTAATTTAGTAGCTGGACTTACAGTATCATATTATAAATGACTAGGTAATTTTCTTTTCTCTTATTTATTCATAAATATTATATAAATATATTTAATTTCATTTAATTTTTTATTCTTTCGATTTACCCAATTCACCTTTACAATTATCTATTATCTTTTTGAAATCTGACATAAATTATACTATTTATTTTAATTTCCAAGCAGCTTATTAACCTAAAATAAAGAATTATTATTAACTTTTTAATTCATAATTATCTTCATCATTAAATTATAAGTCTTAATTTTATATTTTATTATTTGTAATTTTATCTTTCACTTTCTCTTTATTTTGTTTATCCTACTTATACTCTTCAAAATCCTACTTCATTCTCTAAGTTCCTTCCTAACAACGTGTAAATAGATTATCAACAGCCATTAATATTCTACCCAAACTTAAATTTTTTGATGAAGCATCATTAGTTGTTGCTTCATAAACACTTTAAATTTGATTTCTTTCAGATGCCTTCTCTTCCAATTTCTTTTATAAATCCTTAATATCATTATTTAATTAAAGAATTTCATGATTCTTCTCCTTCTCATATTATGTTGATTCATATTTAAGTTTCTCAAATTCCTTCTCCATATTCTAATGTTCTTCAACTAACTTTGAATTAGAATTTGTTAATGTTGCATATCTATCCAAAATTGATTATAAATCATGATATTATTCTGGATATTACTTTATGATACTATCCAAATAATCTTCATACTTCTTTAAAGATGTAACTTAAGATATAAGAATTAAACTAGTTTACCTTTCTTTTCCAATCTCTATTGATGTCTTTATAAATCAGTCCATTATGCAGTTAAATCTTATATTTCCTTTTCTTTCTATTCTTTATATGATTTCTCTTCTTAAAACCTAACTAATGCTCTCTTTTTCTTTGCCTCATTCTCCTATAAGAAATTACAAAACTTTATCAATTCTTCTTATATCGATTTGTCCTTCTCTCTTATTTATTCCTCTTATTTCTTAAATTCCTCTTCCTATCTTTAAAATTCTTAATAAAAAAATATACTTCTTATATTCATCTTATTGATGTTCATATGCTTCATGTATCTCATACATCTTTCTTCTCTTCTCTAATAATTTAGTTGCTGGAGAGGCTGCATCAAATTATTTGACTGTAGAAGACTTTTTAATAACTTTTTTTTACATAAATTATTAAAAATGAATTTCTTGCGTCCTCCCCTAACTTCTTTTATAAAAACTCTTGCTGATCCACAATTGGAATCAGAACAATTTATGATTGGTAATGAATCTATTACAAGCAAGAAGGATGTGATTAGATAGTTATAAGAGTAAATCCTATATTTTAAGGAGGCTCATAATTTTACATAGTCAGAAATTGAAGTGATAAGATAATTTGAATCACTTCTAGAAAGCAAACATAAGAGAAGAACCAATGAAATTCATTATCATAGTCAAATTACAGATTTGACAAGGAAAAGGAAGTCAGAGTTATTTAGAATGAAGCGTGCAAAGAAAAGAGCTAAGATTAAGGTATATGCTAAGAAACTTAATGCAGCAAGAAATAGATTTCGTATATTGGGTTAATTCATATCAAATGAAGAGATTCAAATAATAGATGAAACTTTTGGATCACATGTCTTTAGCGACAATCACAATTTCAATCTTAAAATTGGAAGAGCATTAAAAAATAAATTTGGATATGAATATTATGATAAATCTCAAGTGATTAAAGAGATTAAAAGATTAAAGAGATAACAAGACCAGATTTTGAGTCGTATATAGGGAAAGAAATAAATATTTTGCATAAAAACTAAATAATTAAAATAATGAATGAATTTACTTAATTATACTATTTCAAAGTGTTTTCTAATAAAACATTCTTGAAAATTGTCATAGTGTAGTCAAGAATACATATTTCCTTGCTCACTTCTATTTCCTTAATTATTGTCAAATCATAATGATGTAATCATAATTTGATATTTAATAGATAATCTAGAAAAAATGAATGAAAATCAAATAATTTTAGATAATATATTATGAATTTTAAATTATTGAAAAGAAATACCATGAAGAAATATTAATAAGGATTAAGAGGGGAAATTTAAACTAAATATATTTACATTTATTAAGGCTTGTGTATAATCAATAAATTAAAATAATCTAAAAGAAAATGAAAATGGTTTAATATTTGATTGAATAATAGGAGAAAGAAGATGAGGTATTATTTATATATATATAAAGATTAAATTTACCTATTATTTAAATTAAATATTATGCTTAATTCAATAGAATGTTTTATTGAAGTACTCCAATTACAATAACCTTGCGATGGTCTTGTTTCAGAAGTGTAACAATTCTTAGATTTCGATATGAACAAAGTATTACAACAAGATCAAAGGAAGATAGTGCAAGATCCTATGTATGAAATTGTCACTAGTAGCTTTTAGATTGCTAATCAATTGGTTCAATTAAATAGAAGATCATTTATCAATAAAATAAGATGAAAATGATACATATATTACACCTATGATATAAGTTTAAGTGATGTTAATCAATTCTTTCATTTACATTTCAAACTAAAATTTACTTTAAGAATATTTTTATCTATTTGAAGTATTATAAAAAAAAATACTATACCTTAAAATCTATTAACCAAACGAATTGACATTATCTGCTTTAGAATAATGCTATAAATTTGAATAGTGCATAGATTGTAACAAAATCTCATAAATTAGCATGCTGATTTACAAAATTAATTAATTCAATTCAAGTGAAAAAATAGATCAATTTTATCAATTTATTATTAAATTTGACTAAAAAAAACATAAATTAGTTGATTCATAAGCAAACTTAATAATATACTCTTACTATCTAATCTTATAATAATGTTGTCAATTAGTAGAGGAGAACAAAAATCTTGAAACTGTTATATCAGTTTGTCTTAATATCAAAGAAGAACTTAAAAAATCTGATTAGAATTACCTCAATTAATGTAATTAATGTATCTTACTATCATACTATAAATTAAATAAAATAAATGATTTTATTCAATATAGTAAACAATATGATTTATAAAAAACTACTCCACTTGAAATATAATTACTTATATTAATTGTTAAAATTAAAGAATTTTAATCAGAAATTGATTTTGAAAAAGTAAGAAATTAGGTTAATAAGATGTTTTAATAATTCTTAGATAATAATTTAATGCATTCTGTTACTGATATTTTGATTCTCCTTAAAGAATTAAGTTAAAATATATAATTATATCCAATCAATTTTATATTAATAAATCAATGGTTTCAATTTAAATATAATTTAATTCTTAGAGCTTCAAATTAATAAAATATAATGAAATTAAGTAAAGACATTCATTAAATGCTCTTAGATTTTCCTTAATTACTAAACATTAATAATTATAATGATGATTAAATTACATTATTAAATCATAATCTTATAGGAAATGTAATAGATTTATGTTAATTGATTTTTACAATAGTATAACATATATAAAAATACTAAGAAGTATGTTTAGATGAGTTTTTTCATATGATTTTATTGATTATTCCTAATTTTGCTAATGATTCTAGATTGACTAAACAATTTGGCTAATTAATAACTTTATTATCAAATCTTTAAATAAAGGAAAGTTAAATTTTATAGCATTTAGCAATGTTCTTAAATTTAGAATTTGGTATTTTACCATAAACATAAACAACACTATTTTAAAATCTCTTAAAAAATTATAAATCAGGTATAATAACAGGAACATTATTATTTTTAAAAGAATTTTAGAGTAATAATAAATAAGAAAATAGATTAAATTTATGTAAATAATTAAAATCACTTCTTGAAGAATCATATTAATTAATTGATTCAAATTCAATATTATTTTATGCAATCCTTGAATCTTGTATAAGAAATTAATAAATCTATTATTATTAGATTGTAATTAACTTTTTTGTAGAATATAAACCTACTTTAGATTAACATATGTATTATTTCTTATTGAATTTTATTGAGAAATGTATTAAATAAAATGATACTGCAAATGTTGATTAATTATATTAGCTATTATATTAATATATTGCATCTAAGAAAAGTTTACCTATAGATCTTTGCAAGTAATCTTACAATATGTGTACATTTGATTAATCAACATTAGCAAAATAATTAGTAAAACTACATACTTTTTTTATGATTTCTATGTAAATGGATACTTGTACTATATAATTCATAAAAGATACAGTAATGGGAAATAATTAATATAAATATTAATGGAAAGTAGAAAATAATAAATCATTATTTATTATTGTTTCTGAGATTTTAGAATAAATTTAACCAGAATCATAATTTAAATTGGAATTAATTAATATTAAACATCTTTTTGAATTATTATTCTATTTAATAGAATAAAATACAAAGATGGAAGTAGATAAAGTTATTCCATATTCTTTAAGATAAATAATAAAAATGGCTTATAAAAATAAATTAGATGATGTAATTTATATATTTATTATAGTTTGTATGTAAGATATTGTTAATATCATTTAATCATGAAAATCTATTTTTGTTTCTTTTATTGGAATTATAATCATATGAAGGGAATAGATAATTGATGATATTAAAGAAATTTATTTATGAATAATAAATACCATTATATGGATATTTATTAGTAATATGTTAGATAGTTGAATAAAGTGATACATTAGAGACTATATTAGAGATGTTACCATAATTAAATTAGTATAATAATATAATATAATAAATAGAATATTAAGAACTACTCCAGTAGATGATAATTTAAAATAATTCACATAATTACTATATTTGAAATTAAATGCTTTAAAAGAATATGTTCCAATTGGTAAAATAGATATGATTTGTTAATCTATTAGTTTATTGTCTATATGAAATAAATTTAAGTCATTTCTATTTCTTTTTTTATTTTTTAACTTTCTTTTTCTTATTTTTATTTTTTATTATTTTTTTATTATTTGATTTTTTATTAATAGGATTCTCTTTCTTTGAATGTTTCTAATTATCTTCTTCATCTTCTTCTTATTCAATTGGTTTTTTCATTGTTAAAATATCATCATCCAAAATTTCTTTATGATCATCAACCAAAGCAATAAATTCTTCTTCTCCTAAATTAAATACTTAAAAATTATTTTCATTTTCTGTTTTCTGATTAGATTTTTTATTACTATCAATTTTCTCAGTTTCTTCACTTACATCGTAATATTCATAGATACTCACAATTTCCTCATAACAATCTTCAGGTATATCATAGTTCTCAATTAAATGTTCTAAATCCATCTATGATCCTAAACTAAGTTCATCTGGATCTTATTCATCATATTCATATATAACTTCTTCATAATATTCAAAAATTTCTTATAATTATTAATTGAATTACCTTCAAACCATTATTCTTAATCATCTATAATTTTTTTAATTTTCTTAATTTGATTTTATTTGTTACTCATCTATAATTAGATTTTCTAATTATCTTTGCTCATATCTCTAACATAGTTAATTTAGAATACTTGAAATTACTGATGTTTCTATAAATGTAATCAACAAGCTCAACAGCAAATAATTCAATTTCATATAAAACGTATATTTAATATTAACTTTATATGATTAATTTAATATACATAAATGATAACAATAGATTAATAAATTTAAGTATTATATATTAATTCTATCTTATTTTACATAAATTATTATTATATATATATATATATTAAATGTCCTCCAAAAATTACAAAATTATCCATTAAAAAATGTCAAATACTTCAAGATATCGTGATGATCCTTTATCTATTAATAACAAATATTAAGTATTTCTTGTAGAAGACAGCACAAGAGTAACAGATTTGATTGAAAAAGATAAATAAATCCCACATGTTTCTATGATTGATAGATTCTGGGGTCACAAAACATAAAAACTTACAGTACATCCACTTGTTGAATAGAATGAATGTTAATAAGATTAATAAAAATAAATAGATAAATAAATAATTACAGAAGATATACCTATAAATACTTAATTACCTATTTTGAAAAAGAGTATGAGTTTGAAGAAATTTAAAGAGAGTTTAATATTTGATGAAAGAACTAATTCAATACCTAAAAGTACTAAATAAAATCCAATTATTGATACTTTATTAAGAGATAGTGATATATTTTTGAAAAAAGGAGATCTATTAGAATAAGTTAAGAATTTAAAGAGATTGTAGGTGTTAAAGAATTACGAAACCCATCAGTAAATTTAATATTATAATAATAAGTGTGAATTTACCTGGAGTAGGTAAATTACCATATATTATAAATGACTATCATTCAAAAAGCACAAATCCAGGATATTCAAGGAATAATAAGGGGAATTTTTTCACCAGATGAAATATATATATAAAGATATTTTTTAAATTAAAATTGCATGAGTCGTCCTTCAGCTTCAGCTTCAACTTCAAGTAGCAGTAGAAGTTCAAGATCTAGATATGGAAAAGAAGTCAAAGAATTACAAGATGCCTTGAATTAAAACAAAATAGAGTCTAAAAGAGATGCCATCAGAAAAGTACTTTGAATTATAATTCATAGATTATTGATGCTATGACAAGAGGCAAAGATGTTAGTATGTTATTTCCAGATGTGGCAAAGAATATGGAAACATCAAATTTAGAATTAAAAAAGTTAGTGTACTTGTACATAATCAATTATGCCAAAATTATGCCTGATCTTGCTGTTATGGCTGTCAATAGTTTTCGTAAGGATGCAAGAGATAAGACAAATCCATTTCTTAGAGCTTTAGCTATCAGAACAATGGGATGTATTAGAGTAAAATTGATTACAGAATATTTATTGGATCCTTTAAAAGAATCCATAAAAGTAATTAATCTAAATATATTATAAGGATGAAGATTCATATGTAAGAAAGACTGCAGCTATTTGCATTTCTAAATTATATGATGTATCACCTGAGCTCATTGAAGAATAGGGTTTATTGAAACTTTTAGAGAATTTGTTGAATGATGGAAATGCAATGGTTGTTGCAAATGCTGTATGTGCATTATTGATTGTTCAAGAATCAAAAGGAACAACAATGTTATAATTGAATCCTTATACAATTTAAAAAATATTGACAGCTATGAATGAATGCAATGAATGGGGTGTTATATATTGTTTAGATGCTTTGGCTATGTATATTCCTGAAGATGGAAAAGAAGCAGAAGCGTAATTTATAATTTATATTTTAAGAATATTAGAAAGAGTTAGTCCTAGATTAAATCATAATAATCCTGGAGTAGTATTATCAGCATGTAAAATTATGATGAAATTTTTGGATTATCTTTAAAATCCAGAAACAATAAGATAAAATGCACTTAAAATGACTGCTCCATTGATTTCACTTTTAAGTTTAGGTAAAGAACCAGAAATTTAATATGTCGCATTAAAAAATATTAATTTGATTATTCAAAAGAGACCAATCATCATTGAAAAAGATATTAAAGTATTCTTTTGCAATTTTAATGATCCAATATATATCAAATTATAAAAATTAGAAGTCTTATCAAAATTAGCTAATAATGATAATATTCAATAGATTTTACATGAATTAAAAGAATATACTTAAGAAGTAGATGTAGAATTTGTAAGAAAATCAGTTAGAACAATTGGAAGATGTGCTATCAAATTAGAAAAAGCAGCAGAAAAATGTGTTACAGCTCTTTGGGAATGTTTAAAAACTAAAGTTAATTATGTTGTTATGGAAAGCATTATAGTTATTAGAGATATATTTAGAAAATATCCTAGAAAATATGAAATGATTCTTAAGGATCTTTGTGAAAATCTAAAAAGTCTTGAAGATCCGGAAGCAAAGGCCTCCATGATTTGGATTATTGGAGAATATGTTGATACAATAGAAAATGCTGATTCTCTCTTAGCTAATTTCAGTGAAAAGTAATTCTGATATTTAATTATAAGTTTTAAAGATGAACCTGCAAATGTATAACATTAGATTTTAGTTGCTGTTATGAAATTATTTTTATAAAGACCTAATGATGGAAAAGAATTAATTCATAATCTATTAAAAACAGCTACTATTGAATGTGAAAATCCTGATCTTAGAGATAGAGCATATATATATTGGAGAATGTTATCTACTGACCCAGAATTAGCTAAAAAAATAGTTTTTACAGAAAGACCAACTATTTCTGATTCCAGTTATACAATTGAAAATGAACTATTAGATAAATTAATAGAAAATATTGGAAATTTAAGTTCTGTTTATACTAAAAAACCTGAGAGTTTTGTTAAAAAATTAAGAGATGTATTAAATTCTAAAATTGCTGATAAAATCGATGATGTCTATGATTAAGATTAATTAATGGAAGGAAAACCTGAAGATTATAGTGATTAATAGGGAGGATAATCAACTGTTTATGAAAATAATTATGATACATCATCATAGATTTAATCTTAAATTTAATAATCATAAATATAATAAGTTTCTTAAAAAATTGATTTATTAGAATTAGATGATAATTAACCATAATAATAATAATAATAATAACCATAAATATAAACATAAATATAAACATAAATACCTACTTAATCTATTTAAAATATTAGAATACCATTTGCTGAAGTATTAACTGCTAATACTCCAGGTTCACAAACACAAGTTTAAGGTCTATCAATTGAAACTGCCTTCCAAAAAAATGGTGATAAAATTGTACTTGATCTAAAAATTACAAATAAAACATAAGATAAAACATTCTCAGATTTTGGAATCAAATTTAATAAAAATCCATTCAAATTATAACCTGATACTATTGAAATATAATGTCAACCTGTATTTCCAGGATAAACACAAATTGCTTAATCATTAATCAATACAAATGGACCTGCCTTTGAAGAACCACCATAAATGCCATATAAAATTTAAGTTGCTCTAAAAACTAATTTGGATGTATTCTATTTCTTTATCCCAATGTCTTTAAGTGTTTTATTTGTATTATAAATATTAATAATTTTAGAGTAGCACTGCAAGTATCACTTAACAAAAATTCATAGAATTGAGCCAAGCATAAAATATAGCCAGAAAATAAGAAGTCCTTCAAATTTAAATTGATCCATAAAGAGTATTATATTCTGATCATAATTTTAGATGAAAGAAAGGTTGGAACGCAATTACTTTTTCTTAATTGGAGTGAGAAAAGATGAAAGGGGTGTTGAATTACTATCCTATGCAGCTTCATTAGTTAATGGAATGCCATTATTGGTAAATGTAATCCATACACCAACAGCAATCAATTTGCAACTATAAGTTCCTCATCCCACATTAATGCCATTATTATATTAAGCAATAGGATTTATTTTAACATTAAATTGATATATATATCATAAAATCATCAAATTTATCTACATAAATAACTATCATATAATTCTTAAACATATATAAGGAAAATAAAATTGAATATTGTTATTAAATAAACNTATGATTAAGATTAATTAATGGAAGGAAAACCTGAAGATTATAGTGATTAATAGGGAGGATAATCAACTGTTTATGAAAATAATTATGATACATCATCATAGATTTAATCTTAAATTTAATAATCATAAATATAATAAGTTTCTTAAAAAATTGATTTATTAGAATTAGATGATAATTAACCATAATAATAATAATAATAATAACCATAAATATAAACATAAATATAAACATAAATACCTACTTAATCTATTTAAAATATTAGAATACCATTTGCTGAAGTATTAACTGCTAATACTCCAGGTTCACAAACACAAGTTTAAGGTCTATCAATTGAAACTGCCTTCCAAAAAAATGGTGATAAAATTGTACTTGATCTAAAAATTACAAATAAAACATAAGATAAAACATTCTCAGATTTTGGAATCAAATTTAATAAAAATCCATTCAAATTATAACCTGATACTATTGAAATATAATGTCAACCTGTATTTCCAGGATAAACACAAATTGCTTAATCATTAATCAATACAAATGGACCTGCCTTTGAAGAACCACCATAAATGCCATATAAAATTTAAGTTGCTCTAAAAACTAATTTGGATGTATTCTATTTCTTTATCCCAATGTCTTTAAGTGTTTTATTTGTATTATAAATATTAATAATTTTAGAGTAGCACTGCAAGTATCACTTAACAAAAATTCATAGAATTGAGCCAAGCATAAAATATAGCCAGAAAATAAGAAGTCCTTCAAATTTAAATTGATCCATAAAGAGTATTATATTCTGATCATAATTTTAGATGAAAGAAAGGTTGGAACGCAATTACTTTTTCTTAATTGGAGTGAGAAAAGATGAAAGGGGTGTTGAATTACTATCCTATGCAGCTTCATTAGTTAATGGAATGCCATTATTGGTAAATGTAATCCATACACCAACAGCAATCAATTTGCAACTATAAGTTCCTCATCCCACATTAATGCCATTATTATATTAAGCAATAGGATTTATTTTAACATTAAATTGATATATATATCATAAAATCATCAAATTTATCTACATAAATAACTATCATATAATTCTTAAACATATATAAGGAAAATAAAATTGAATATTGTTATTAAATAAACACTTTGATTAATTGTCGAATTTATATTTTCTAATATGGTGGTCTTGATAATTTTATAATTTAACTAGTAAATAAATATTAATAAAAATTAATGATTGGTAATCAACATTTATTGTACTTAAAGAATACGTGTTATATCTCATAAGATACCTAAAATAATTATATATTATAACCTCTATATATTTAATTGTATTTTAGACAGAAAATAATTAAGAAATACACCTTTTGATAAAAGAATATTAAATTGTGGCTTTTAAATAATTTATTATAAAAATCTTGAATTCATATATTGAATTACTGTCAAATAACAAAATGATTTAAATTCTATTCTTATCAACAATTAATGTAGGAATGTGTGTTTAAGAATAAACTTTTGTCTTCTTATTTAATAATTAAATTGTGCCTGATTATTTTTCAACCTATTAAATAAAATGGAATTAAAATCTAATTTCGGTGGCAAATCATCTTTAGATTTACATAAATCTTAGACAGATAAAGTATTAAACGAAATCAAATTAATATACTTCACCGTCACATAATTATTATTAAAGAATGAAGAACCCTCAATGTTTTTAAGCATTTTAGCTATAATTGTGCAGTTTTTTTAAGTAACATACATACTATTTAATCGTAAAATATGGCCAATTTGGATGACTTATGATGTTTCACGTTAAATAAACAAAATTTTAGGGTAATACTATGATGTAAAGAAGATATTCAATGTTAGTTCCATATTTTGAAATGGTTTCCTTTATTGGATTGATTTCAATGATGTATACTTGCTTAAGTTTAGTGTTATTGGGTTACATGCTAATAATTTTACTCAATTATCGTTTACAATCGAGCTTCTCTTTGATAGTGCAAGTTTTGAGAGCTTTAATTAAGCTCTTTTTATCAATTTTATACATGCCAATAATGGATTTATTTTTTTCAATCTTAGCATGTGATGAAAATGAAAAAGGAAATTCAGTTCATTAATTATATTCAGATATCAATTGTTGGGAAGGAACACATATAGTTCATGGTATTGTTTCAATATTTGGTATTTTATTTTTTTATCTTTTTTGTATCACATTTGCACTTCTATATTATGAACCTCGTTTTTTACCAATGAACCCATAATCAAAAAAAAATGGTAGATATTTAGCTATATTTTTAACTTATGAACTTGTAATGATAATTTGTTATACCTTCATAGTTGAGAAATAATATGATTATCTATTTATTTTGATAATAGGAATTGGAAGTTTTTTGGTTTTTTGGAAAATGCATGTTGAAAATCCTCATAACAATAAATATATAGCTAAAGCATGGTCTATTTTATCTGCAGTCAACATGTGGGGTGTTATTCTATTATGTTTTGCCAAATTTCTAGAAGGACAATTATTTTTTGGAACAATTTATGCTTGGTTATTTGGTCTACCTTTCATGACTGCAGCAGTATTGAAATCAGATAAATTAAATTATGAATTGTTATTAACTAATTTAAATAAAGTATCTGATCCTTAAGAAGTTCTTAATTTAACAGATTATCTAATTAAATTGCATAAAGCTTAAGACACTGATTCATAATTAATGATTGATGGTTTTCTTGAAATACATAGAGCTACTTGTGCTAAAGAAGATTGTTATTTAAAATAAAAACGATGTCAAAATCAAAGAATTTAAAAGTCTTTTTTTAAAGATCAAACTTTATCAGAAAGAGATATTGACATATTAATGGTTTTAGGTTAAATCTATTTTAATTAAATTAAAAAGTTTCCAAATGAAATATCCTTAAGAATAAGATATTCGTTATTTCTTTTTGATCTTATGAAATAAAGATAATAAGCCATAAATGAATTACTTTAAGCAGAATAATAGTGTCCAAGTTTTGATTAAGAATTCATAATTTATAGATATAAATAGATTATAGAATTTGAGATGAATTTAGCATAAAATGAAAATACAAATGGTAATTTAGATGTTGCAACAGAATTAACATTTTAAAATAATATGAGATAATTTTAAAATAAAATAGAGAGAGCAACATTAATGCATATGGATTTTTGGTCATAATTATAAGAAGATTAACCTGATTTAGGTAAAATGAATGAAATTGGATCTAAAATTAATTAAGCTATTATTTAAGTTGAAGAATTATGGAATAAAATGTAAAAAATGACATAAAATTTACCTAAAGCTATGAGATTATATGCTAAATTTATTATTGAAGTATTATAAGATAAAGATTATGGAGAAGAATTATTAGATAAATCTAAAAAATTATAATAGCAAAATCTAAAAATAAGAAATTAATAAATGATTTAACTTTTGAATAATGAAGATTTATGTTATGAATCAAATGCTATTATAATGGTATCTACAGCTCCAGAAAAATTCGCTTAAATTATTAATATAAATCTCTCATGTTGTAATCTCTTTGGATATATTAAATCTGAGATGATCAATCGTAAAATTAATATATTTATGCCAAGCTTATATTCTAAATTTCATGATTCATATTTTGATAGGTTTATGTAAACAAATGATAATAAAAATATTAATAAAGAAAGATTAATATTTGTAAAATTGAAATCTAATTATATTACTCCTTGTTTTTTAACACTTAAGATTATTTAATCACAAGATGATAATTTATAATTGGCTGCTCAATTTAGACCAACCAAGTGTTTTAAACCAACTTGTTACTTAATAGTAGATGCTGATGAATTAATTGATTGTGTATCTGCATCATGTATACCTATATTAAATCTTGATTATAAATCAATATCACATAGAAAGATAATGTTGACAGACCTTTTTCCAAATTTTAGTTAATCAAAATAATAATATTTAAGTAAAAATGGTGGAATTCTACATTATAAGCCATCTGACTAATAAATCAGTAATAAAATAATTAAGGATGAAAAAGAGGAATCTGAAATTTTCTTTAATTGTTATATGAATGAAATAATAAATGATACTAATGGAATATTAGCAGGATATGTGATTAGATTAGAAATTAATTGGAATGAAAAGAGTATAAATTAAGAACTTAATGTACATCATCATTAAAATAACAATGGTTTAAGTTTATAATTTAGATTTAATCTTCGATTGGCAATTTATTAGGGTGAATTTGTTGCTGAATTGAATTCTTAAAGAGTTGATTAAACAGTAATTTGGGATTAAGTTGATCTCTCTTCTATGATTTCATCAAATCAATTAGAAATACAAAATTCTGGAATCTAAAAATATTTAATTAGAGCTGATAATAATGATTAATAAAAGAATTAGATAAATTATGGAGAAGGAATTGTAATAGTGAGATTATTTGAGAATAGAATTTAAGATATAAATGATCAAGATATAATTTCAGATGAAGAGAATGAAGGTAAGAATAGTGTATTTGAAAGAAATCAGAATTAAGATTAGGAGATAAAAGGATAATTAGAAATAAATGAGAAGAATAATATATTTAGATCTAGAAAACATTTATCTTAAATTATTAATAATTATTAGATTCCTAAAGTGATTACAAAAGTAAATTGGACTGCAAATATATTAGCTATTATCTTAATTGTATTATCATTCACAGATTTTTTCATTATTTATGATTAATATGAGGATATTTATAAAACTATAGTATTAGTAAAAAATCAAAATTAAAGAAATGCTGAACTTTAAACAATTACTACAAGTATTTAAAATTTGTTGATGTTGAATATGGATGTTTGGGATTTTACTAATAAATAGGAATAATTAGAATATGAAAATTTATGGAAGAAGAAACTTAATTAATCAATAAATAATATTGATAGTTTGAATAAAGAATTAATGTTAACAGATGTGAATTTGAGTAATGAAATTATGGAAATGATGAATACTGATGTTGTAAATATGAGATCAAGTGATGGTAGTTCATAAATGTTTGATTTATCTGAAGCAATATAATAATTATTGAGTAAATCAATAATTATTAAAGATAAACCAATATCTTAAATTAGTTTAGAAGATGGTGATGTCAATTTTGTATTGTTTAATTCTTTAAATAGTTTGATATTTTAATTAAGAGCCTTTTCTACATTATATGCAAATGAATTGAGAATTAAATCAGAGAATAATAAAGATACTTTCTTATTAATATTAAGTATTTCAGCTGCTGCTCTTGGTGTTGGTTTATTTATATTATTAATAGCAATAGTTTCTGTAAATAAAACTTAAGAGGAAATGTTAGCTATATTTATAGATTTACCAGATAAAACTACAAAATATTTATTTAATAAAGCTGAAAATTTTATCTCTAATTTATAAATGGGAGAAGATGATGATTTAATATCAGAAATGGATGAATTAGAAAGAGATGGACAAGATGAATTGAATAAATCACTAAAAGCTAAAAGAAAGAGAAGAAAATATAAAAATACAAATAAAGAACAACGTAATTTTATTTTAGGAATTTTAATATTTATTCTAATAGCTTAAATCTATTTTGCATTAAATTATCTATTGAGTAAAACATTTTTGACAGACTTAAATTAAATGATACCTGAAATTAATGCTACTGCTAGAGCTGAAAGTTTCTATAGATTTGTAGATATAAGTGAAAGATCTTTATTTTTAGATCGTAATCAAACAATCATGAATTAAGATGCATATGAAATTGTCAAAAATAATCTAAATGGTTTATATAGCTTAGATTCATCTATTCATTAAGAACATGCATTAAATGTTGAAATCACTAGTTAAATATACTTAGATTCTTTTAAATAAATATTCATGGAATAACCATGTACAATAATATCAAATTTTTTAAATGAAATTACTGAATAAGAATGTCAAGTATTTGCTGATGGAGCAATCTATTAAGGAATGGCTGTTGGAATTTCAAGATATTTTGAGAATCTTAGATACATAATAACAATTTATGATTAATTTTGGGGAAATCCTAATGTAAATTTTACTTCATTAGCACGAGGCTTTGGAAAATTTAAGAACATAACCAAGGACAATGACAATGTAAGAAATTTCATCTTAAATCTAAATAACTTTAATTAAACAAAAGAAGCTCGGGAAATTTAAGATAGTTACAACAGAGGAGCATTTAGATTTCTTGTTTCTTCTATGATTGAAGGAATTAGATAAGATATGGAAAGTCATAAAACTTAAATACTTGGACTCTTTATTGTTTTTGAAGGATTACTTTTAATGGCATACTTTCTTATGTGGTTGCCATTAGTAGCCAAGTTAACAAAAGATATATGGAGAACCAGATCAATGATTCTAATGATTCCACTTGGTGTCATTCAAAGTATTAAATCTATAAAGACATTTATCAAAATGAACATTCAAATCAATGATGTTGATGTTTGATTTCTTATCTATATCAATTATCAATTAATTAAATTAAATGGAGGTGAAATCCAATTATGGATCGACCAAAAACTCACTTGAGAATGATAATATCTTAGCACGTATACAGACAGAACTTAAACTAATCATTTTCAGAGTTTTCTTTCTGATTTTAAAAGATGAAGATTAATCAATAGCAATTCAAATCTTTCTGTAAGTCATCTCCTTTTTATAATATCTCACATTTATCTTTCATCGTCAACTATATTTAGTATGGAAGAACTAGAAAGTATCCTATGAATTATATAAATTCTTTGGATATTTCATGCTAACTCCATATTTTGAAATGTTAAACTTTTCTAGCTTTGCATCAATGATGTATGCATTGGTAGGTATTATCCTTATGTCAATTATGATATTATTATTAATAGGATATACAAATATTACTAAAATCAACTCTTCATATACTTGGCCAATTTATGTCCTCAAATTGATTTTCATCTTATTTACTACTATACTCTATTTACCAATACTTGATCTTTTTTTTTAAATGCTTAATTGCCACTATGATGATAAAAATCAACTCATTAATGTAGTATTTAATTCCATATGTTGGTAAGGTTCCCAGGTTATTCATGGTATTGTAGCTATACTAGGGATAATTCTTTTTATTGTCATTACAATGACATTTAATCTACTCTACTTTGAGCCAAAATATAATCATAAAGATCAATTATCCAAGACTTCTGGAAGAGCAAAAGCCTTTAAATTTTTTTACTTTCTTATAATAGAAATCTCTTTTGTATTGATTGATTTAGATTAATTTGATTATGTTGCAATCTATATCATTTTAATAGGAGCATTTGTTACTTTCTATAAATTACATATAGAACAACCATTTAATAATGTTCCTATCCAGAAAATCTCATCTATATACGCAGCCTTAATGTTATGGAGTGCTTTATTAATGTGTTTTTCTCATTATTTGGAAGACATCATATTTCATGGCACTATCTATGCTTGGCTAATTGGAATACCCCTTATTGGATTTGCTATATATAAAAAAGAAAGATATCTTTATGATCTATTATTAATGAATATCAATAAAACAGAGGATCCCAATCAAATCATACTATTAACTAATTATATATAAAAATTATTATCAAGATATTCAACTAATTAACATTTTCACATTATGTTAGATGCTCTTATTGAAGTACATAAAAATACTTGTTAAAAAGAAGACTGCGTTTTTAGGATAAAAAAACAATTAAATTAAAGATTGGTAAAATTAAAGGATGAAAATATATCTCACAGGGATTATTAAATACATTTACTTCTTGGAGAGATATATCAAGGATATATTAGAAGACACTAACATAATGTGAAATTAAGAATTAATTATGCTTTTTATTTACTTGATTTTTTAAAATAAAAATAATAATCCTTAAATGAATTAAATTAAATTGAATTACTATCTCCTAGTTTCGATAATGAATTTATTATTTTTAGATATAAAAAGATAATTGAAGATGAAATTAATATTTCATAAAATGAAACTATTAGTGGTAATTTAGATGTTGCAACAGAATTAACATTTTAAAATAATATGAGATAATTTTAAAATAAAATAGAGAGAGCAACATTAATGCATATGGATTTTTGGTCTTAATTATAAGAAGATTAACCTGATTTAGGTAAAATGAATGAAATTGGATCTAAAATTAATTAAGCTATTATTTAAGTTGAAGAATTATGGAATAAAATGTAAAAAATGACATAAAATTTACCTAAAGCTATGAGATTATATGCTAAATTTATTATTGAAGTATTATAAGATAAAGATTATGGAGAAGAATTATTAGATAAATCTAAAGTACTTTAAAATCAAAATAATAAAATGAAAAATAAATAAACTATTTAAGTTTTTAGTAGTGAAGATATTAATTTTGAACCATTACCTACTTTGTTAGTATCTACTTCATCAGATAAATTTGCTTAGATAAATAATTTAAATTTAAGTATTTGCAATTTATTTGGATATCACAAAACAGAATTGATTAATAGAAAAATAAATTTATTGATTCCTTAAATTTATGCTAAATTTCATGATAATTATATGGAAATGTTTATGTAGAATAATGATTAACAAAAACTTACAAAGGAGAGATTAGTTTATATAAAATTAAAGTCAGGTTATATTCTTCCTTGTTATATTTATATGAAAGCATTATAATCAATTGATGAAAATATTTTAATTGCTGCATAATTTAGAACATTACGTACTTTTAAAGCAGGATGCTATTTAATATTAGATAGTGATGATGTAATTGAATGTATTTCTTCATCTTGTATTTGTAATTTATTTATAGATTAAAAGATGATTAGTCATAGAAAGATCTATTTTCATGAGTTGTTTTCAAATTACAATAGAAATGATTATTTAAATAAGACAGGTTGTGTAATTAGTTTAAACTTATAATCAAATATAGTTTCTAATTCTAATTATCTTTAATATTATATTAGCGATTTAGAAGATTAGACTTAGATATTATTTTAAATTTAAATAACTGAAATTTCAAATGAACATTAAGATTAAGTAATGGGATATGTTATAAAATTAGAGAAAGTGTAAAATGAATAGAGTTAAATTTTAAGTCCTGATGTACAATAATAATTAGTAGTACCAAATACATTTATGAGTAATTTTTAATTTAAATATTATCCTTCAAAAGCATTATATATTGGTGAGAATCAAGAAGAAGGTAATTCGGCTAGAGTTGATTAAACAGTAATTTGGGAGTAATCTTCTAGATTGAGTGAAGAAACTTAAGCTGAAAAGAAAGAAAAGGTTGAAGAGTTGAAAGTTGAAAAAATAAATTATGCAGAAGGGATAAGAACATTAAAATTATTTGATAATAGGATTTAAGATATTGATGATATTAGAATGAGTTTTTCTGAATCTGATGAAGTTTAACATTCAAGTGTATTTTAAAAAAATTCAGATAATCCAGAGGAAATTGAATAAGGTTAAAGGAATAATGTATTTAGAAATAGAAAAGCATTAAATTCTACAATAAATGATTAATAAAGACCAAAAGTAATAGTTTATTTAAGTTGGACTATTAATATTTTAATGATAACTGTATTAACATTATCATTTACATCCTATTTTTTAGGATTATTTTTATTTGAAAATGTTTAAAATTCATTAAATCTTATTGAATATGCAAGTTTAAGAAATCAAGAATGTAGTCAAATTGTAATGAATGTTTAGAATTTAGAAATGTTAAGGATTGGAATTTGGAATATGACTGAATCTGAAGCTATAATTTATGAAGCAGAATAAAGAACTGAATTAAATAATTCAATTTTTGCATTAACAGATGCAAATAAAAAAATAATGTTGAATGATCTTTATATTAATGAATAAATAGAAGAATTACATTCTAAAAGTGTTGTTAATGTAAGGATTTCAAAAAATAGTTTTTCTAATTATGATTTAATTGAAGCTACTTAATAAATAATTAGTAAAGCACTTTTAGTTAGAGATAAACCATTATAAAATTTGACATTAGATGATGAAGATGCAACATTTATAACTTATAATTTATAGAATGCAATAATATTTTAATTTAGAAATGAGACAAACTAATATTCTTATGGAATATAGAATTTGACAGAAAATAATGTTAATATCTTTTTTATATTTATGATAGTAGCAGCATGTTCTTTTTTTATTTAATTAATAATGATTGTGGTTTTAATTATATAGATAAATTAGATATAAGAAACAATATTACAATTATTTATGGAGATTCCAGAAAAAACTGTAAAATATTTATATAACAAAAGTGAAAATTTTATATCAAATTTATAAGTAGGGGAAGAGGAAGAAGTATCTTCTGATTTAAGTGATGAAGAATAAGATTAACATAAAGAATTAAGTAGAACTTTAAATTCAAAAAGAAAAAAAAAAATCTTTAAAAATACAAATTCATTTCATCGCTCATAAATTTTAATAATTACTTTTATTCTTTTTACTTTTTAAGGATATTTCTTATTAAATTATTTCCTAAATTAAATTACTTATAATAATTTAAAATAATAGATACCAGAATTAAATGTTACAGCCAGATGTGGATCATATTATAGATTTGTTGATAATTGTGAAAGATAATTATTTTTAAATCCAGAAGAACCAATACTTTTAGAGAATGCATACTCAGTAGTTATGAATAATATACAATTAAATTATGAAGTTGATTCAGATTTACATTAAGAACATGCTAAGAATTCTGAAATATAGAATTCTAATTATTATGATACTTTCTAATCTATTTTTATGTTAAATCCTTGTAATACTTTTGTATAAAAGGGATATACAACAATTGAATATTGTGAAACATTTGCAAATGGTTCAATTTAATAAGGGATGGCAGTAGCAATAGCAAGATATTTTGAGAATGTTAGGTACATAATGACTATTTATGACATGTTTTATGGACATCCTGAAGTTAATTTTAGTGTTGCTGCTAGAGGTTGGGGTAGATTTAGAAATATAACTAATGATTCTGATAATGTAACTAATTATATCTATAATTTGAATAATTTCAAATAGACTACAGAATCACGTATTATGTAAAATATCTTTTTAAAAGGTAACATAAATTGATAATTTTATATAGTTGCTTTTCGTTATTTACTTGATTAATTCTTAACAGCATTAAAATAAGATATAGAAATAACACAAACCTAGTTATTAGCAATATTCATAGTTTTTGAAGTTTTACTATTTTTTATATATTTCATAATCTGGTTACCAGCTTAAATGAAAATGACAAGAGATATTTGGAGAACTAAAGGATTGATTATGATGATTCCTTTGCGTGTGATTTAGAAGATTAAAACTATTAAAGAATTCATTAGTTTTTTGGTTCATAGTTAAGATAAATGATATATAATAATTAGAAATCAAATTTAATATGTATAAAAAATAAAATATTCAATAATTTTTATTAAAATGAATAATTTACATTAATTTGATAGATCATTGTTAACTGTTGACATTTTAGGTGCTCAAACAAAATAAAAGAGTTCATATTTAGATAAGATCAATCCATATGATATTCGTTAAAATAATAACTTAAAATTACAGTTAATCTCTTACACTAATATTTTCTAGATATACAATTCCTAAGCAAGATCCTCAATATGGTCGTAAAAGATATTAACATGATTTTCATCATTTTAATAATAGTTGTGTTCCTTAAGGAGAGAATTATTTTGATGGTTCACATAAAAAGCATTACAATCTACAAGAAGGAGAAATCAAATAATATCGAGCATTAGAAAATTATTATGATTAACCTAAGTATTATTAAATAATATGAGGAAATCTATAAGGGGATAGATTACTAGCTACAAATGATATAGAAGGAGCCATTCCTGGAACATCAACAAGTAAAGTTGTTAGAAACTAAGAGAAAGCCTAGAAATTAAGATAAGAAAGAGATCACTTAAGAGCTTAAAATAACAAAGCCCTTTATCTTTCTTAATTGGAATCCAAAATAGATCATTAATCTGAAAGTGAAAAACAACCTTAAAGGATAAAATCATATTCTATTTCACCTACTCCTTAAAATTAAATATTTGAAAATAAGATAACTGAACCTTCATAACCTAAATATGAATATATGAATAAACCTTTGAAACTTCCACCAATTCAAAATAGAGAAACACCTATATCAATCAATCCAATATCTAATAAATTGTAATTACACTAAAATTAAAAAAATTATCTTCTATAAGATTATGATAAGACATTATCAATGTTACAATAAAATTTACCAACGAGATTGTATGTATGATCATATTCGATTATTTATATGATCATAATAGACTAAATGATTATCTATTTCTCTTTAAATCTTTATCTAGGTTTGTTATAAATATCCATTTTATTTTATTTATTTATTTAAAAATAGTTTGTTAGTTTCTTTATATTTCAAAATTTTGATTAAGTATATATAAGTTATCATATATATATATATATTATTTACATTGTTTTCATTTGTTAATTTTATAAATTTAATGTTAAAATAATTAGAAGATGCTCTCATTAAATTAGAAGTATATTATAATTATAAATAAGGAAACTTCGAATAATTGTTTCAAAGTACTTGAAAAAGAGAGACAAAATAGAATCAAGATCACAACAGAAATTGAATAGACTTAGTAAGAATTAGAGGAAATACTGAATAATGAAGAATAAATGATTAGAAATATAATTGCTGTTGAATTGGAGAAACCTGTTTAAATAGGAACAAAATTTCAAGCAAAATTAATCAAATAAATAGAAGTAGCTAAATTTAAACATGTGGAAAGAACAAATATGGTAGATGAATTATTAGAAACTAATACAAATTTAAGAATGGAATTACATTAATTAGAAAAGTAGTTATAAAGATCTTAAGCTTAAGTTTAAGATTTTGGTAATTAATTAAGTCAAAAATAAACTGAATTTCTTGATTTATAGATTTTATAAGCAGCTAAACATAAGGAATTAAAAGAATTAATAGAAGAAGTATAAGAAATGAAGGAATTATTATAAAAGGTTAAGGAAGTATAGTATACATTAAATAAAGTAATTGGTAAGAATAATAATAATAATAATAATAATAATAATGAATTTAGTAAAACAAATTCAACTGAAGAAGCATTCAAATTAACTTAATCTAAACGATCTGTAAATGGAAATTCTTTAAATAATGATTATTAATAAGATAAAAATGAAGAATTTTGGTATACATTACCTCCTACTCCACCTTTAAAATTGCCTAGAATAAAATGATGATTTCATATAAATTATTTTATCATTTTCCAATAATATATCCAATTACTAATGCAATTATTACGAAAATTAATGCTTATTTTGTATTTATTGATTCTATATATATATATATTTTAATAAAAAATACCTTTCTTCTATAAACTATTGAATTACTCCTATTAAACTTTTTATTTAAAGAATTAATATTCTTAAGACTAAGAAATATTTATTTTATTACTAATTTTTCAAGTTGATCCTTATATTGTTTCACTAATTCATCTTTTTAATTATCATCTTTGATAGATTTGAACATTCTTGATTCAGAATGAGATGAATTAAATACACTAGATTCTAATATCTTAGAATCACCTGTAGTTTATTATTATTATTATTGATTCTATTGATCTTGAGGATTTTGATATTTCAATTTACTCTTAAGTTAAGTTGTTTGAATCGTTGATTAGTCTCTACTTCTCCAAAATTAATTCAAATCTCAGTTAGATTCACACAATGTACCTTATTCATTTGAATCTCTAAGACAAGCATTTATTTAGAATTTTGCATCAAACTTTTAATCTAATCCAATTGCTTAAGTTGTAGATATTTCAATAATTTATGATTGATTCCCATCAATAAATCCTACACTTGGTTTGACTTAAAACATTTAAGGAACTGTAGTTTTTATCTAAAATATTATAATAGATCATTTTACTTTAAAAGCAATTTGTTAAGACTATACATTATATAGTGTTAATTAAGCATGAGCAAATCTATTCTCTTCAGCCATAAATTCCAATATAATTTTTGGATCTATCTCAATTATTCCTTACATTGTTTATTAAAAATTTTGAAAAAACAAAATAAATTTATAATTATTCTTTTCTATTTATAAACATTTTATATTTCTTCATCTATTATATATTATAATAATTATAGAAATTCATTAAATATAAATCTATTATTTATTATTTAGAATATACATTAATTATAATATTAATAAATAATAGAATTCAATCATGTATAATAATCTACCATTTTGTCCAACACATAGCTATTAAATCCTAAATTTACTAGAATTAAGAAAAGAAGATGCAAGATTAATTTGTGGCAGTTGTCTTCTAAATCTAATTAAAACATAATAATAATTTGATGCTAATAAAATTGTAGATCTTGTTTAAGTTAAACTATCATTGTTATTTAGATAAATGATCATCCAGAAAAAGCCTTTTAATTTACAGATATAAAAGATAAAACAGATTTAGTTAAATTCTTAAATGATTAAAAAGAACAATTGGAAGTAATAAAATAAGCAATTGATAACTTATTAATTTAATTAGAATAGTGGCAATCGGAATTATTGTAAGAATAGAAAACTAATTTTCATAATGTATTTAAATATTATAAGATAAGATAATCAAATTAGATGAATTTAAATCAAACTTTTAATTACTTGTAAATCAAAATAATAGTTTTAAGATTGAGATCATTTAATAAATTTAAAATAAATTTTACAATTATTTTTAATCTATAAAGGTAATGAATTAAGTGGCTAAATAAGAAGATTTACAAAATTTAGAAGAACTATATGATAAGATATCTAAAAAGTATTTTATGTGTTTATTCTAGAGTTTGTAAAAGTGAGAAATTTGAAGATATATTTACATTAATAAATAAGGTGGAACTAGATTATGTTAAATTTTCAAATCCTTTTTGGAAGTTATTAATGAATACTATTTAAAACAATGTTAAAAGATAAGTATCATAAAAAAAACCAATTTATCGAAGCTTAGAAAAAGGATTAACATTTTAAGCAATTAGGAATGTGATAATTGGAAAGGAAAATTTACTTTGGTTTTTTAAATCTTCTAATAATACTGAATTTGGTGTATTTACTCCATATATTTGGCATGAAAGTGGGTATTCTGGAACTACTGAAAACAATCCTTCTTTTTTATTTTCGAAGAATTTAAATTAAATTTATCCAATTATATAAAATATGGGAAATTATACATAATGGTTTAATCATAACTAATATCTTTTATTTGGAGGTACGGGTAATTCTGATTAAGATTTAAGAATAAATCCTGATTTTAAATCAGGATATTCTAGATTAGGAGTTGTATATAAAGCCCCTGCAGGTGTTGACACTTCAAAATATTCAACACATCTATTAGGTGCTATGGAACCAAATGTTGTTGAATGTGAGATTTATTAAATAATTTATGAATGAGACTTAATTATCAAAAATTTAATAATAGTTAAAAAATGATATTTAAATAATTTGTGTTGTAATTTAATAAAATAAGAGCCAAATTTATAATAATTCATTCATTATGATAAAATCGATGTGTATCATCATTTTTCAATATAAAAAATATTTCATTTAATAGTTCAAATTTAGTAATTTAGATATTTTTAATGGTAATTTCAATAAAATTACATTTTATAATCATTAAAGACTTAATTGATTGCTAATTATTATTACCTATAATATTAATTATAGTTTTTATAAACTCCTTATTAAGTTTTCAATTAAATCTATTTATTTATTAACATTATTTAACATTTTATATTATAATTGTAAATATAATATTATCTATATTCATCTCCATGATTGTAATTTGATATATTTCATAAAATCTATCTATTTTTAATGTAATTTTATAAACTAACAAATAATACTTTACTCTTTCATTTATATAAGCAGTTTATATTTTTGTAGTTCCATAGCACTAGTAATTAGTTAGATTGCTTTGTCAAATACATCAAGATTGACAAATTGAATTACAAAATTATAATGAATATCTGATTTATATCTTTGATATGATTTGTTTCAAATGCTTGACAAAGATCAACAATACTTTTTTGAATACTTAATTTTTATAAAATGAAAGTACTCTCCTGTAATAAATATATGCATCATTAAGTTTACTATTCAAAGCACTAGTTAAATAAATTCTCGCTTTTTTAATATTCTTTATTGTCAATAAGAATTTTTTAACTTTAAAAAGAATTTTTTAACTTTAAAAAGAATTCTTGAATATGAAGAGATTCCTTTATCACTTTATTTAAATCAAATAAGGGTTTGAAATAGTTTTCTTTAATATCTAAATTTATCCGAGTTGAATTCAAGACTATACTAGAAATCTTGAAATCTTTGATGGCATCGTTGATATCATATATTTCAATTTTTGGCGATGATCTTTGATGAATATTTCATTTTTTTTAATAATCTTAGTAATTCTGAATTTTTGGGCATCAATTTAATTGCCTTTATTTCTATTTTAATTCTAATTATATGTGCTCTTTAAGCTTCTTTTGTTAGTTGTAATTAAAGGAAGCTATTTATTTATTTTAATTAAAAATCTTTTGATAATGAGTTATCCTATGGATCACTTTGTATAATTGTTATACTTTGATAACTTGGAGCATTTGGAAAGTGGGTAGAATCAAACAAGATAGAAAGTCAAAGAAGGAAAGGTCTGTGATGAAATTATATTCCAATCACTTGTAAAGGTATAGTTGATAAGAATTGTTAAACCTGGTTATAATGTACATTAGAATCTGAAAAAATTAATTACAATTACTCAAAGTGAAGAGCCTATTCGTAATTTGGAGATTTTTGCAAAATCTTATTAAACCAATAAACCATAATCGAGATATCAACTTCTTTTTGGAAGTCCTGAAATCTCATCCAATAATTGTGATATCTTAATTACACTTGAATAGCCAGTATATTATATTATTAATAATAGTACATCACCGATTTTATAGTTTTTAGAGGATAATATAAACGACTTACAATTTGCATGTATGGTGAAATAATGTCAGGACATTCTATTTAAAGTTACAATCCATCTTATGGTAAGAATATTGGATTATAGGAATTAAATGATGTAATTGATGCTAGAATTTAAAGAGTGCGCGCAATTACTTAACCAGTTGATAATAAAATCTATTAGTAAATCATTAAATAAAGAAATGAAGTTTTAGATCATATTTATAACTAAGAGAATTATCATTTATGTGTAGATAATATTCAACCATAATTATTACTTGAAGATAAATAATTCAATTAATAAGAATCATAAAAATAAATAGAAATATTAGCTAAGGAATTAAAATCTATAGATTAAGACTATGATTTTGTAGATAAATAATTAGTATCATTATATCATGAGAAATTGGAATAAATGCATAGAGTTTTAACTAAACATTTAAAACATTCAAAAGCAGATATACATTCAGCTGCACATTTTAATGATGTTGATCGTATTTATAAATTATTACCAACTTCACTTGTTGATTCAGTCAACTTTGCTATTCATGCATCTTATTCATCAGCAATTAGAGCATTTCCTATTATTATATAATTATTGAGTTCAAAATATCATGCTTTATTATTTTTAGATAAAGGAGGTTTAAATAAATTATTAGAATTTCTAATTGAAAAATAATAATCACCTAGTTATTTTAAATTAAAGGTGATTGAAACATTATATAATTGTATGAATCATGTAGAATTTTGTAATGAATTAATAACAAGAAATGTTGAAATAAAAACATAAGATTCTGAGAAATCACCTAAGAAAAAGAAGAAAGTAAAGAAAGATAAAGAAAAGAAAAAGAAAGAAAATAAAGAGGGAAAGAAAAAGAAAAATAAGAAAAAGAGTAGAAGTAGAAGTAGGAGTAAGAGTAAATCTATTACTTAAGAGTAATAATAATTTACAAATGAATAAGTTAGTAATTTTAATGGATTTTAATTATTGGCTTATACAGCATCAAAAAGTGAAGATGAGAAAATTGTATAAGCTTGTCATATAGCATTAAATAGATTATAAATTTATGTGAGATTTAGAAAATTAAAGAATATGATTGATTTGGTATATTAAGGAAAATTGGCATTTAATGATGAAGGAACTATGGATTTCTTATTAAATAATTTACCATATTAATGGGAATTTGAGAATCTTGTTGGATTAGATTTATTTTTATTTGTTGTTTAGAAAGATTTTTATTGTGATAAACAAAGAGAATTAATGTATTGTTTATTTGATGCTGAGAAGACAAAGACTGCTAATTTTAAATTGGTTAAAGAAATATTATAAATGAAAGATTTATGTATTACATATGCAAATGCAATGTGGTTTAAATAGATGTAATTTATGAAATATATTGCTGCTATGATGGTGCTTAATTAGAATTATAGTTAGTGTTGTTAATTGATTTATCGTATTTTATAAATTAAGGGGGGCATAGTGGTTATTTGTCAAGAAACTACAGCCCTAAAGTTGATAATAAGAGTATTAACCAAAAACAATGATATATAATTATTAAATTTAATAAAATCATCATTAGTTTTAATAAATTTAATGGATTAAATTTACATTAAACTATTAGGTTCTGATTATGATTATGAATTGATATCATTGTTAGGTTAATTATAATAATATACTGAGGAATAGGATGAAATAACTCAAAATTGTGCAGCTGTTAGTCATTTGATGAATAATGAATTCTTTAGTGAAGCTTTATTATACATCATGTCTGTAACTAAATTGGATGACATAATAGAACATGAAGTTGAAATCACTATTATGTCTCATATCTTCATCAATAGTAAAATTTGAAAATAATCATAGTTTTGAGATATAATGATACACATAAAGGATTATTTTTGGCAGATCGACTTATAGCTCCTAATGCTCGCTTTATTAAGTTTGTAAATACAGAGAAAGCCAGATTTAGTGCAGATTTCAGATTATCACAAATTCTATTAGCAGGAGTATTAGAACCTTATGAATTATTTTTGGCTAAAGATACAACTAAAGCTATTAGAGAATCATTTCATACTAAGTTGAAATTTGTTGCTATCAATTAAGATCCTGATAAAAATAAATTAAAAGAATATTTTGGAGTAGGAGAACATAAGAAAGGTATTCATGAAGAATTAAAATCTGAATTTAGACTTTTAGGAACATTTGATTAACCTTATTAAAGTTTATAATTTTTAGATGGAGCTATAAAAATATTTAAATGGTTGTGTGATTGTAATAAATTTTATTTCATTCCATTTTTTGAACATGAAGTAATAGCAGGAGTAGAATGTTTTGCTGGAAAATTAATTAATTTATTTTCAGCTATGACTTCAAAAAACATATAAACTGAATATATGTTAATTAAATTACCAAATTAATAATAGATTTTAAGACATTATTTTGATCTTACATATAATACTATAGAATTGATATAAGAACGATTGAAATTTAGAGTATAATTAGGATGTGAGAGTTCATTCCATTCCAATGATTTATGTAAGATTCTTATTGATTTATGGGTTTCATTATAAAAAGTATAACCAAATGGACTTAGAGGATGTAAATAAAAAATTGAAAATTTATTAAATACTCTTAGGAATTGTTTTAATTATGTTATTACATTAAATTCATTTTAAGAAGAAGATAATGAATAATTGAAGATACATGTTTAATAAGGTAATCAAGAGATATAAACTTTATTTTAATCTTTGTATTTATCAGCATTCAGAAATTAAGAAGAATAAAAGTATATACTGAATTTGATGTAATATTTAATTAAAGATAATTAAAATAAACCTTAATTCAATAATAATTTATTCAATGTATTATTTAAACCAATGCGTAAAAATGATGATGAATTTGAAAATTATACAAAAAATGGAGATCTTGGATTTTTAATTGATACTATGGGAGATTAGAAATGTTTATAAAATTTAATGTAATCATCTTTAAGAACATTTGATTCAGCTTTGCAAAATGAGATGTTCAAAGTCTTAAGAAATCTATTAGAATTATATGATCATAACATTTCTTAACATTTATTCAAAATAATTGAAGATCAACTCAAAAATTATTCAAATAAAATTAAGGCTTTAGCTAAAAAAGAGGATCAATAACTTTATTTAAAATACCGATAAGATTGGGTGCTTTTGGGATTATTCTTAACTCAAGCAATAGATATTTGTCTTTGTAATTGTGGTTTTATGTACATATTTAATTATGAACATTTAAATGAAGATATGATCAAAATATACAAATTGATTGATTCTGAAAATGATTATTGTGATTCTTAACCAACTGAAAAATCTTATAAATTATTAATTGCAACATTACGTAATCAAATTTTACAGATCTTTAAAAAGGCTGTAGATCATGAATGTGGTGTTAGTCAATTTTTATAATCAGAATCTCAATCCTATTAATATTTAATTGAAGACATACCACATATTACTTATTTATAAGATTTATTGAAGAGTTTATCTAAGAATTTAATTAAGAATGTTGAATATTCAGAAGACTCTAAAGAACACTATCATTTAAATTTAATATCATCTAAATTAATTATTGAGATCTTAGAATGTACTTCTAAGAATATTGTTGGTCAAAATATTCTTTTGTATTCAGATTATACTTAAACACCATATAAGGCTAAACCTATTTTTTAATTATATACTATTGTAGAATTAATTCAGCAATCTATTCTAAATTACAATAATTTACCATTTTAATCAGTCTACACATCAATTATTGAATAATTCATTAGTTTACTATTCAGATTATTTGTATCTATACCCAATAATATTATTCATCCAGGAGATGTAAGAAAAAGAGCAATACAAACACTAATGTTTAATAAATAAGAAAACATTATAGATTTTATTACTAATCTATCTAATCAATTGAATAACATCCCCTACTTCATTAAACATGTTAAATTACTCTAATACCTATTGAAATAAATTGAATCCAACAACAAAGACATTAAAGATCAAAATGTAACATTGCCCAGTGAACCACGTTCACATTTGGTTGTCTTTTAACTAATACAAGAAAAGATTTAACAATAATAATCTAAAGTAAAACAATAATAAATCTTGAGTTCATTTTTTAAATAAACTGTTTTAGAGGGTGATAAAATGTTAAAATATTAATCTTTAACTGTAAGTGAGGTAACTCCATGGAAATTAGCATTTAAAGAAATGAAATAAGAATTATCAACATAATCAAGCACATTTGTATTCCCAGAAGTACTCTATAGAGATTTAATTTTCAAATTGGTTCCATTAGAAATACCAGCTTATCCTAAAACAATTATTAATGACATTATGTCTTTATTCATTAGACAACCTATGATTTCAAAAGAAAGAGTAGGTTTTGCCAAGATATCAACTGTTTAACCTACTCTAGAACCAATAAGACCTGTTATACCAATTCCAATAAGAACAACAACTGTAGATGCCCCTCCTCCACTTTATAAACCAGAAATGATGTTCCCATTATAGTAACCTAATGTGTAACCTCACTAAAATCCCATAAATAGTACTCCAGTCATTCCAATAAGACCTTAAAATGCAACAAGCAATTACAATTTAGTATATAAAAATGAAATTCTAAATAGTTGGATTCGATAGCTCCACCAATGACTTTCCATCAACATGAAGATCCACGACTTTAAAGAAGATAAGATTACAACATGCACCCTATGCAATCAATATAATAATAAACAGGAATTCAGTAGCAATAATAATAGCAATTATAATAATAGTAGACTATGCAATAACCTATTCATTAACCTTATCAAATAAATTAAATACCCATGTTTATGGTATTCTATTTTATATAATATCTAAGTCTTAAATACCAAATCAAATGGGAACCTAATTACCAAATCAAATGGGCACCTAATTACAAACTCAAATGGGTACCTAATTACCAAATCAAATGGGTACCTAATTACCAAATCAAATGGGTACTTAATTACCAAATCAAATGGGTACTTAATTACCAAATCAAATGGGTACTTAATTACCAAATCAAATGGGAACCTAATTATCAAATTAAATGATACCTCCTATGTAATAAGTATAGCCTCCTTAATTAATTCCTCCTCAATAAACAGTTCTATAATAACCAATGATGCATTTGCATCCCTAACACCCTATTTAATAGTAGCCTCCAATTTAATAATAATAACAAATGCCATAATAATAATAATAATAATAATAACCAAATGAATTGGCAGAATTAATTGCTATGATGAATGAATAGGAGAAAGCAATTTTGAGAGAGTTTTTGACTTCAAAAGATCCAAGAAAGTTGGAATAGTTGGAATCAAAAAGATTGGAATATCCAAGAATAGATTAATTTTTAATGGCGCTATAATAATAACAAAAAAAGAGAAGCTAATGATAAATATATATTAAAAACAAATTATTATTATTAAATTAAAATGTCTGAATAATAAAAGCAGCCAAATATTATCAATTACTTCTAATAATATAAATAAGGCATTCAGAATGCTTTCAAAATATTAGAAGAAGTAGATTTTGAATTACCAGAGGAAGATGTAAAATAAAAAGTTCAAAAACAGGTAATGTCTTGTAATTGAATCATTAGATTGAAGAATAAAAATAACCAATAGAACCTAAATTCATTTCACAAGCAGATATAAAAAGAGCGCTTGAGAATTTTGATAAATTAATTTGTTAATTATAATTAGTAACACCATTATATAGTGATCCAAAATAGTACAATTATCATTAATTAGTTTAAATTTCGAATCGAATGATAGGACTAAAAGATAGACTTAAATGAAGCATCAATAAATGTGGGATCAAATCAAATTGTAACAAAAAGAGCGATTTGCGAGGTTTTAAGATTAAGAAATCCTGGAAAGAATATTAGAATTAGACTCTTAATTAAAAGAGGATTATGAATATAATTTCTAATTTTCAAGTGGTACACAAAAAAAGACAATTTAAATCAAATATCATGATGTTTTAAAATTAAATCCACCCAATTATTTGAATGATGGAATTATAAACTTTTATTTAAAATTTATTGAGTTTGAATTACTTGATGAATCCTTAAGATCTAAAACATATATTTTTAATACTTATTTTGTAGAAAAATTATGTCCTTTTGATAAATTACAAACTATTTAATAGAATGACAATCATAGAATAAATGAACTTTTTAAATAATCATATGAACATATAAAAAGATGGGTTAAAGAAGATTTAACTGAAAAAGAATATTTATTATTTCCAATAAATTTACCTGAACATTGGTCTCTCTTGATTGCTCATAAATAAAGTAAATCTTTTTAAGATTCTGTTATTATATACTTAGATAGTTTTGGAATAATAGATTAAAAGTTAGTTACAATAATAAAAATGTATTATAATTTATAAATATACATATAGGTATCTACATAAAATGTAATGTGATAAAATTTAATCAGATGTGAATTATAATGATTCTCCAATTAAATAAATCCCTGCTTATCAATTATTAGTACCTCGACAAGTGAATTATGTAGATTGTGGAGCCTTCCTTCTAGAATATGCAGAATCATTCTTGTCCAATCCAAATTATCTCTTATCAGATTTTGAATCCCAAGAAGGCATTTACAAATTGAAACTATTCCCAAGAACACTTGTAAATAAAAAGAGACTTCTAATTAAATAATTATTAATTGAACTTGTGGAATTAGGTAAAGAAAAGGCTCTCATTAATTACAAATAAAGAAGATCAGAAATAATTGAAAGTTGCTGTAAATAAATGAATATTTTTAGATACAAATGAAGATGAATATGATAAAATAGATTAAGATTTATTCAAAGAGTTTCTAAATCAAAAGAATTCCATAAATGTTAACAGTGAATAGTAAAGATCTATGTTACTGGACTTTTACATGAATCCACAATAAAATTATTATGAATAATGAGAGTGTAAATTTTATCTTTATTATTATCATAATGATTAATTAAAAAATACAACAATACAACTAATATCATCTACTACTACATCATTTTCCTTCCATTATTGCTAAGCTTATTATACTAAATATTATGCTGCCTAATCTTATTATTCATATTTCTCATACACCAACTTTGCCACTTATTAATTTGTCATATATTCCCAAATACCATCTGATGCAATTACCATAAATAAATCTTATGGTCTTACTTTTTACTCATATATTGTAGGTTCTGATGTAACTCCCACCGATTACATTTATGTATCTCCAAAACTTCTTGACATAGCTAAACCTGAACCTTACATCTCATCCAACCATACTCTATATGGACCTACTGATTATCCATTATGTTATAATTATGCTATTGTTCCTCCTTTCTATTTGATTCTATTCTTCTCCTCTACTACATCTAATCTATGATCCATGCTCAATTAATTTATTATCAATCCTCCTCTAATTCCCCTACTTACCATCATGGCTCTACTATCTCCTACATTTGCACAATAAACTACTGATTCCTTTTGAAATTCTTATTAAAAATCCCCCAAATCTGCTGGTACTATATTTTATTATAGTAACATCACTATATTACAAGTACATCCACTTCTAATGATTGGTAGAGAACTTTATTCTAATAAACTTGATGTTTTTGCAAATGCTCCTTTTATTACTGTCTTATGTAATTAAGTGTTATATTATAGCATATATTGATTTCTTTGCATACCTTATTCTATCTATTGTATAAGAGTATTCAAAACATAGTTAGAGACTAAATGACCTGAAGATCCATGACCATCACAAACGATAAACAACTAATAATTTTTCATGTTTTAAACTAAAATAGCATCTTAATTATGTTTCTAACATGCTAAGGATTAAATACTTTCTATTCTCCCCCCACTATACCAGTTTCACTATGCCATACACAATACACTTTCTCCATTTCTAATAGAAAACTCTAATTAAGGGGTGACCCCATTGTTTGCATTTTTAACAAAGGTATTTCACTTCTCTAAGAAATTTGAGAAGTGTTTTTTTAGATTTTAGGCAAAGATGCCCTTGGTTTTAAAGTAAGCAAAGAAGTGTGTGCAATTTGTGTTTTCAAATGTTCTCTATAAGGATTGAAACGACTCACTTTGAATTTTGGAGAACTAATTGAATTTGGTTGCATTAATATAATTATATGTTTAAGATATTTAATAATACAACTCTTTTTTTTTCTGTTTCTTAATTCATTATAATTAATAAATGTTAGTTAATTAAAGAAAGTGCATGTTTTGTGAAAAACTAAGAAATGATGGGTCTTTTCATTTAATACTCAAGAGAGCCTTGTATTGTAAATACTCTTAATCACAAAACTTCTTTTATGAGAAAGACATTAATGACATTATTGAAGATCGATCTGTGAAATGCACCATTCATTATAAAGATCATTTGCACTTCAATGATCAAAATGAGTACATGCGGAGGTACCCTCAACCAACTGATCTAGATATTACCGTTTTTTCGAAAGTGATGATCGATTGCCAGCCCTACTTGAATACTATAAATATCACATCAATATACCAAGAAATTTCAGTTCAAAAACAATCAACAAGAGAATGGAAAGAAATAGAGAATATTAGTATTTGAAAATTAAGTAAGAATTGGGTCTCTGTTAAAATCCTAAAAATATAAAATAGGATTCTCCTCGTAAAGTTAAAGATACCTCTGAAGATCAATCAGTCAGTTAAATGAAGAACTTATTAAAAGATTTAAAAATTGAATCCACTTAAACAGATATATCTAGTAATTCCACTATTTTAAAAGATCTTGTTAAAATGATTGGAAATAATGCATAAAAACCTTAACCCTTTCAAATTCTTAATTATAATAAATTCATACAAAAATAAATCAATCCTGTCATTGAAGCTTAAAAACTTCAGTGTAAATAACTTGAAACTAATTTATTAAAACCTAAAGAAAATAAAACAAAACTTATTAAATCACCACCATTAACAGAACGTAATCTAAGATCTCCATAATTATCTAGATAATCATCAAATACAAAAATAAAAAATGAAACATAAAAATAACAATATTAATAAACATAAATAACAACAACAATAAAAAGACCTCCATAATTAAAATCTAGATAAGCATCTTTAGGTAATATTGAATTAACTAAATCTTGTTAAACTACTGCTAGAAATAATCCATAATAAAATGAATTATTATTTGAATTAGCCAAGAAAGTATTCTCTACTAAAATTGCAATTAATAACAATTTATTAACCAAAAAGAAACCAATATCACAATAAACTAATAATTTTTTTGTTAAAGGTAGAAGTACTTTATAATTCAATCTTAAAAATATGGAAGAGATAAAAAGTTCGATTTAAAGTTTAAATGTTCGACACAAAACACCAAACTAATTAATCAAATCATAATAAGGAACTCCAAATTATAAAAAGAAATAATTATGAACTTTATTATATGGTTAAATTATTATCATTTGTTGTTTTCATATTTTCTATCTTACAAAAATTATACATTATAGTACTCTATTTTTATTATTCTTATTTATATGAAACCTAACCATTTTCTAATCATTTCATTAACATTATTGAATTGACTTAGAATGAGTGTTTAATAAATGAACTTAATCTTATGTTTTATGTTCATATAATTAATTTTAATTTTGTAGCTGTTATGAACAATCATTAAGTTCAAAGTCCTCAAATATTCAATAGCCATTATTTAAGAACAGATTATAAAGTGAATCCCTAACCTTTAGTTCTCAATTTAAATCAATCTAGATAAAGTTCCAAGGCACTCTCTGTGGATAGAGGTAAACCATTCATACAAACTAGTTTTACAGTCAAACTCAAATAAGCAAATTAGAATGTGGAATAACTTATTGATCTTTGGCAAAGACATAAATCAATTACCTAAACTACTCCAACTCACATATCCTAATCATTTCACTATCATTCTACTACATAAAAAAATGAAAGCTTTGTGATCGGTACATATTTATATAGATAATTGTTAGAGGAGATTCCAGAAACAAGAGAAGTAAGTCCATTGAAGCCAGAAGAAATAATGATAAAACCTAGATAATTATTTGAGATAAATTAATCAACATCCAAATTACCTTCAACACATTAATAAAATTCTAATCATAAGAAGACAAGTTCATTATATGTAGGAGCATTATCAAGTAAAAATAGATATAAATTCAATTTAGAGAGTGATGCCTTTTCAGGTACTAAAAAAGCAGCTAAAGAGAATCTAAAATTATCAAATAATGGAACTTCTGGTAGTAAAAAAACACAATTTAATTCATCTTCTAAAAAATTACCTAAGGAACTTTCAGCTATAGTTTTACAATTACAATCAGTTTAAAAATCTTTATTACCTTATTACTAAAAATTAGATAAAGGTAAGAAAACTGAAATAGATGAATAATTTAATATTCTAATAAACTAAATAAAGAGTGATTTCACAAAATGAATGAAACTTTTTATATTCTATTTTTTACAATTTTATATATTTAATAATATAAATTTAAATAAACAATCTAACTTATATTATACTTATAATCATACTTAGATGTAAAAGTAAATACATTAAATTTATAAATAATAGAATAGTATTTACCAATTCTCAGATTTATTATAAAAAGAATTAGTAATTTTTATATTTAGAAGTATTTATAAAATATAATAAATTGTGTTTCTTGTTTAGTATTTATAACTTTTGATTGTTAATGATTTTACGTGGACAAAGTTTATTTGAATTTTATATTAATGTTATTTGAAGATAATTAATTTTTCTATGAATTCAACAAGAAATGATAATTTAGAGACAAAGTATTTTGATGATAATTAGTTTAAGGAGAATTAGCCTATGAATACAAATAAAGTAACAAGTAGAGGCTATTAATCTAATATTTTACAATCATTGGCAATATAGGGAAGCTAAAAGAAAAAATTCAATAGTCAAAAGAGGGACATTTATGTTCAAAAGTTTATGAAGAATATGCAATCTGGAAATTAAAAGATTAAGCAATTAAATAAATTATAATTACAAATGATCAATGATAAGGCAAGTTCATAAAAGACTTAAATCTAAAAAAAATCAACAATTCCAAAAATAAATGGAAGATAATAGTTATTTTTGAATAATCTAAAAAATTCATTTAAAAAAAAATTGGATAGAGTACCTATTTTATATCCATATGCAAAATTTAAAATATTATGGGATGCCATATCAGTCTTAACTCGATTGTATTTCACATTTGTAATTCCTTTAGATTTAGGTTGGCAATAAAAATCATTTATTTTTTATGATTTTTAAGGTATATCTATTATATCTCTTTTGTTCATAATATTTGATTTAATATTGAGTTTGAATACTGCTTATTATAAGGATGGACAATTAGTGACTAATAGAATAATGATTTTAAAACATAGTCTCTTTAATTCATATGGATTGCAATGGTTCACAGTCTTTTTATTGATATTGTTTTTCTTTATTTCAATATCAGAAGAAGCACTATATGGAACAAAATCCACTTTTAGCTTTTTAATATTAATCTTATTTTTAGTGCATTTTAAACCTATAATCACAATAGTTAATTATTATGAAGAGACATTAAATTTTAACAAATAAATCTAATCGATCTTAGAATTAGTAAAATTATTATTTGTACTCTTTTATTCAATTCATTTTTTTTCTTGTATTTGGATGCTTGTTGGAAATTATAGTATTACAAAATATAATAAAAGTTGGGTATTATAAAGTGGAGTTGAAGATGCTGAATGGTAAATTTAATATTTATAATCATTCTATTATTCTGCTGTAACTATGTTTACAATTGGATATGGAGATGTAACACCTTAATCATCTGCTGAAAAAGTCTTAGCAGTTACTTATATTATAGCAGCCAGTATTTAATTACCATATAGTGTGAATACTTTGGGAACCATCATTTAATAAATATCAGTTTACACTGTTGAAAAGAAAAGGAAATTAAGAATTATATCTACTTATTTAACTTAATAGAAGATATCATAGGATTTATAAATTTAAATTAGAGAATATTTAACATTTAGATGGGAAAACTAATAAGTAAGTAAAAATGATGAAGTTGAATAATTAATAGCATAATTATCAACAGATTTAAAAGACTCTTTAGTAACAGAATCATATAAATAAATATTAAATAAATGTTCATTATTTAGTATAGGATTTTCAGAAGAATTTAGAGCAAGTTTAGTTAAATTTGCAAAAGAAATTGCTTTATAGCCAGAATAAGAATTACATACAGATGATTCATCTTAGAATAATTTGTATTATATAATATCAGGAGAACTATAGATTTAGCATTCAAATGGATTGAATTTAGGAACACTTGTATCAGGATAATCAATAGGATTAAATAATTTTATTACTTCTTCTTAAAAACCAGAGAAATATAGAAGTGTTGGTTTTTCTAAATTGATTTGTTTAGAATAAAAATATTTCTTAAAATTATTATAAGAATATCCAGAAGATTATGAAAAATATTGTTAAATTAAGGATTCAATGTTATTTACTGATTAAAATTAGGAATTACTTCCTTAGACATGTTTTTCTTGCAATAAAAAATATCATTCTATGATTAATTGTCCTAAAATTCATTATGTTCCTGATAAAGAAAAAATCTTAAAGTCATTTACTTTTCCGAATTATTAAAAAAGGACTAAATTTAATCGTAGAATTAGAATTATGAATTTTTTAACTCAAGAATAAGTAATAGAAGGATTAAAAATAGCATCATAATAATTATTGAAAGACAATCCTGAAATTGTCAAACTTTATTCAGCTGAATATTTGATAAATGAAGTAGAATCAGCAAAATAATCATTAAGTGAAATATAACCTTTAGAATAAAGTTCTCATTATTCTAATGAATAAGATAAAACTCCAGAAAAATAATAATACTAAAAGATCAATAAATTCAAATAAGCTGTTCATAAGATTATTTCTATTAATAATGAATATTCATAATATATTACATTCCATTAAATAGATCCTAAGAAAAGTAAGTAACTATTACAAAATACATTAACATTAAGATTGAAAGTTTTGGATGAATTAAAAAGTAGCATTTTTAAAAAAGAGCAAGATTTAATATAATATGTATTGTAATTAAATAATATGGATTATTATTTTGATAAATCTTAATTTGAAAGTGCTCTTAATTATAAAAATTATTACCCTAATGATAATTATAAGAATCTATTCAAAGAGAAACAACAAAAGAGAAACTTAAAATTATTAAGAAGATTAGCATTGTACTTTTTATAACCTTGTAATATAATTGATTAATTCAAATTAACTAATGATGACATAAGTCCTAAGTTATGTCAGAGAAGGAAGAATCTTTACTTCTCAGTTGATTTGGTAATGCAATGATAAGTTATTTGTAAATTCGTATGCGTATAGAATTTATATAATTAAAATTAATTAACAATATGAGTTAGAATTTTAAATTCGTAGAGCAATCTCAAACCTTACCAATGATAGTTAGAAAGCCTATGACTGTTATGAATTTCAACTTATATAAGAAATATCAGCATTCTTAAAATTATTATTACATTAGAGAAATAAATGAAATATTAAGTGATGCATCAACAAAACATGTTATACATTTTAAAGATTGGCTGACTATAGATGAAGAAGTACCTTAATTAATACATAATGATAGGATGAATATCTTAAGCGATTTTATAAATTAGAGGAATATCCATAAAAAATTGTATTACTTACAGAATATTATAAAGTATCATATTTAATTGAATTAGTTCCATGCAGATATTGCTAGAATATTTTAAGAGCCTGTGTGTACAGTTTTAAATAAATATTATGATAAGAAACGAAAGTACGATTATTTTCGAATAGCTAAAATCATTGAAGAAGAAAATAAATTAAATCCTTAAAAACCACCTAAAGGTATAGTAGGTGATAGACCATCTCCTGCTAATTCATAAGAATCTCTACCTCAAGAATAAGAAGAGCCTGAAAATGAAGTTGTGCAACAGACTTAAATTCTGAAAGAAATAAGTTGGTTAAAAGTAAAAAATTGTTAACTATAAAACTGCTTAGAATGAAAAACCTTTTCGCAAAGATACATCATAAACTATTAATGAGTTATTTAAGCATCTAGAACACTTTGATGACATGTCTTCATTTTCTATTGCTCCAATACCTAAAAAAGAAAAGATTACTTTAGATAATTTCTTATTATATATTGGAACCAAATTTAATAAAAAATAAACAACATCTCCAAATCCCAAATAATCTCAAGAACATAGAATTATAGAATTAATCTAAAAATAAAAGGCTAAAATACATCAAAAAGGATAACCTAGTTATAGTCTACATAAAAAGAATGATATAAAATACAGTATTGGTTCTATTGAAAAGAAGATCACTTTTGCTAAAGATTAATTAAATAATTTATCAAAGAAATCTAACAGACAAGCATCTACAGATATAATTGAAAGTTTAACTAAATTAGATACTAAACCCTAAGAATTAATTAAAAACAAATCTAAAACTATTGTGCCTAAGAATCAAATCAAAATCAATAAAATTATACGTGATGTAAATCAAAATAATACACCTACTCTTTCCTTACATAAAGTATCTATTAGTTCTACACATCTGAAAACATAATAACCATAAATTAACAATAATAATAATGTCAAATTGAATTCTCTGGCTAAATTACTTATTGAAGATACTTATAATGATCCTTAATATAATAAATTTAAACATGGTTCCATTACTCATCGACCTTTATCTGGTACTAATATATTATTTACTTCTTATTCTAATAGAAATAGTCCATCCATTAATTATAAAAAATAAAATCTTCAAAATTCTAAACCAGATATCAATCAAATTAAGAAAGGAAAATAAATTAATTCTACTTAATAACCCTAATAATAATTTGGTTTATTAGCTAAAAATTTATTTAAAAAAGTTTTAAATTCAAAAAAACCAAAACCTATTAATCATATAAAATAGAGTTCTCATCAAGATAAAGTACTAAATTAATTTGATAAATTAAAAATTAATTGTAATTCTCAATAATAATTCAATGATATTAATGAAAAAAAACAACACAAAAAAAACAAATCAGATGGAAAAGCACTTTATAATAAGTTATCTATACCAGAATTAGGATGTTTGACTGAAAGACACGAAAAAGAATCTCCTTTGCTAAACTTTCATAGCAATAACAATCATAGTTCACCTCAAACACAACATTTTAGAAGACTTCATAGTGAAAAATAGGAATCAATATCAAAAAATATGAAAGGTTTAATGATACAATAAATGTTGAAGTAATTAGCCAAACAAAATTAATAGAATTAATAAAAATAAGAATTATGTTCTATTATTAAAAATTCTTAGAAAAAATTTTGATCATTTTATTCTATTACCTTATTCAATAATTCTATAAATATAATATATATTTATAGATATTAATTATTTATATTTTTATTTAAAAGAATCAAAAATATTAATATAGAATTTTTTTGTTTTGCAAAATAAACCAATATATTAATTTATTTAATCTAATAATAAATTGTATTTTTATATTATAAATTTATCTCATTTGTAATTTTATTTCTTAATTACCTATAATTAAATCAAAATAGGTATTATTTCCTTTTTAGTTTTATTCCAAATATACAATGCTAAAATTGAATAAATATTTTTAAAATTTTAATCTATAAACTAAAATTGTGTAAATAATCATAATAATATATTACAAATGATATAAAATCTTTAAATAAAATGATTATGATATTAAAACTAATTACAAAATCAATATTTGTCAAACTTAGTTCACTTTTGTGGATTATATATAAACAAAGCATTCTTGGAACTACTCTCCAATTAATGATCATATAATGGTATTTCTGGAAGTTGCAGTATTTCTTAACTTTAAAATGTTAAAAGATGTTTAGTTTGGTTTTCATCTGTGATTACAGGATGAAATCTATCTGTGTCACTAATCTAAGCTGATCCTCTGAATACAGTCATTTCATTTAAGAAAGAATGCCCACTATATTAAAGTCTTTTAATAAAATAATAAAATTACTCTTCTGGATTTTATTCTTCTAATTCAGTATTTTCAGTGTAATCTTTATTTCTTTTATTAATTTTCTTTATCAAACTAATAGAATGAGATTCCCATGCCTTGAAAGCAATGAGAACATTCAAGTAATCATGAAGAATATTAAAATTAGTTCTTAGATCAACTAAGCATATATTAGCTCTCTTAATAAATAGATTCCTTCGATAATTCATTAATTTCATTTGCATTTCTTTATTATATTATTTAATCTATTTTATTGCATCTTTACTCCCAGTTTTAAATACATCATCTTAAAAGCATGTTCTAAACAATTCATAAATCAATTAATTATATTGAATATAACCATGATGATCACTTAAAAATATAGAGATTAATGATACCATTTTAATTTGAATGCAGATGCTTATTTGGCAGCATCCCAAAGATTTTCTTCTTTTCCTCTTCCCAAAGGTGATCCAAGATCTAATAGAAATCTACAAAGAAATTTGTAATGCATAGCTTTACCTTATGTTTCTGGAGAGTATCTATTTAAATAGATTTATATAATAATACTTGCACCAAATAGTTTTAATTCTATCTTCATTTTCTACATAAGTTTGGATAATTGAATTTTGAACTTAAAAAAATGACTCAAATTATTCTATCAATCCTAAAACAAACAAATTTAAAAAAACATAATTGGATAATAACATAAATAGAAAAAAGTAAATTTAATTATAAGTAGATCCACAATAAGATGAGTCTGTTGAACAATTTGGATTATGATGCATAGTATCAGTCATTATAGTTCTCCAATCATCACCAGATGCACATTTAAATAATGTAAGCATAGCTTAAGCAATATTATGAAAATTAATTTGATCATCCATAATCTATCCTGAATCTATTTATCCATATAATTAACATCCAAATAAAGCAAAGACTAACATAGTATCAATTAGAATAAAGAATATTTTACCTAAAAATGGTAGTGCATAAACCATAACTCTCATTAGTCTCTAAATATTAATTAAACCTTAAAATATAAGAATCAATCTTAAGCTTCTTAATGCAAAACACAATCTATATAGTCTATAATATTCTGTTAAAGGACTGGAATAATAGTAGGTTTCTACCCAATTATATTTGAGATCTATTGCAAGGTCTGTAATTGCAATGAGATTCAAAATTAAAAGGAATTATCTCCAATGATTATCAAAGAATCTAAACAATCCTAATGCCAAATATTGAAGTAAACTCCAGATAGTAATGAAAATTGAAAATGCATGATGTATATAATTAATAATATCGAGATATTTCATATTCATACCAGAATGAAATAAGATATTATTAACAACATCTAATAATAAGATAAGGAAAAAGAAAGATTACATTGCAGAATTATTCATAATAATTGATGCTAATCTTCTAATGATATTATCTGGAGGTGTAGAAAATATAGGAATGTCTTTTGTAATGATTTCAGATATTTCAATAAATTCTTTCTAATTTTAATTGAATTCTCCTTATTCAATTTTACTTTGATTTGCTTTTAAATTAGAGAATAAAACACCAGTAAATAGACTCAAGAAAAACATTGATCCAATAAAGCAAAAAGTAATAAAAAATACATAAGTATGTATATAACTATTAAAAGGTACAGGTCCAACATTTCTACTATCACTATTTTAAGCAATTTATAACATTTCACCCCAACCATCAAAAGTGGAGACTGTAAATAATGTTGGAATAGCCATTGTAATATTATCAAAATTATGTTTAAAATTAACCCATGTTTTATTTTATTGTATACATTCTTCATAATTTAATCTAAATTACATTTTATCTTCACAAAATCCAAATTATCCTTCATAGAGAATTATACCATATACTCCAAATATGATCCATACTGAAAAGAGAGTTAATAATACATTTAATATATCTACTAAAGATTGATAAAGTGCTGAACTTAATACATTCAAAAATTTAATTCTATTTAAAAGATTAAAAGGTCTAAAATATCCAAAATAGAGAAGGATTTAAAAGATTGGTTTTACATAATAATCTTTTTCATATTAGAAAAAGAATGATATCAAATAAAACACATCCACAATTTGCCATATTGAATTGAAATGAGAACCAATATCTATAAATAATCCTTTTGCAATAACATTTATAATATATTCTACTGCTAAAATAATGTTGAGATAAAATTAAACTTCTTGTGGATATGTTTCTTTATTTTCTTCATAATCATTATATGTTTAAATAATAAAAATAATTATCGATGCTGATAGAGATACATCGTTTATCAAATTATAAAATTTTGATCTTGCAATCATCATACACATCATTCTAAAATGATTAGTTTTATTGAAAATAAACAAAGATTATTCACATTATATTCCATTATATAATTCAGGAGATGCATCTAATATTTTTTAATTAATTTATCTGATTGAATTTATTAGATGTTGAATTAAAGCAGTCTTTTATTTACTTTTACGACTTTTTATTTAATCTAATTATTGATTTTATACTATAGGATTAATTTCTATTTATTATAATGTATTTTCTGTATCTAATTATTCATTATTTGAAGATTGCATTATAGATTATTCAGAATCTTCTATTTCTGAAAATATCTATCTATCTAAATATTTACTGAATCCATCCAATAAAATAGCTAATACTAATCCATATGTTAAATAATTAAGTATAATTACCATTGAGTATGAATAAACTGTTCCAAATGTTTCATTTATCCCAGTTCCCAAAACAAATACACCATACCAATCATCATTTGTCATGATATTAAATACAGTCATAAACGATTTTAGAATATTATCATATGAATGTAATTATCCTAATAAATCATTCTAATCAAACTCTCCTGCATATACTTCCATACCTACTAAAGCATACAAAAATATCACAACAAACATTAAAAATGTAAGATATATATATGATTTAAATGTTTTAGATGCTATATGACCAATAGTTACAGCCATACCATTATATTTTAAACATCTATAAAATAATAGACATTTTGTTCCTCTAATTAATCTTAAATTTTATTCAGTTAAATTGGTCATATAATCACTCATTGTATATTCAATAAAATTTAAAATAACAATTAAGGTTTAAAGAATACTCTCATTACTTTTTGATAATTCTTTAAAAGATATGCTACAATATCGAAGGAATGTTTCTATTGATAATAGTATAGTAATGATATCTTCTACTTCAGAAATGATAGAGGCATCTGCAATACCATATAATGATAGGAAAGTAAAATTAATGAATATAAGTAAATCTAATGCAATTTCAGTAAATTTACTAGATACTATCCTATTTATATATTTTCTTAATATTTGTAACATACCATATAATCCTTTTATCCAAACAATAAAATCTGTTTTATTTAATGTAACTAAAACATTTTTTAATTTAAAGGTTGCATATTGTGTTTCAATGACATCATTACCTGACCAATTAATATCAACTATTCTCCTATTCTTAATTTCCTTCATTCTTATATTTTTATATTCTAAATCATATGAAAGACTATTTATTTTCTCCTTCTCAATTTTCTACTTCATTTTGAATGCAATTTTATCATAACTCAAATAATACCCTTAAACAAATATATATGTAATATTTGCCTTTTTAATTGCAAATGGAATAGAATGTTTTGATTTTATCATCTACTTGCTAAATGCTTTATAAGTCTTTTTTTCATTTCTAATACATTTAGTACGAACAACATGTGATCTTTAAGATTCTGCATCTTTAAATACTTAATTAATTTTGGCTCTTTAACTTTTTTTAATGGGACATTTAAAGTTATGTATATTGTTGAATCTGTATGTTTATGAATTATTCTTATTGAATTATGGAACTAAATATTCTTATGAACATTTATATTTGGCATAATCAATAACTTTATCATCAATATTTTATTTGGAATTTTATATATTACTATTTGATATAAATAAAATTAATACGCAAAAGATGGTAAAACTTCTTCTAAACTTGTATATTTTTGATATTATTTTGGATTAACTTATTTTGATAATTAGGAGAATTCAAATTTAGTAAGATCTTCCAAAATTTTAAGATAATCTTCATTATCAGTATAATTTTTTAAATTAATTTCTTTTTATTGTTTACTAAGACATTTGAATTTGGATAACAAGATATTTTTGAATGTCAAATTTCTTAAATATTCATATAATTTATCAAAACAATTATTCTAAGAAATCGATCATAATAATATTTTACATTTATATTTTTATTAAGTTTTTATTTGGCTGATAACAATCTTGGTTAAGTGAAATTTTTTAATTAAAAATCTTCTAATTTATATTAATTAATTTTCTTTGATTAATTTAATAATTTATAATATTATTTAAATGTCTTATGAAATCCAATTTAACGAAGCATTGCAACATCAAAAACATCTGTAACATCTCTATCTTGATTTGATTTCTCTTCTAATAATCTTCTATTAATTTCTTACTATTCCTATTAATGAAAGAATTATTCAGTTGCCTCAGCATAATGAGTTTTCAATACTGCTATTACCAAATTAAAACTAAAAAAACCACATACAAAAATTATCAATAAATAATACATCCAAACCCAAGGATTAAATATTCTAATTGTAAAAAACATTACCCAACTCCAATCATCCATTGTAATAGTTCTCAAAATCTAACCATAAGAATATATTATATTATTAAATGAAGTTGGTAATTTTATTGTCTATTCAACATATTTACATTCCATTCCTTCAGGACATTAATCTACATTACATTAAATCCAATCATCTCCCATCTCTTCATTAATTGGAACACATCTATAATTAAATAATCCTTAAAATAAAAACACTCCAGCCAATGCAAAAAATAATGAAAACAATCCTACAATTGCCAATGCTTCCAATATATATTTTATTGATTATTTTAAAGCTGTCAACATCACTCTTAAACCATCAAAAATATCACCCAAATATTATAATAAAGTTATTATACGAAGTGGTGATAAATCTATTATAACTATATCTGGTCTATATAAATTAATTGCTGATAGTAATGCAATTGAAAAATCAAATATATTAGAGAAATTAAAAAAATAAGCATTTTTTGAAAAGAAAAGTCCTTATGAAATAATACGTAATCCAATTTCAGTGAAAAATAGTATGGAAATTATTTATTCAATTTAATCGGTATCATGACGATGTTAAGTTTTCACAATTACATATAGAGTGATATTAAAAAGAATCAATACTGTCATTAATAACTAAAATACTATTGAATTAATTATAGACTTTGCAATAATAGGAATAACAAATGAGATATAAACAATAATCTTACGCACATTGAGCAAGGTATAAGGATCATTATAATTCTATATATATTTTAAATTTAAAAGAGTACCTGCAATTCATGTTTGATTCTTTAATACCCATGAAGTTCTACTAATTTAATATAGTATGGATCACTTTTGTAGTCTCGAATACAATGTTTATTATATTTGCGTAAAATATCCTGATCAACGTCAATGTCTACAGTTATTTTGTTATTAACTATGACCTGTTCACTCACATCCCCATGACATTTTGTTTACTTGATTAAATCTGGTCGACAACGTAATCTTATTTCATGTTCAATTAAATGAATTAAAGGAATTGGTTATTCATAGTCTAATTTGATTTTTAATTCATCCTAAGAATGTCTTTTACTTCTATTTTCTCTATCAGAGATGCTGTCCTATGATAATAAAGGATTTTAGAGACCAAGAACACTACTTTTATCAGAAATATTAAGTGAATGCTTAATTTATGAATGATTAGAATTAAACCGATCTGAATTCTAAAATTGATTGTTAGGTTCTACTTCCTCACTTTCTCTCTTTTTGATTCTTAACGTATTACTACCATCACTCTTCTTTTTCTCATGTCTTCTGTCAATCATTATTTTTTTAATAATAATAATAATCTCTCTATTCATTATTGTATTACACAATTTTCATCCATTCAAGATAATCAAACACATAAATAAACATTAAATAATAAAAACTAAAACATATACATTACTTGGCTTTCTCTAAATCAAATTTTACACTAATATAATGAAATTCTAAATTGGTAAATACTCAACAATTCATTTAAATTATACATATGATGGGTATTATAATTAACATAATAAACCAAAACAAATTTTTATACTTCTAATGATAATTAATCATAAAATCATAATGTTTCAAACAATCTACACAAATGGTGTTAATACAGTTAAAAATGGATATTTATTTAACTTGATTGATTGAAAATTAAATCAATAATCGAATATACTCAGATTAGAAACATCTGCTTCAATTTAAATTTTAAAGTCTTTAATTTATTTTAAGATCAATAAGATTTCTTAATAAATACAAAAAAAAGTGATGAAATAACAATTAATTCACTTTTAATATTTAACTTCAATATTCTATTTTACTTTTTTGTATCCTTAGATAAACATAAACTACTTAACTTATTTATTTCTAAATTTAATTAAATCAACCAAGAAATTGATTAATACTATACCAATTTTAGATGCTACCTAACAATACTTATCCAAATAAATCAATTATTTTTGCTTCTCTCATTATGCCTTCAATAACTATATAGCCTTGGCAATCTCTAAGAAAAGTTCTTTCAAATATTAAATTTCTTCCTCTGTAACTTCTTAAGGTATAGTTTCCTTCTTCAATATCTCCTAAATATCTTCCTTTCTCATGCTCTTTTTCATTCTCTCATCCGTCTTCATTTATATGCTACTTTATTATTTAATCATATATTATCTTAATCTGCTAAAAACAAAATTTTAATTAATTAACTTTTCTATTTATAGGCACTTATTCTTATGTTGAATAAAAGGTGTCTAGGATTCTCATTTAAATAAATAAAAATCTTAAATTAATTCAATTTCTCTTAAATAATATTAAAGTAAGTGGATGTATATCGGTATTCAAAATACCAATATTTAATTTATCTTGAAAATCAACAACCAAAATAACCATTTTATAAATTTATTTTATAGTTTCATTAGAGGTTGATATATATATGCTCTGCACAATATATTTATATGGTCTCTAATTATTATTATAAATAATTTGAAATTTATTTAAGAGGTTTCTAAAACCCATTCATTATATACAATAAAGCTTAATTTAATGATAGTCTTCAAATATTAAATGTATAATTATGATAAATTGTTATAATTGACAAGTATTCTTTTTTGTATTAAATAAATAATTAATGCAAAAACAGTAAGCTCTTGCTGTTGTACGCGCTCCTTCTGGAATAACAAAATAGCCATTTAAATCGATTAACACTGTTAACTAAGCACCTCTATAACGTGTCAACTCTGCTGGATTTGTGAGTGGAAATAGATAGTCTAATTAATATCAGAAACCTGCTACACCATTCTACTACACCAATAATTATAGGTTAGATTGGAAGAATTATTTACGCTCATTACCTAGTGTACCAAAAATCAAAATTTTAGCTCCAGGTACTGGTTATGATGCAAAAATGATTAAATGATATTATTGTATTATTGTTTTAATAATTCATATGTATTCTAATTATTAATTAATGAGATTTTAATTAATAAATATTTTTGATATTTAACTAATACTTTTTAATTTTTTATCAATAATTTTATTTATCTAGTAAATGGGAAACAACAATGTCTGCTTAGGTGAAATACAAAATAATGTACCTCGTTAAGGATCTCCAGATACAAAATGGAAAAGAGAAGATCTAAAATCAGGTTCATGTGTTTAAACATTAATGGATAAAGAAAATAATAATTTTTTTAAGATGGTCTAATGTGGACCCTCAACACCGTATTATAGAAATGAACATTCAGCTTAAAGATGGTCTTAAGCAATTGCCACCTTGAACTATGCAGATGATATCTAAACAACCGTCAATCTATTATACAATAAACCAGAATTTGAAGAACTAGTACTATTAGGACCTCCTAAAGAATATAGATGGGCTACTTGGAAGGCCCTTTTGACTAATGGAAAAATGCATTTATCATACGAAAAGTATTTGGAATATATGCCAATTGATGTTAAAAATATTCTGAAAGATATAGACCGAACGTTAGTGAATCATGCTTTATTTAAACATGAGAATTGTGGTTAAGAATAACTTAAAAGAATTCTCTGTGCCATATCAAATGCATTACCAGGAGTAGGTTATTGTTAAGGAATGAATTTTGTATGTGCTTTAACTTTGATTGTATCTGGATGTGATGAACATAAGACTTTTTAATGTTTTATGTAAATGTTAACTAATGAAAAACATTTACTATGCTTTAATTTTTGTCATGATATGCCATTACATTTCTTTTTTACCAAATTGATACATCATTTAATACGTAAAAAGTTTCCAAAACTGAATCTTAAAAATGTAAATGATTCACTTTGGATTAGCAAAATGATTTTATCGCTTTTTATATATGTATTTAAGTTAGATGATTGCATTCGATGTTGGGATTATCTTATGGTAAGGGGAATGATTCGTGGAATTCCTGAATTAATATTAGGTTTCATAGATGTGACATAAAAACAATTAGAATAATTTAAAGAAGAAGATTATGGATTTAATTTTTAAGGTCATGAAACTAGTATAATATAATTTAATGTGGGTGAATTAATATATGCAGCCAAATAAAAACATAATATTGATAGATAATTGATCTCAAGATTAGCAACCAAAATGAAAAAAAGTAAACCATCTTAATTGCTAGACTTACTTTCTCATTTTGAAAATATATAAACATACAGAAAACATGTTCAATTTTATATGAAGACCATATTTGATTTATACTGATATTATATTTATTATATTATGATTTCAATTGATCTACTTTTCATTCAAATTTCTAACAAATTATACTGGATTGCCTGCCCATAATTATCCTGAAGGAATCAATCTTCCTGGAGGTACAACACTATCTTCAGCAATCTATGAACCTCTTTCAATTTGAGCACCATCAAGTATGAGTGTTCTTGATCCAATAGTAACGTTATCATCAATTATTGAATTATTAATAATGCAACTATCCCCTATTGTAACATTTTGGCCTAAGAGATAAGATTAAAAGACATACCAATGGTTACACTTGCCAATACATTTGTAGGAAGTCGAGTTCTAGAGCATTGTATTGCTGTGTTATCACCAACAACACTGTTTGAACCTATTCTGATAGCTTGATCATCTGCTCTGAGGATAGCTCCATATCCAATTTGAACATTTTCTCCAAGGTTTACTTACCCAATTAAACTTGCATTATCTTAAATGCTGGCTGATTCACTTATTCTTGGTTTGTAATATCCAAATAATGGCATAATCTTTCTGTGTCTTGATAATGGCTCTAACCAAGCAATGTCATTGGACAAACGAGACCCATATTGATCAAAATCTATACAGTTTACACATATGCTCACTTACACAACCCAGTCTCTTTAAAAGCACGACCCATCAAGTATCTGAATTCGTAGTAGATAGCACCTAAATATTTTTGCATTATTTTTATTAATGTAAAATATATTTAATATATATTCTTCATATGCAATCTTTAAATAATCATATTTTCGGATGAGGTATATGCACCTTTGATGGAACCTTGACCATTAATTACTTAAAATGTCCAACTTTCGCTTCTCTTGTTGACTTACCAACACTGAATGCTGGATATGACTTTTTCTTAGAATTAACTTGCACTCCTACAGCAATCCTTTTTATCTCATTAAGAATACTATTTTGTATCATATGTTTAATTCTTATCCCATCCTTCAAAGATCTTTCCTATTTTAGGTCCCTTTGGTAATGTCCAATTAGGAGCATCTTCTAAATTGCTTGTATTTGCAGGAGGTTTCCACAAATATGCTCCTGGACCCACTATCACTGGAGTTGAACAAGTAGGAGCCAAAGCAGATGCCCCTGGTATATCTCTTCTATATCCAAAAGAATATTGAGCAGGAGTGGGCACTTCTGGCTTTATTGCTGGGTCATATTAAGGTCCAGGTGTTCCCTTTAATCTTTTTTCAGGAGGGAACTAAATATATTTGAATCATACTCTAGATTCCAATCCAATCTTAACGTTTGGATATTTGGGTTTTCGAATCAAATCTGCTTCTTAAGGTTCAAACTATCATTATTCAATTTCAAGTTTACATCCACATCTTTCCTTTAATAATAATCAAATTTGGCTCCTGTATTCAAAGTATTACGAGCATCAGTTCCAAATTTTGTATTTGCATCTTATGTGTAATAAAATTGATCTCCTCCTCTTACATTATAAACAGGCCCAGGACTAGCCTTACCTTAATTTGGTTATATATAATATTCTTACCCCCAAAATCTATTCTAGCAAGTTCTTTGTTGTGATAAAGCTTAGCTTAATTTGCACGTTCAGCTGAGCCGAAACTAAAACTAGGTAGAGTTTATTTTGTTGATAGTGGCATCTTCCCTATTGAACTAAAAGCTTGTTTATTTTCGAATTCGATTAAATCTGCGTAAGAATATACTTTGGGTTAAGCCTTAACTTCCTCTTTTGTTTCGGCCATTTAAATTAATATTATATATTATCAAAATCTCATGTTTATATATATATATTTCAATTTTTTATTGAAAAAAATAGAGTGAATCTCAATTTATATGAATAATAATTACATTATGAATTTTTTAATAAGACAATTTTTAGCTTGAAAAAAATTGACTAATTTTCTAAGAAAAAATTATATTATTGTTTTTAAATCTTAAAAAATGCATATAAAAAATTTTCTTACTGAATACCTTCTAATATAGATTTTAGGGTTTCAATAAATCATATGAAATGAAGATCAGTTTATTAATTTATGAAGATGATTAAAAATATTATTAAGAAAATTATATCGCCTCTTATTAATACTATAAGATATTTTATAGGCTTGCTGTATAGGTTAAAAAAAATAATTATTTTGTGATAATAAAATCTAAGTGTGGTCTTTATTCAGTATTTACAAAATTTTTAAAGTGAAATATTTTAAACTTGTATTCTCATAAAGAAAAGGAGGTTTAATAAAAAAAGAGAATAATTTAGTTATAAAAATACACATCTTTTCGATCAATAATATATAACTAATATATATTTATTAATCATCTGTGCTTTAATCATTCTAGAGTGTCGATTTTGGTTTCCAAATTATCATTCTTCAAGAAGAAATCTGGTTGCCCTATAGCATCAAATACTACTCCACATAATTTCACATTATATTAATCTAATTAGCCTTTATATTAATATTAACTAATTACAATTATAATTGTATGGCCTAATTGATCCATATTCTTTTGTCACTTCTTAGGAGTTTCGTGCATTTATATCAAATTTTAGCTTATCAGAGTCAATTGAATTTTAGCTTATGTTTCTTTCTGCCATCCGAACTTATTTAATTTTATTTATTATTATTATTGATTACTGGACATATGTTTATGTACCCAAATAAAAAAATTCAAATAATTTTAAATTTCAAATTTATATCTTCAAACTAAAGGGATATATGAATTAAGAATAAGGTAAATAATAACATACTCATAGATATCATGATAAATTATAGAAATAAAATCGGATATATTATAATATGTAATTTTTTATAATAATTTAAAAATAAATGAAGATAATATAAAATTATCATTATATAATAAACAGAAATTATTGTTAGTGTCCTCCTATTAACAATATAAATACTTAAAAATTACTTCAACAAATTACTTGTTTAAGAAGGTGCTAAATTATACATTGTCTAAAAGGATGATTCAAATTCTTCAAAGTAATTCTATATTTGTACAAATATTAATTTTGGATTGATTGCATTAGTATTTCTTTATTAAAGTAATTCTGCCATTCTTTTCATTTCTAAATATATTAAGATAATCACTTTATTCATCATTGATTTAATCTACATCTTCAAAACCAATATCATATTTTAATAGAAATTCTACTTCCTATTTTGATTCAACTAAATTTATGCCTCCCAACTTCTTAAATTAAGACATCAGGAGTATTAGTTTATTATTATTTAAATAGAGTATTAAGAATATTATCCAAAATTTCAATTCTCAACTTAACCAAAGAAAATGCAATTTTAGCATCTTTATTTGAATCATGTGTGTCCAATTAATTTTAATAAATTTATTTACTATTTAAATACTTAAATTTAAATATTTATAAGCTAAGTTTTTTAATGATTATTTTCTGTTACTTTCTGTCATATAAAAGACACTAGTATCCACACATTTATGATTTATTATCTATAAAGCATTTTAATCATTCTCTAAAGAATGACCTAAATAGAATCTTAATCTGAAATAGATTTAACCAACTTTTATGCTTCTATCAATGTAACAGTAACATTACTTAACATATCCTCAGTTATACCACTATATCTATAGAATAGTATAATTCTTTAAATACTTAGTGTAATTTATGGTTTGACTAATATATTAAGTACAACATTGTAATTATAATCTACAATTGGCAGTCTAGCAAGTTCTAATCTATTTTCTGTCAACACCATTTCACAATCAATTGCAAAATTTATTATTCCTATTTTTTACACTTCCCCATCTAATTTCATATAATCAGAATATATTTTTTCATCTATTGGATATAAATTCATTTTGAGTTATTCCTTAATTAAAATAAAATTTTGATATTTATTGTAGATTTATTTTTATTATAAGATATCCTATTTATTTATTGATTATGTTTGTTAAGTTTGAAATAGTTGATCTTCATGATATCTAGTATAAAATGCTGATTGCCAAAAGTTCCCTTTCCCTAAATCTAAATCCTTAAAATACACAATCTTGTCTTCTTAAATAAAAGATGATTCTAAATCTAATCCAAAATTTAGATTCATTATTATTCCACATCTAATTAATTTTTTATTCTATTTTATTACAATAATTACAGTCATTGTTAATCATAATGGATTAACTTAATTCTTGCAAAATAACCATATTAATAAATTTTATAGAGTTTTTATTTTGAAATACTTTTTAGGGATTTCATGATCAATCTTAACTTTAATCTATAGTTTATCATACTAATATCAATTTTTTAGGGTAATCGTAATAGAATACCAACAGGAGTAATACATACTTTTTTCTATAAATAAGTAATATAAATATATTCGTATTTTGTGGTTCCTCTGTATTTGTATTCTTTGTAGCCATTAAAAAAATGACTTAAAATTATTATATTAAGTAAAGAAAGAAAATATAGAAAAGTGAAATAATTATTTAGAATAATTTAAGGATTATAAATAGAAAAATAGAAATTTAATTAGAATTGCATATAATAAAACTAATTTAAATTTGCTTAAAGCCTCATTATTATCAAATTTAAATTTATTATGAAATTTTACTTGCAAACTTTCTAGATGTAGGATTAAACATTGTCTATTTGACCTTAATGGCAACACTTTTCATTAATGCTCTATTATTAATATTTGATTATTTACTCCATAATTAGATCTCGATATTTTTGATTTTTATTTAAAATCAGTTAATAATTCTCTTCCTTCAACTAAAATTTAAGTCTTATATAAGTAAAGATAAATACGTATAGACTGTTCTTCCTTCTTCTTTTTCAACCAAACTAATTTAACCTATATCTACATATTAAATTTCAGTTGATTCAGAGATTGTTTAATTTTTTTATTTTTGATTTGATTACTCGTTTTTTTCAGGAAAATCAAGTTTTGCTAGTACATTGAAAATTTCTGATCCAATTTTGAATCCTTAATAGAGAAGTAAAGCATTTTCTTTAATTTCATACAATACAATGCTAAAATAAGTACCAGATAAAGCATCCTTACTATCTTAATTATTTTCTATTTATTATCGACTATTTTAGAATTCATCATACGAATTCTCTTACATTATATTATAAAATTTATCTTGAAATCTTTTATCATATTATTAATAACATTAATTTAGATAATCTTGGATTTTTTTAATTTATTATTATTCTTGATTTTAAAGAACATATGATGTAGATACAGATTTTTCTTATAAATATTTTTCTATTAACTATGAATATTAAATTCTTTTACATTAACCCATCTTATAATTTATTTGCAATTTTCAAAAGTTTCAATCAATTTTAGAAATACTTCAATTGTTTAATTTTAAATACAACCTATACGATTACTAATTTCTTAAAAATTCACTTATCTATTTAATTTAGATAATTCCAAAATTGGATAAATCACTTATTCTTTAAATAATTAATTAAAAGTTATTAAAGGAATAAAATTTTCAGTTACATTGTTATTAAAATCTTAAGAAAGTTCTTCAGTCTCATTAGAATTTATCTTAATAGTATAATTTTATTCAAAATGAGTCTTTACATCATTTAGTTAGAATTCTTTTCTAGTTAAATATATTAAAGTTTAATTTTGTGACATATTTTAAATTAATTTTGAAATTTCATTTTAATAAACTTGTCTTAGTGCATCTTAATTTTCCCAAAATTCGAAATTATTTGTAGATTTCTTCTCTAATAGTGCTATATAAAAACCTTCATCTAATTGATTAACTTTCCTTCTGATTAGATCACTAATTTCTGAATTTTCTAATTCTATTATAATAACATCCTAAAATTATAATCATAATACTTATATTTTAACTTCTTTTTTTTATTGTTCTTGGTGTTTTTCTGATTAAGGATTTCCTTAATTCTAATTAACATCATTTTTTTTTGTATTTGTCATATCTATATTTTCTCTTATTATTTTATTTAAACTGGTGATTAAAGTATTTTCAGAATTAGTTTCTCGAAATTTTTTTATAAATTATGAATTAAATATCTTGTACTATGTAAATGCTTTCTGTTGTAATATATTCATAGCAAAAATAATGAAGTGATCATTCTTATCTAATTTTGATTACTATTCTCGATCTTTCTATTACCTAATTATAGTTGCTGCTTAATCAACTACTTAATAATCAAAAGAATTACTTAAATCATGACTTTCAAAGAAAAGTGATTCAGAAATAACTTAATATCTATTGGGTCCAAATTAATTTCTTATTCCTATTATCTGATCTAGCTCATACTATTCAATCATATTAATAGAAATTAAAATAAAATAAATTTAATATATAAAATAATGATTTCTTTGAATTATTATTATAGAATTTCACAAAGTATTTCCATTAGTTTTATTTATTATTATTTAATTATCTAAATTATATATGAGATTGTTGAATATTATTATTATTATTCAATAGAGATATAAGAATATTATTAAAATTAATTTAATTATTCATGAATTTATTAAACAGGATTATTAGAATCAATATTCAAAGACCCATCACTTCAAAATTAACATAATTAATAAGAAATTAATTAGAAAATATAGCATTTTATTAACCAAAAGTACTTGCTGTTCAAATTGATTGTTAAGGAGGATCTGTAGTCTAAGCCAAGTAAATATAATATTTACTTTAAAAATTTGCTTAAAAACAAAAGTATTTCATTTATTTAAATTTAGACTCCCTATTTTATGCTTTGCTGGAGCTCAAGTTTATAATAGTGCAAATATCATATTAAGTTGTGGGGATAAGATTATTTCAGCAAATAATTCAGAAATTGGAGATTATACTTTTTCAGGATAAATATGGAATATTTCTGAATTAATAAAAGATCATAATCTAGATGTTGTGAATTTATCACATGGAAAATATAAGGATAGATTGAATCCCTTACAACCATTCAAAGAGACAGATAAAGAATGGTTAAACAATATGAATAAAAATAATGAAATAGAACTTAAAAAACAAATAACATTGAATCTTTCTAAAAGATACATAAATCTACATGAATAAACAGACTGTTTAAATGAGATTTTTTAATCTTCCATATTAAATGGCTATTAGGCTAAAAAATTAAAGTAAACATCATGAAAATTATGAGAATAGTTGATGAAATTGGTACTATTGATGAGTATTTGTAATCAAATTATAAAAATATGAAAACTATAGAATTTTTTAAACCTTAAGCTTATAACATTTAATAAGAGATTATAGAAAAGTTAATATCATGATTATTTTATATTTTAAGAGTATAGGATTATTTAAAAATTAACAAATTATATTATTTATATTATTTCATCCTTTGATTTAATTTGTTAGACAGTATCTCATAATAATTTTATTTTAAATTAAGTAAATTCCAATTTATTAATAAATCTTAATATTCATAATAACAAAGTAAAATTAAATTAATAATTCCATTCTTATTTTTATTTCAAATCAATCAAAACAAATGACGATCTTAATTTCTTAATTGAATTTTAGTTCCTTTCAATTCTAACATGTGTAAGAATAATAATAAAAATTAATTACCATAATTTTTATATTATTCAGTTTTATATTTCAATAACTCAACTGTTAATTTAAGATCATGAGCCTTATAATTTATTGTTTTTCCTTAATTTGGTAATAAAATGATTACTACTATATTCAAATTTAACTTAATCTTAATTATTCAGTTTTTTTCATTTTTTCATAAGAATTAATGAAATGTAGTTGAAATTGCATACTTAGAATTTGAAATTTTATTAACCTTTGTAAAATTTTCTTAGCTTTTCTAAACACAATAATTCAATTGAGAGAGCATTTATATTTACTATATTTGAAACATATCAATAAAATATTAAATTAAAATACCTGCAAAGTGATTCCATGAAGCAAACCTTTAATCATTTAAATTCTGTTTTTGCACTTCTGGGCTCAAATTCAACATAAATAAGCCCTATGTCTACAACTGATTTGAATGACTCTATTGAATACTATATAGATTAAAAAGAATATTAAACTGAAGTAGAGATCGTTCGATATCTACATAATTTGGGAGTTCAAACTAAAACAGATCCTTTAATAAAAGAATAGCAGTATTGGAAAGAAAAGAAATTAAGAAGTTAAAATATTATTTTAGATACTCTTGGAAATACTGCTGACAAATTAGTGTTAAATCCTTCTGTTAATAGATTGTTAAGAAAGAATGTAACTCAAAAGAGACTTAGATCAAACAGTCCCCTCTTACTGTTGGATTGATTCTGAATCTTTTTATAATATCTTTAGAAATATATATCATCATATTAATGATAAATAGAAGTTCTCATATTAATTAATTAGTTTAAAACATTTAATTAATTTCATCAAGCACCTTTTAGAATTCCTTATTTAAACCTTATTATTTTTCTTTTAAGTTCTATCGAAAAGTATATAGTATTAAGATTTCCTTTCATAATTTGATTCTTATTACTTTTTTTTTCTTCTAAATTATTTAATCACAAATTTTACCTCAATTTCATTTACAATTTTTCAAAATTTAATATAAATTTCAAGCATTTAAATTCATGTATAATTATAACTATTCATAAGTATAATTAAATTGTTAATATCAAATATTAAACATTTCAATTAAGATGATAGCTTAAAGAAACCTTGATTTTTTTTAATTAAAAAAAAGTTTTAATTTTCTAAATTTTATGAATCATTTAAACATCATTACAATAATTTATTAAATACATAAATTTTTTGTTCAAACTAACTTTTTTGTTAAGATTTATCAAATTTTTATTATGATTATTTGACCCATCTAAGGCAATAATACAAACAAAATAAATCATAAGCCTTTATCAATTTAATTCATTATTTTAGGTCTGTTAAATAATTTGCATTATCATATATTAGCTTAGTCTGCTTATTTTATATATTAAAATTTTTCATTCTATATATTGCTTCTAAGAAAATAGTACATTTGTTTCACTATAAATAAGTAATAAATTGAATTATTAAAATAATTAGAAAGACAATCCTAATTCTATTTAATTAAGAATTCTTAATAATCATTTGTGAAAAAATAATACTAATTGATTTTATTATATTAAATTGATTATATAAATCCATTTTAAGTTATCAAAATTATAGATAAAAATACATAATAATTCATTAAAGATAGTCATAGTTATTAAATATAAATATTATAATCCAAAAATAAAGAACATCAGTATTGTAATTAATTTGGTTATAAACTCAAAATCATTTTATTAATATTTTATCATCTTATCTATAAATAATGAAGTTTGGAACAGTTGGTGCAATATCTGCTATTTCTAGATCTAAGAGATCTTAATAGTATATCCCTGGAAAGAATGAAGATATAGAGTTGACTGAGAAATAGTTGAATCGTATTTTATATTGATAATGAGGTAGATGCAGAAAAAATAATGAAAAGCATTTCAAAAGATAAAAAGTCATTAATTTTATATAGAGTTCCTGTATTGTATTATAATAATCATTTGGCTTAGTATTTGGGGAATAGGGATATTGATAATTTTGTTATCTTTATATTTGCTTTACAATTTGATTTGGGGTTTGGAAGGGAAAGTGTTTAAGTAGGGAACTACATGGTGGTAGTACTTTGTTAGTTTTATTATTATGGGAATAGGGATCAGTTTTTTGATAGCTATAAAGAGGGAGAAGCTAATATTCAATAAAGAGGTAAAATGAAATATATACTTAGAGAGATGAGATAATATTGTGTTATAGGAATATTTGTTGTCAAAAGAATGTTATGGAATAGAAAATTTCACATTTAAGTAATATGAGAATGGTTAAGAGAGGGATGGATTGTAATATTATTATGGTTAATTGTTATAGCAATCTAGAATTCTACTTTGCATTATAAGATTGTGCTTTCTTTTAATGATGGATAATATTTTGAAATATTGGAAGGGAAGAGTGAATACAAAATTAAGGGTCAATTTATACAGATAGCTAAATATATCAATTATGCATATTAAGATCTTTAAATAGTTGATGAAACATTCCAAGTAAGATGAGTATATAATTAATTTGATTTTGTTAAATTCAAAAACAGTATTATTCTTAATTTATAAGTTAAAATGTATTGGAATCATGATCCAGAAGAGGAATTTGAATTACTTGAATTAATAGGTGAAGGAGCATATGCAACAGTATATAAGGGAAGACACAAAGAAGATGGATAAATAGTGGCAATTAAAATAATTCCAATGGTTGATGATGTTGACAATTTAGTATAAGAGATCAAAATTTTGAAAGTAAGATTTATCTAATAAGGATTGTTAACATCCTAACATTGTGTCTTTTTTGGGCTCTTATTATAAAGAAAATAATCTCTGGTTATTAATGGAATATTGTTCTACAGGTTCTGTTTTAGGACTTATGGAAGTTATGGAGAGAGGGTTGAGTTAGGAAGAGATAAGTGCTATTATGTATTCAACATTATTGGGGATAGAGTATCTCCATTCAAACAAGAAAATCCATAGGGATATAAAAGCAGGGAATATTTTACTTGATCATAAGGGTTAAGTGAAATTAGCAGATTTTGGTGTTGCTGCCTAATTAACTTATTCATGTGCAGATAAAGTACAAAATTCATATAAAAATAAAGGGAACATTTATAGGAACTCCATTTTGGATGAGTCCTGAAGTGATTAGTAAATCTCGTTATAATTAATTGACTGATATTTGGTCTTTAGGAGTAACAGCTATAGAATTAGCAGAAGGGGCTCCACCTTATTCTCATATTCATCCAGTCAGAGCTATGTTTGCCATAAAGAATAATCCACCAATGGGACTTACTAAACCTGAATTATGGTCTAAGGAGTTTAATTAGTTTGTTAAGGCTTGTTTAAGAGTTGAAGTAAATGAAAGACCTACTGCATAATAATTATTACAATATACTTTTATAAAATAGGGGAAATAACATTTAAAAAAGTTACTAAATTTAGTAGAACAATATTCTAAGAAAATAGAGGAAGCAAGATAAACAAAATTAAAAAAAAATGATCATAGTTTATAATCAATAAAAGATTAGGCTCCATTAACTATAATTTCAAATTGTGAAGAGATAGAAGATGAGATATCTAATGCTGATTATGGTACTCTTGTAATTAAAGATTAAATGATACAAGCAAAGGATGAACCTGATTTTTTAAAATGGAATAAAATGGATTAATAGATAAGTGATCATTAAAAAAAGAAAGTAGAACATACAAAAGAATTGAGTTTAGAAATACAGATATAAAATATGAATTTGGATGAAAGAAAGAAATTGAAAAATTAAATTGAATAATAGATGTATGAAGAATTAGAATTAGTAAAAAAGAAATATGCATCTAAATTGGATTTACTTAATATAAAAATTAAAGAAGAAGAAGATAAAAGAAAATAATAATAATAATAATAATAATAATAATAATAATAATAATAATAATAATAATAATAATAATAACCTTTAAATTTACCATTCAGCTTTTAAGTTAGTTAGGAAGTATTACAATAATTAGCAAATGTTAAAACACCATTAATAAAATCTCAATAAGTTAAATAAGCCAAACCTCCCCCTTTTGAATTTATACCTAAATAGAAATTATGATTAAAATTACCCGCTAAATATTCGTTATATATATATATATAAAATTTATTATTAAAAATGGATTAAACTGTTGTTGATTAATTGTCTTTAGATGCCATACCTTATTACTAAGAATAATTGTACGGAGCACTCTCTCTAGTATTGGAACTTTAAAATAGAATTGAAGCTGAGAATGATATAACAGAAAATATTGTCGTTAAAATATAAGATGACAATAAAAATGAAATTTATCAACATGTTCTAGATTTTGATGAAAAACATATAGATGATGTAATATAAGAGATGAATGATAAATGTTTTTCGTAATTGGAAGAGATAGATTAAGAAACATGCAAATAAGATGAACAAATATTTACTATGAATTAGGTAGCTTTATATATTATAATTTAGAAAATAGATGAATTGGAAGATATGATTTGCTAATATATGAAACAAACAAATAAAGATTAAGTAATCTTAAATGAATTGACTAATTTAATTAAGGATAAACAATTACTATTGTAAGACATTAATTTTGAGATTAAAGAATAAGAATAAATCAATAAATAAAATTAGCAATTTATGAAAAGAAGAATGAAATAAGAAAAATTAAAACAATAAGAAATTGATGAGAAGATGCTTTTAAAATAAAAGAAATAAGAACAGAAATAATTATTAAAAGAAAAAACTGCAAAAAATGAAGAACTACAAATGTAATAAATGTTAGAGGAAAAACAAAGACTTTAATAGGAAATAGATGAAATGATAAATAGTTAAGAATAGAAAGTATAGTAATTACTCAGTCAAATGGAAACTACTGTTATGGAAGAAGATGAAAAATCCATAGTAACATCTGTTGTATTAAGAGAAAGTTCTAATAAATCACATTATGAAAGAAGAGAAATTAAAGAACAACCAAAAAGTAGAGCTTGTTGTGGAGAGTGTACAATTTTTTGATTAGTTAATGTATAATTTTAATATACTTTTATTAAAATACTAAAAATAGTAGTATCATAGATAAATAACTGAAACATCTATTTCTATCTTCAAATCATTATGAGTTTACATAATAATCTAAATAATAAAAAAAACTAATTATCTTATTTTGTTAATCTTCTCTCTCTTTATGAAAACTCCTAAATTTGATTACATTAATGTTATTTATTTTCTCATTCATTTATTTTTATCTATGTGAAATCAGTAATTAAGATTAATGATGAACAGTTATTTTGGTTAATAGGATGTCCATTTATTAGATATGATTTTAACTACTCTAAATATTTTATTTAGTATAAGAAATTGAATCTATTAATATATATATGCTCTAAACAATAGGTGAAAGACCTTAAATACAACCACCCATAAATTATGGGACTGTTAAATACTCATTCAAATGTATACGTCGGCACTTATTTAAAGATAAAATTTACTATGTTCATGCTTTACCCAATATGATTACAATAGGAGATGTAAATAATCAATCATAATCTTAGCATATCAATGATCCTTTTCCTAAGTATACATTAGAATTGAATTTGAAAAATATAGTTTATTGGAAGTAAGAACATGGTTAAAATCGTGCCTTTGGTATAAAATATAAGTAAGTTTTGAAAAATGAGAATATTTTAGAAAGAATGTGAAGTACTTTGAAGCAACTTCAGAATAATTACAAAAATTTCGATAGGAAATTAGTTGTTTAATTGGGTTCCATTCCTTTGATGATCACTATAAAATTGATGAATTAATTGGGAAAGGATCATTTTCTTCTGTATATAAAATATTTAGAATAAATGATAAAAAAGTATTCGCAATGAAATATGTATCAAGTAAATAAACGAACAAAAAAGAAAATATGGTATAATATATTAATATTAGTAGCAATTAGTCGAAAATGAAATAGGAATACTTAAGTCCTTCAATAATGAATCCATCCTAAAAATATATGAAGTCTATCGTGTTGAAGAGTATCATTATGGAATTATAGTTGAATATTTAGATGGAATTGCATTATCTACTTTAATCGAATAGTTTAAGAAAAATTAAAACATTCTTAAAGAATCAGACATCAAAATAATTCTTTAAAATTTATTAATGGCATTAGCTGTAATACATTAAGAATAAGTAATACATAGAGACATTAAACCATAAAATATAATGATTTCCTAACAACATTATAATTGTGTCAAAATTATTGATTTCGGACTTAGCATTAAGAATTAATTACAATATAATAGATGTGGAACTCCAGGTTATATGGCTCCTGAAATTGTAAATATGAGAAAGGATTAATAAAAGGCTTGGACATCTCTTTGTGATATTTTTAGTCTTGGAGTAGTATTCTTTAAACTGTATTAATATATATCTAAGACTTATAGATTATCAAAAGGAATCAGTTGTTTTTAAGGTTAAACTTCTGATTAAGTCTTAGCTAACAATAAAAATTGTTAAATTGATTGGTCCATAGTATAACAACATAATTATTCTAAAAATTGCATTGTAAAAATGATAAACTTTAATAATTAGTCACTATTAAAAGCAATGTTAGCAAAAGATCCTGAAGAAAGAATTACAGCATATTAAGCTCTTCAACATCCATTCTTTGGAGATGTGATTTAAACTATGTATACTGATTATGTTGGACATTCAATTAATCTTAAATCAAAATAAATTTTAAATCCAACAACTGAAAAACAAAATCTCGATTCCTAATAAAGTGTAGAAGATAAATAAATTTAAAAGTAGTAAGTTTACAACAGAGACATAAAACCATCTATTTTAAGTAGATAAAAATGATTATACTTTTTTTTTCAAAAACAGATAGTTATTTATTAATTTTTTATTTATAAAAATTATCAAATTACTGGATATTTGCCAATGTATTTTAATTATTCTTCATTAATAATTTTATTTTATATAATTTTTAGTGATTAATAAAAGAATTTTGGAAATTTCCATTATACTTTATATAAACTAATCTCTTTAGTATGTAAATCTAAGAACCATGCAGCATATTTCAATATTTCATATTCTCCTATTAAATATCATATGATTAAAGTTAATACTATCAGGTAATTATTCAAAACTTAAAAAATTCCTTTCCATAAATTTAATAAAAACTTTACCATTTTAGTAATTTCCCTTATGAAAATTATTAATGTCTTCCTAATTCATTTTCTTAAATTGTTCTAAATGATATTAAGTAAATTATTTATTATTGAATTCATTATAAAGTCTACCTAAATTTTATCTAAATCATTTACTTAGCATAAAAAAGAGTTCCTTATATTTATCCTTTTTTCTTTCAGCCTCAACTAATGCTTCTTAATTCTTTTTTTTATACCAATCTATTATAGCCTTCATAATAGAAGCTAAATCTATTGACTTAGCATCTTGATAGGCTATTATCGCTCTATCAAATTTTAGTAAAAATAAATATAAATTTCCTTTATGAAAATTTACTTTTTCATTATCAAATTCTTCACACCTACTTGCATTTATATAACAATCCAATGCATCTTAAAACTCTAACTTTTTAAATAAGGATTCACCTTTTTATAATCTTCATATTCTACCTTTCAAAAAATATGATTCAAATAGCTTTGGATTTATCTTTATGGCTTCATTAAAACATTAAATTGCTTAATCATATTTTAATTCAATATAAAAACAGAATCCTAAATTAAAATTAAAAGATAACCTTAATAATGCATAGCCAAATAATCCTTTGGGTTAATTTCAAATAATCTTTTAAATTACTAAATCCCAATATTTGTCTAATCATTCTCTTTTATAATAAAGAATGCTTCTTTTAAGAGAGCACAATAATAATCTTCCTTATTCAATTACTAAATAATATCAAAAGCGTCTTGTATTTTATTAAGCCTAAGTAAGAATAAAGCTTTTAAAAATAGAAGATCATGGTTCACACCCTATATATTATCTAAATATATCTATGCTTGTTCATATTTATTGTCTAAAGTTAAAATATAACCTATTATAAACATAAGAACTATAACTTTAAAAAAAATAATTCCAAATATTATTAGTGAAATATTAATTTATCTAATCGCTTATGATATTAACTTCTTATGTTTTATCTTACATATGTAAAATAATTCCTATTATTATTCAAATCAATTTATTAATTACCTTTCAATAGATATCCATAAACACTATTTTTATTAGTATCAATCAACATTTCTGATTATTTCAGAGCTAATTCCATTTAACTTTCATTCAATAAAGTCAAACCTTTATTAATGTAAATTTATACATTTGTAAATTTAGACAATCTCAGTAAAATTCCTATGCTAAAGGATTTTCTCAAATAGTTCATTAGCTTATTTAAACTTATTGCAATTAAGTAATATTTTTCCTATATATTTTCAACTTAATTACCATAGAGTAGATTATAAAAGGATTCATTTGTTGTTTAAGAAATTAATTTATATTTTTCTAGAGCATAATCTAAATTCCCGAATCTTTCTAAAGCAAATCCTAAACAGTTAAATTACAAGATTACCTTCAAAAAATTTTATTATTAAATTCATTGGGTCTATTTAATTATAAATACTAAGATAATTTAAAGCTTCTTCATATTTATTCATTTAGATTAAGTTAAGACTGATATATATATAACATTCTTTGAGAATTTATTAATCCTTTTTGTTATCACTTAATTTCTTAAAGAAATCAAGACTCTTTTTGTATTCTTTAATTATATATAGATTTCTTCCAAATAAACACTCTATATTCCATTTAGTATTCGTAGATTTCAATATAATTCCCTGACTAAAATCTTAAATATTTTTGGTTATAAAATATTTTTTTTATGTTAATTTTAATAAGGTGTTAGAAACTTAAAATGCTTCTTCATATTTTTGAATTGAATATAATAAGCAGCCTTATAAATGAATGTAAAACATACTTTTATCAAACATGAGTATTATTAAATGTTCTTCTTAAACTTCTTGGAATAGACTATCAAAAATCTATTTTATATTATTTATCTACTCATTATTAAAGAACTAAGACTATAAAATTAATTCTGTTAAGATATCCTATAAAATGAAATCTTAATTTATTGTTGTAAGAAATTCAAAGTTTAATAGTTTTTGTAAATTTTAATTTATAAGATGGGATTTGACAATTTAAAGTGAAGTGTATTTTGTTTGAAGAAATGAATTAAATTGTTAATTAGTTATTAAGTTTTTGAATGCCATATATTATTTTGCCATTTCAATTTTTAGCAATATTTATTCAACTATTAAGAGAATATTGTCAATAATTAAAAAATCTTCATTATGCTTGTAATGGATTTCAGCAAAACAAAGATTACAACTCAAATAACTCTACTTACATAATTGGCAAATCCCAATAATTTTGTTATTTTAATGGTGAACTTTTTGACAAGAATCCATGTAAATGAATAATTTTATGGAATAATTATTAATTAATATTAATATAATTACAACAATTAAATTTCTTATTTTTTATTAATGCAAAAAAAAAGAGAATCAAATTATTGTTGTATTTGAATTATATTAAATAAAAATATGATAATAATTAAATAAACATAGAAATATAGTGATTCTATTTTGATATATAGATATATATTTCGTTTCAAAATCTATTCATCTTTTCTTTTTATTTGGACGTATTTCAATCTAAAATTATTTCAATATTTCTCCATTTGCATATAATTAGACTGCTTTCATGGTTTCTTCAGATATAAAGTAATGTCTTTTCTTTTATGATGTAGTGGACATAGATTTTTCATCTATAGTTCTTTTGCTTTTGTTATTAGTGGATCTATTTTCAGAAGGTAATTTTGGTTCTTTTTATTCTTTAGCAGGAGGTAAATGAAAACTGGTAGCACTTTTAGTTTTAATAGGTTTATTTGTTGGTAATCTATCAGTTGGATTAGGTTTAATAATTTAACTAATCTATTGACTACTTCTTTCTTCAGCTAATTATAATTTTTTTTTATCAAATTCCTCTAAATAAATTTAATATTTAATACTGCTAAAATTCTGATTTTTTCATTTTAAATATTAATTTCCATTTACTTTTTAGTTTCTTATAATTTTTAATATTCATTTTATTATTATTTTAATCTTCTATCTGTTTCTTCAAATCTCTAAAATTTAAATAACATAATACATCTAACAGAACTGCATTTTTATATTATTCTTTTCTTTTTTAAATTTAATAATTTTAAGCTGCATCTTCCAATTTCAATAATTCTTATACATATTTTCTTTTCATATTTAAAATATTTTTCTATCTTAATTCTTCAGCATTTAAAAATTATTATTATTTTAAAGCTATAATTCTTTGATTCTCCAATTCAGTTTATTTATCTAGATATCTTTATTTCTAATTAATATTTTAGAATAAATTAATATACCATTTAAACTTCTTCCATATGAGATTATAATATTAAACTACTCTCATCTCTCTTTATTTTTTTTTATTCTTCCAATCTGGATTTCTTCAATTCTCTTTCTTTCTCTTAACTAAAGTATTCTTGATTTCTTCTATGTTATTCTTAACTTATAATTAATTTCTTCTATTCCATCATGTAATGTTTTTATTATTCTTAATTTCTTTTCTACTATAATAATTATTATCTATTAAATTCTTGCATAGTATTTCTCATTTAAATATCCTTCTCTTTTGAATGAATTCTTTATTCCATTTAATAAGTCTCTAATTATTTTTAAGCAGTAGCATTTTAATATTTTTCTCTAGCTCTTTCTTCTTTTAATTAATTTTATTATCTTATATATTACTATTTCTCTAATAACATTTATTCCATATTTTCTAATTTTTTGTTATATTCTTATTTTCTAATCTAATTTTCCTATTAAATTTGTAATTCTTATTCTGCCATTCTTTAAGCTCTCATATTCATTTTTTCTTAAATCTCTCTTTCCCTTTCCTCCTTTTCCATTTGTTTCATCAAAGCATATTTAGCTTATTTTTATTGAATCTTGATTTCCTCCTCTTAGAACTTACGCATAATCGTTTCATTATGTATATCTGCTTATAATTTAGCCTATTTAAGTTTTTATTCTCTCAATTTAAGTTTTTCTTCTTTCTCTTACATTCTTTAATGAAACTCTTCTTCTCTCATTTTCTTTAACTCTTCTATTCTCTATTCCTTAATTTAATTCTTCCTTTTCATTTCTTCAATCTTCATTTCAGTTTATATTTCTCTTTCTATTTCAATCTTCTATTTGTTTTACAATGTTCTAAGCATTTGTTCTTACTTTTACATAAAAGATTGACTCAATTACAATTGACTAGATTAAGACTAGAAGATAGATGATAAGTTACATTTCGTGCATGATCTTCTGAATTATTATTGTATTCTTATTTGACTAGATCTAAAAATCTATCAACTCTATCACGCATATGCTATAATTTGGCTTCAACATAATAGTCTACATCTTCAAATTAGACTCCCTATTATAAGATCTCTTCTCTTGTAGGATAATAGAGATCTTAAACAACCAAACCCAGAGTAGCCAATACTTTTTTTGACCGAGGACTACCTTACACTATAGATTACATACGTAGTTATTTCACTCCTCACTGCAGGATTGAAGTTTAATAAACTCATACAATTAACAATAAAATAAATAAAAAATGAGAAGGAACTTTCAAAATTTAATAAAAGATCCTCCAACAAATGCATAAAGAGAATCAAAACCTCAATAACCAACTGTAGTATAGGTGACTGAATGGAATAAGGCATTAGAATATTTAGATGCAGGAGATATAAATAAAGCATATGAAGAAATATTAATATCAGAAGATGATTTATATTTGTTAAGATTAATGACTATCACTGGACCTTGTGTAAATAAATTGAGTTAGAAGGTGGCCTTTTAATTACATCAAAAGATTAAATTGTTAATGAAATCAGAATTTTGGAAGGTTCTTGCATTACAAATGTTGGGCAATTTATCATCCAAATAAGAATGTTTAAGAATTGAATAAAAGTAAAAATTATAGTAATTACTTTATTAATGGAGTAAATCATGGTAACCTTCAATTAGTAAGGAAACTGTTTTATTATACAATTCAGGAGTATTTAAACCAGATCACATTATTTGACTATATAAATATTATATTAAAATCAAATTGTAGATATATAAAATAATTGATTTTTTATATTCATAGAATTTATAGAATCTTTTTAATATAATTACATAATTAAAACAATTACTAAAAAAAAAGTTTATAATAATAATTAATAATAAGATTAGTTCATTTTTTAGTAGTACTTTAAATATAATTTGAACATGTTTTCTTTTCCACAACATATTTTAAGAAGTATTTATACTAGTTTTATATCTTTTATTCAATTATAGTCTTATTACCAATAGATAAACATCTTCTCATTGTTGGATAATTTGAAATTACTTTGTAATGTACAAGATGAGATATTTTAAACCATAAGTCATTTATATTTTGATTTTGTAATTATCCTTTCTATGTTGCTTCAAATTAAAAATTGAAGAATTATTCATCATTAGTATCATATTTGATGTCTTCATAATTTATTAAACTTATTTAGTAATTTTTAATCATTTTATAATAATTAATACATAAATTTCATAAATATGATAATACATTATTTATCATTGAAAAAATAGATTAGTCTTCATCAATTTTCTCTAAAATATAACGTAAATTTTCTCTTTCTGACTATGATATCAATACATATTGACTACTATACCAAGTTTCTTTGTTTAGTATTTCCATAATCGATTCAAGAATAGCCTATTTTAACTCTACATTTTGCAATTACAAAAATTAAAATACTTGTATATGTATTTTAGATTAACATAATTATTGAGTTTATTAATAATTACCTTTCTATAAATATGCACATAAAGTAAAACAAGCTTAAATATGTATTTATTCATCTTATGAATTCAATAATTAGATTACATAACTAGTTATATCAGTTTATTGAAATATTATATCATAAAATTATTTTCCTCCACAAATACAGAATTCTAATACCCATAATGCTTAATTTTAAACTAATTTACTATAATAATCTTAAATAATAAATACTTATTTGAACATAATTTTTATTGTAATTATTACAACAATCCATTTTTTATCAAGATTTCAATATGAGCTGGACTTTAAGATGCTATTTCTGCCAAAATTCTTAATGTCAATTAATCATTTAATCCTTCATTTAATATTTACATTAATTCTAAAGCACCATTAAATTTAAATATTTATATAATCTAATGTCTAATAAAATATTTAATACATAACCATTATGCATTCCAACAAATGTTAAATTGAGTAATATTTATAATAAATAATTTAATTTATCCAAATTTTTAGTTGATAATGCTGTACATACTGGTTTAATGAATACTTCTGCATGTTTTCTGCAATCATTATCCTATTTGTACAAATCTTACAATAAAGATGCTATCAATTGTAAATGTAATTCAAGAATACTATTATCCATTTAATTCTAAATTAAATAGAATTTATCTATACATGAAAAGCATGGCAAATACTATGTGTAAACATCTTACTTCTTAATAATTCTCCTCTTGACTAAAATGTTGTTGAAGAATACATCAAAATCTAATCAATTTTAATAAATGAATAAGATAATCTAGATATTTCATCATGTCCTTTTTCTAATGGACAATTCTGATCATTTCCTTTTATGCATATACCTTAACGAAATATTTCAGCCTCCAATAAAATGAAAAGCTAAGAAAATGAGATAAGCATCTCATTAAATTTAGGATAGTTATGCAAATGTTCATCTGGTAATAATACTAAATTATTTAGATAAATCAATATATTTTTGAATAAATCCCAATTAGTATAGAGTTCATTTAAATTAAGTAATTTACACAATTAGAAACCTAATTCATTTTAAACCATTTCAACTATAGGTTTATTTACTTTTTCATTAATCAATATTAGTAGATCTAGTAATTTAATTTTTCCCATATATTGCATTTACTAAGCATAATAATCAGAAATTTAAGAATCAGAATTTGTTATTTTTCTTTTCAAATTGAAGATCTTTTCAAGTTGATTTCTTCTAATTTCAGTGTGAAATTGCTCTCTTTTACATCTTAATAAATCAGTCTCATTCATAGTAAATAAAATAGATTAAATATTGAATTAAATTTCTTCATTTTACATCCTTAATAATACAATTTTATAAGTATATGATACTATAAACAGTATTACATTTGATATTAAATATGAATGTTAGAAGAGATATATTTTATTGATATTATGCATAATATAATGAAATGTTGTTTTAATGATTATTATATGTATTTGCCTCATTCCTGCTCATGTGTCTAATAGAACACCTTCTAAGTTGTTCTAAAGCTGTCAATATATCTGACCAAGCAATTAGTCATGGCATCTTGATCTTATTCTGTATATTGACCATTGAATTTTTTCATATCTGGAACAAGCTAATTGAAGCAATTTTTAAATGCTTAGCTAACGAATAATTATCCTGATTAGATTGAACTCATTAATTATTATTATTATTATTATTATTATTATTATTAATTAAAATTATTTATATAAATTTAGTATCATCATTATTTTTATTTAAGTACTTCAACTAATCTTTATAAAGCCTTAAAATAATTACGTGTCTTGATAAGGAATTAAAAATTAGGTACTACAGATTAAATATAAGTGAATGTTAATTCTTTTTATTAAAAATAATCTGTCTTATTTTCGAATATATTTACTATCACTTTATGTTGTGTATGAAATAATTATAATTATAATAAAACTAAATGTTTATTCTTCTTTTTTATTACTTCACTATAAATGTATCCTTCTCCATCTTTCTTCTTATCAATTTAGAATTGATCAACACTTTCTGTAATTATATATTTTCTTAGAGTATTAGCTGTTTCTTAATGTTGCAAAGCCAATTATGATAAATTTAAATAGTTTTATGTTTTAATTTTGTAAGTTAAATAATGACACATATTAATAATATCTGAAATTGATAATTTACTATTCATATAATTGGTTTAAGATTTAAAAAAACCATCTGCTATAAATAAATTCAATAATTCTCTAAGATTGACTCTTATATCCTTAAAGAAATAGTTGGTTAAACAATAATATCTAAAATAGATATTGTAATTAGAAGATGATGAATATGGCATAGGATTCAAAGGTTTTAAGATATCTGTTCTTTTATTATTCAAAGGTTCTAAGAAACATTCAACATAAGCTGAACCTAATCTTTCAATTCGAAATTATGCACTACATATAAATTCCATAATCTAACTATCATAGAAATTAGTATTCAAAATATATCTACTTTTAGAAAATTTGAATTATTGAGTAACTCTAACATGATTATTAATAATCAATTTTTCAAATTTCTCAGTTAATTCTGTTTACACTTTATAATTATATCTTGAATTTTCCATTGATTATCTTTTCATTAAATGTTCTTTACCTATAATTTTTATTTTTTAATCCGAAATATCTTCAAATGTTTCTATTAATCTATCCATTAATGTATTGAAACTATTAAAATTCTTATCATGTTCTAAATTTAATAGAAATACTTCATTTATTAATCTATTCCATATCTATATTTCAATCAATTTATCATGATTATCTTCATTATTATGTAATTTTCTTGTAAATCCTAAAAATTTCATAACATTATCTGAAATTTAATTATTTTGATTAATAGCTTACTTAATTACTTTATTTTTCATTAAAATTTCATTACTTATCTAAGCAAATCCAATTCTAGAATGTAATTTTTTCTTTTATCTTGCTGATTATAAATCAAAAGGGGATTATTCAGATTTCTTTATTAATTTGATTTTCTAAATTAAATTCATATCTAATTAAGGATGTTTTTTTTAATTTATATGATTACCTTTCTCTTTATTAGATAAATCATTGTAATCTAGAAATTAAGAATTATCAATCAAATTGAATATCAAATGATCTTTAAAATCCATTTCTTAAAAATGTAATATGTTAATATATGTCATCAATTTTCTTTTACTTTTTGGAAAGTAATAAAGTATTTAAAACATGTCTAAATAAGTATGAGCAAGAATAGAAATAATTACAAATTCTTATTTAATTAATTTGATATTCTTTAATTCTTTAAATTACATTTCATTAATTATTTTTATTTTATTTTTTTATTTAATTATATAAAACTTTTAAATATAATGTCCAATTACTCTAAAAATTCTATGAACAGTATTTAAATAATTCTTATCAGTAATATTTTGATCAAAGTTATTTTTAGGAAATTCATTAAATGTACATCTAGTTACCTTTTCATTATAATTTACATTAATAGATTATTATCTATTAAAAAATGAATTAAGCATATATTTATTTAAATTAACAGGGGACTAATTTTAATTGTATTTCATAATCTAAGGTACTCTATATAAGAATCTCTTATCAAATTTAGTATTAGATATAATAGCCTTACACCAATTAAATATGATGTTTGAATCAAAATATTTTTCAACATCAAATTAAAGTTCTAAATCATACTTATTAAATAATAAAATATATTTCTTCAATTTTGAATTAAATTCATATAATTCTACACTCACAAATAAATGTTCATCATCATAAACATATATTTTCTCTGAACCTTTTTATTATTTATGATCTTATAAATAATATACTTTCACATGTACATAACATTATTAATTATTCCATAACTTTAAAATATAAATATAATCTAATCTATCTAAATATTATAATAATTTTTTTGAATTACTAACTAATAAAACTTTTATTTGATGATAATTTGGTAATTAGACCTTTAAATAATTGTAAAATTGATGATCTTTCAAATACAAAAATGAAGTAGGGGAATATAATACACGAATGATTCCTGTTAAGATTTGACATTTTTAATATTTATTCATTCTTTAACAATTAGAAATTTAATGTATTAAATGTTAATCATATAAATACAATATGATAGGTTATTGATGTTATTTTATATAAATTATCTTCATGTAGTTATTTTAATCAATAAATAAAAACTTTCTTTAAAACATTTCAAAATTTTAATATTTATTGTATGTCATAGTTTATTTATGTAAATCACTCCATTAATCTTAAAAATCAAAGGCATAATCAGTAACTTATTCAATTTTTCGAGCTTCAACTGTTATTCTCATATCAATTTGATTTATATCTTAAAATAATTTATTAAAAGGTAATAATTATGCTATTTGATTCTCTTTCTCTCTATTTTCATAACCTCTTCTTATATCATTTTATTCATTTGGATATACACTATATTTAAATACACAATCTATTTTATTGTAAAGACTTTAATGATCCATCTTTTAAATAAAATTATGAGTTTTTGATAAAATATGAAGATATTTAGGTTAGATAATAATTTTTCTATTTTTTATATCTAAAGTAAATGCATTTTTCAATACAATATCAGCTACTTATGAATATGAACATTATTCAGATATAATATTTTTAAGAATTTAATCAAAATTACATTATTGTATGTCTCCATTATTAAATGTAGTTTCTTATAAAGCTTATCCTAATTTACAGAAATCATCCAAATTCATTTTCAATGGTTTAAAAGCACGTTCATTTCTTGATTATTTGATATCTTAAAATAATTGTTTTTCACTCCATTTTAATGATTTATCTCTTTCAAAAACTGTTACTTCAATTCTTACTTTAAAATATTCTTATTTAAATTTCCAATCAAAATGTGAATAATCTACATCAAAAAAATTAGATATAATTTAAAATCCTGTTCTAACTGAATGTTTTTATGCATTAAATAATAAATCATCAAAATGAAATTAACTTTTTAATGTTAAATGTAAACTTATTAAACAATATTTACTGATTTAATTACATATTTAAAAATCATAATGATTCAATATATCTTATATATTGATTGTTGTACATTGTATATATATAGATTTATGAGATAAATCATAAATATCTTCAAGCATTTAATCTTAAAAGAACATACTATTGTTATGTACAAAACGGAATGCCAAAATTTAATTGAGTATACTTTTATTACTTTCAATGAAATCCTTATATCTTGTAGATAAATCCTATGGTTTTTTATAAATGTTACGTCTATATTCTAAGATCTATTGTTCTAGTATTCTTAATTGTAAAATTGTATCATGAACAAGAGGTAAATTCAAAATATATTATGTTGTATCAGACAAAAGATTACAATCTTAAAATTAAGGTAATAATTCATAAACTGATCCAAATATCTTTCTTATTCTAACTATTTATGATGTTTATAGATAATTTAGAATTTCTTTAGTTTCCACTATAGCATTAATATCATCTTCTGTTATATTCTTTCTAGAACGCATCGATAAACCTTAAATAAAATTCAATTTATAATTCTTTGCACATCCATATTTAGTTTATATTAATAGAGCCAATTATCCTTTCAATTCTAAATAATTCATAAGATAATCACGAACTGTTGGCCATACTGTAATACAATTCTATTCTCCAATATCTTCTTTTTATATTGCTCCTATTGGAATATCTAAACGATAAAAATATTAAGATCTGCCTTCACCTTTAAAAAATAATACTATACATGTTCGATCTAAAGTAATATCAGAATATTAAATTGACCAAACAACAACATTTTTGTAGAAGATAGAGACATATCTTATAACAGGATAATATAAAGATTATACTCTCTTAACTAAATAATCATTAGTTTTTTGTATCATTTTTTGAGTTTTAATTCTATCATAATTTTTCAGAGTATCAGTAACCTTATAGAGTGTACAAAATAAACCTAATGGATTAGCAACAGTTTATCCAGGTGATGACAATGGACTATTGAAAGAAGGAGAATTGGCTTTTATAAAATCAATATCATCCAATCTTTTTTTAAGTGCTTTGACTCTATTTGGATGTACTCTATTACTTTTTACTTTTTGTTTTGGTTCAACATTTTTTTTATTTAATTTAAACACTTTCAATCTTAGACAAGCTTATAGAAAACGAATACGTTTAAGTACAGGTTCTGAAAATTAAGGTGGAATTAGACTTTATTCATAGATTGTTTTTTATTTATTCAAGAATACTCTAGTTTGTTTTCTTCTTAATATTAAACCTTCATTCAATCGATGTTATACATTCTTTAATTATGCCAATTATTCTGCATTTCCTTATAAAATTTAAGAGATTTATAATGGTTAGGATTACTACATTGTAATTTTGTGTAAGATGGCTTTGTAATTTAAGAGATTAAGATATTGATTAGCAATCAATTTGGCTAATCTAAAAGAAGTTGGTTTAGAATGCAATTTTCTTAACATTAAGGCATTTACTAAAGTGAAAATTGAGAATCTTCTATCAATTTTGTATCTTTCAGCCAAATACTCTTAATATCTTTAAGAATCCACCATTCTTTTTTTTTCTTATTCTAATGCCTATTACTCCTTATGTTTTCTTTCTAATTCTAAAATCTTTATTCTTTCTGTTTCTTCCTATTCTTTTCTAATTTTTTCTTCTTTTTCAATTTTCATTTTTTTAAGTTTTTGGTACAATTAAGTTTGCTTCTCCTGATTAAATTTAGGTGGTTCTATGGTTCTCAAGTGTCCAAAGTTTTGAACCTGATCCCAAAATACAAGAGGATCAGTCTCAGTCTTGGCTTTACGATGTTTAGATTTGAGTTAAGAAATATCATTTTTAAGTATAGATTACTCTATTATTCTTGAAGTTTATGGATTATTATAGCGTACAGTAGTTTTAGGAGTCTGTAATGTAATTCTAAAAGACACATGAGATTATTATCTTGAATCATTTCTACTAGTTGGTCTTGTTGTTTTGAGTAGATCCAAAGTTGGTATTTTGTGTTTCATTAATAAAATTAACGATGTCTGCAAATGTAACTATAACAGCCTTTTTCGGAATGGCCGATGATGTATATAAAGATGATGTCTATGATCGTTATATCCGTGATCTCCATAAACCACGCAAAACCATTCATGTTCCAAAACCTCCATCCATAGTGATAAAGCATTTGAATGTTAGGAGAATCAATACTGAATACTGAATATTATTATATATTTTATCACAATAACTTTTCAGGATTTAGAATGTTATTAGGATCAAATAGTCTCTTTAATTCCTACATATATCCAAAAGTTTCCTTTCCCTTCTAAACTTCCATATAATGTCGCTTCAATTACCCTATCCCATGTTCAGCACTTATAGATCCATTCAAATCCTTTGTTAATTTAATAATCTTCTCTTCTACTCTGTGTTGTTCCTTATGCATCTCATCCACACTTTCAAATATAATATTGTAATGTATGTTTCCATCTCCTAAATGTCCATAAAATGCATTATAAGGCCCCTTCCTTCCATAATACACTTACTCTGCAAACCATTCAAATTTATCAGGAGGTATACTAACAATATTATAATATTCATTTACCTAAGATCATAAGTCAATACATGTCCCATCTTATGTAAATTTTCTGGCACACTCTCTCTCCATCTCCACATAGCCTGTAATTCAGATTCATTTTAATTAAAAACTATCTATTCTGTGTGTTTCAATAAACGCTCAAAATAATACTCCAATTCTATCTACTAACCACAAATCTCAATCAAAACATAATATTTATCATCTTTAAATTCAAATGGAGCCTTTAATTATGGATTAAAAGGCAAACATCTTTACAAGATTCTCCCCTCCATGAATTCAAATGCTCCCAATTATTCAAATTATTTTGCAGATCTCAACAAATATATAACCTCATCAAAATCCTTCAATTCCAAAAAGAATACTTGTCTCTATTCAGGAATTGGAGTACACAAAACATTAGCTTAAGTAATAATGCCTAATGTTCCTTCAGATCCAATAAATAATTATTTTAAATCAGTTCCAGTGTTATCTTTTCTATTTTTATTTAATAAATTTAAGATCTTTCCACTTGGTAAAACAACCTCTAATCCTAAAATATAATTTCTCAAAGGTCCATTCTTAACAACATTTAATCCTCCTGCATTTGTAGCAATATTTCCACCTAATTAACATGATCCTCTTGCTCCCAAATCCCAAGGCATTTAATCTAAATCAATTTAATTTTATACATCTATATGCTTGCAAATAGTCATTCATAGTTTACAATATGACTCCAGACTCAGCTGTTACTATAGATGTTGTGGTATCAAATTCCAATATGTTATTCATCTTTCTTAGACTCAAAATCAATTCATCCTATACTGGAGTTGCACCTCCTACAAAACTTGTATTGCCTCCTTATGGTACTACTTTAATATTATTTTAATTGCAAAATTATAAGACTTCACTCACCATCTTTGTTGAAGTAGGAGTAACAGCTAATTCTGATTTACCTTAATAGAATCTCTACCAATCTTAATTCAAAGGTTTAAGATCGAATGGATCTGTTATCATATTCTATACTCCTACAATTTGCTTGAAAGAATTGAGATATTTTTTCATTATAAAATTAAATATGCTATTACTTTCATAATAATTTATTCGGATTCATAATACCATTAGGATCAAAAAGTCTCTTTATTTCATTCATACATTCCAATACATCCTTTCCCTTTTATAATTCCATATATTTTCTTTTATGTTATCCTATCCCATGTTCAGCACTTATACTCCCACCTTCAGATTTCACTAATCCAAATAACTTCTATTCTATTTTATCCTCTTCTTTATGTAAATCCTCTAGTTATTCAAACACTATATTAATATGAACATTTCCATCTCCCACATGTCCATAATATACATGAAATGGACCTTCTCTTTTAGGATAGATTTAATTGACTAACCATTCAAATTTATCTGGAGGAATGCTTACATCATATTTCAATACATAACCCATTTTCCCCATTGATTCAGCTATTTCTTCTCTCAATTTCCATAAAAATTGAGCTTCCTTTTCACTTTGATTCATTATGATTTCTTATGTGAATTCCATCATATCCATGCTAAATGAATCAACATTTATAGATTATCCAGAAATCTCAATCAGAACATAATACCTATCCTCTTAAAATTAAAATGGAAGTTAATTGCCATTATGTCTATGCATATTCTTATACAGTATTCTACCTTCCATAAACTCAAAAGCTAATAGTTATTCATTTCTCTTCACTTTTTATAAAACCTAATCTATTTAATTAAGCCTTACACCTTAATCACATCCTAAAAGGATTTGAGTTCTAAAAAGAACACCTTCTTCTCGTTAGGAATTGGTATACACAAAACATTCGCCTTTGTAATAATGCCTAATGTTCCTTCAGATCCAATAAATAATTATTTTAAATCAGTTCCAGTGTTATCCTTTCTATTTTTATTTAATAAATTTAAAATCTTTCCATTTGGCAATACAACCTCTAATCCTAGAATGTAATTTCTTAGCAATCCATGTTTAACAACATTCAAACCACCTGCATTAGTAGAAATGTTGCCTCCCAATAAACAAGATCCTCTTGCTCCTAAATCCCAAGGCATTTAATCTAAATTTAGTTATCATATTTCAAACATTTGTATTGTAATAAATAATTATTAAGATTGTCCAAAATAACTCCAGATTCTGATGTTAAAATGGCAGAATTTAAATCAAATTCTTAAATTTTATTCATTTTTTTCAATGAAATAATTATTTCATCATTAATTGGCACACTTCCTCCAACTAATCCTGTATTACCAGATTAAGGTACAACTTTAAGTAAATTTTCATTGCAAAATTTTAGAATTTATGAAACTTGAACAGTTGTTTAAGGTGTTAATACAATTTGTGATGATCCAACATATTTGTTCATCCAATCTGTATTAAATGGATTCAAATCATTTGTTATGATATTTGATGTGCCAACAATCTTTTCAAAAGCTAGTTTTATTTTGGAATTCATTATATATTTAATGCTTATAAATAAATATAATAATATTCATTAATTAAGCATAAATTCATATATTTTAAGTGGAGTATATAATTTAGGTTTGAATGTACATTCTGCCATTTCATCTTTTTATTATAATTGATGTTTGTGATTACTAGCAGAATGATTTTATCTTGTGCTGACTATTCTCATTGAATTTTAATTCAATTATGGCTATTAAATTATTAAATAAATATAATTACTTAAAATGAATACTCTTCTTGATTAGTTTTCTTTTTGTTTGATAATCCTTTCAACAACTTATCTCTATCAACAATAGGTAAGGTTTATATCAATCTGGATGCTGCTTCATAGAATTGTTGTTAATTTAATTAAGCATTAATTTATTCCATCTCACATAATAAAGGTGTTAAGATTTATAAGATTTCAGCATTAATAGCTGATATTTCTATTCTTTATGCTGATATTACTCCATCACCATCTGAATCTAATAAATTAAATATTTCATATAGGAATTTCTTCTTTTTTAATTCATAAATTTAATTTGATTTATCTAAAGATTTTGCTCTTTGATTTTATTATTCTTATCTATCTTATTCAATAAGAAAATGGAATTTATCTTCTTTTACTGTTCTCATCTAATATAAATATTCTCCAATAGGTAAATGATCAGCATTACGCTAAATTAAATATTATATAATACAGAAATAGGAGGTCGACATATTTAAGGATGATACAATTTTTATCCTGTACTTTGATCATATTCTTATTAAGGTTAATTTGCTTCTTTTTTCTTTCTCTATTCAAAAACAGATATTTGCATTCTTTCTAAGAATGGTATTTCAGTTTTACTATGTTTTCTTGAACTCTATTGATTAAATAATTAACTTTATGATTAACTTTCTGTATTTTCCATATTACTCATACGTTTAACTTTAGATTACATACCTTCATTATATAATCTATCATAAATATTAGATTATGAATTTCTTGATTTCTCCATTAGTATTTTTTAACTTCTATATTGTTTATAATATATAAAAGTTACATTTAGTTTATATTTGGTCTAAATGAACACTCCTATGTTTCAATTTGATATCTACTTGTTCTCATTTAATCTTTATGTTTACTAATATCTTTTCCCATTTACATTAAATAATCTGGCATTGATTATTTATGTGGTCTTTTAGCTATAAGTTAACTTCTTTCACTAATGAAAGGCTTAAATGGATACTCTACTTAAGATTGTTCCATCTTTCTCTAATCTTATAAACGTCTGATAATAATCATATAAAGTATAGATACTCCATTTATTCTTTATGTTATATGCCCTTTTAATACAATATGTCTCCTGGATTATAATTGAGAACTGGTGATGGCATATTTCCTCTTTGACTGAGTTATTGATTAGCAAATTAAATTTGTTTTCTTTGTTATTTGATCTATGCTTCTTTGTGTAATCTATCAAATATATTATCTTGTGTTTGAGATTTATTTATAGTCATTTATTTTAAATGATGCCAAATAGTTTCCTCTATCATAGGAACAGCTTCATTTTTTAAATTATGTTAATGAACAAAATCTTATGCTAATTAGACAGGGTCAGAATCTCTATAAACTTTAAGTGTTTCCTTGATATATATAATTTAGTTTTACTTATTTCATTTCTCCCAAATCAAATACAATTTACAAAATTTCTTGCATTTCGTTAAAATAATCAAATAAAAATATTATTTTAGAATTCAAATTAACAAATTAGTTTGTAATATAATTTTTTAAGTAAAGCAAAAAATGTCTCATTGATCATACTTGTCCTTAATTTAATCTTTATTCTAGATAAACTTTCAACAATAATAATTAAAAAAATATATCTAAAATTATATTGTGTCTAATATAATGTTTGAAAGTTCAGTTGATTCAGAATTCAAAGGACCCATTCCACCTTTATTAAGTAGTAGAGTTGGGTTTCAGGAAGGAGATCTTTAACAAAATAGCTCTTGCAGTTTAAATTAAGCAATACCATTACCTTTGATAAAGTAAAAAACTTTTGGAGTCAAGAAATCTGAATATTAATCTGCTTATGATAATGAAGAAATATAATATGGATCTAAACCTTAATTTTTGAAAACTATTATTGCAAAGAGTTTATAGAGTAACTTCATAAACAATCTATGGAATAGATCGTATTTGAGAAAATTAAATCAATTAAGTCCATTTTAAATTTAATAATTGGACGATCTATAGATTTCAAGTGATGGAAATGAATAAAGTAGAGGATCTTAATTATGGATTTTAGTGGATGTATTTACACCATATAGTAAATTTATTGCATTTTGGGATGCATTTCAAATTATTACATATTTACTTATTTTCTTTTGGTTACCATATAAAATATCATTTGAAATTTATCATATAAGTGAATTATTTTCAGAAACCAAAAGTGCAATTATTGAATATATGCTTATGATAATAATGGCTTTGGATATAGGAGTTGGTATGAATTTAGCTTTTATTGAAAAAGGACAAATAATAAAGGACAGAAAAAGAATAATGTTAAACTATTTCAATAAAAATGCATTTGTCGATTTAGTAAAATTTTATATATATTTATGCGGTTTCCTTTTTTACTGTGACAGTCCAATTCTTTGTACCTAGTCTTAGTTCTAAAGATTAAACAATGATATTGATTTAAACAATCCTATGTGTTGTATTTTATATATTGAGGATAACCAAAATAAATAAGATTCTAGCTTAAATTTAGGAGTAAATTATATATATTATATTTAGATTTTTTAATCTAAGTGGGTATCTAAATGATTTAGTTGGTCTATTAAAAGTTTTAATGGTTATAGTTAGTGTTGTACATATATGTGGATGTATTTGGCATGGAATAGCATATTATAATACTTCTTATTCATGGTTGGATGCCTATAATTTAAGAGATAAATCAAATGCATCATAATATAATGTAGCTATTTATTGGGCTACTATGACAATGACTACAGTTGGATATGGAGATATTACAGCTAAGAATGATTTGGAATTACTTATTAACAATTTAACTATGTTTATAGGATCTATAGTTTTTGCTTATTCAGTTAATAGTATTGGAATATTTGTATCGAATATGTACAAAGGAACTATTGAATATAGTAGAACAGTTAGTTTAATAAATACATATATGAGTAAAAATAAGATATAATTTGAATTGTAAACTAAAATAAGGAGTTATTTGGAATATATATGGTAAGAGGAATAAGAGATGAATGATGATGAAGTAGGATCGATTGTTAATAAATTAAGTAAGCATTTATAAGATGAATTATAATATTAATTAAGAGGGAATATTTTAAAGAATTGTAAAATAATAATGAAGTTATTTTCTGAATCTTTTATTAAGAGTTTATTACATTATATGGAAGAATAAGCATATTCTCCTGAAGAAAGAATTATTAATGTAAATATTGTTATATTATATTTAAAGATTAATGAATTGGATGATTGTTCACTTTATATTATAACAAAAGGGGAAGTTGAGTTGATATTTGAAGGTAATTAAATAAAAGAAAAAGTAAAGAGGAATACATTTTAAAATTACCATTAATTTGATTATTTTGGAGAATTAGCATTATTTACTGGGAATCCTAGAAATGCTACTGCTATTTCAAAAGGATTCACAAGAGTATTTAAAATATAAAGAGAAAAGTTTTTAAATATTATCTCTTCTTATCCAGATGATTATGAAAAATTTTGTGAAATAAGAGATCGTATTTAAAATGGAGATTATGGAGCATTGTATCTTAATTGTTTTAGTTGTTAAAGTAATACTCATTTAATTCAAAATTGTAATTATTTACATTTTTGTGCTGACAAAGAAAAGGTTATTAAAAAAGAGTATTATCCTGTTCAATAAACAAGAAATTAAAGATATTCTAGAAAGTATCTTGGTAAATATCATTCATGGATTAATTTCTAAGTTAATTCAATTCGTGGAGAAGATTATCAAAATGATGCATAAGTTAAATTTTAAGATGAAGTAGATTCACATACTTTATAAATGAATGATGCATATGAAGATGATGATGGATAGATAGAATAAGGTAAATTATAAAATGATGATATTGTAGTTGAAATTAAATCTTTAATAAATGAAAAAAGTGTATCTGGTACAATTATATAAAATATTGATGATGAAGAAGGTTAAAAGCCAATAATTAATTATTAAAGAAAATCTAATTAACCTAAATCAACAATGTAAACTGCAGGATTTGGTGGTGGTTTAACTAAAGATTGTAATCATAATCTTATTATATTTAGCATATAAAGAAGATTAGATTTATTCAGATAACTCTTCTGAAAATTAAGATTAATTTATTGTATCTATTCCAAAACCATAAATTAATTTAGTTCATTAGAATAATCCTTAACCTTCTCTTCCTTTACCACGACCATCACTTAAAAAGTAATTATCAAGAAGTGCATCTAATGATGATCACAATATTCACACAAATAGAATGTCAATTGATTAAAAGTTCATAACACTTATACCATAAAAATCAGATATGGATCTTAAAAATCTTACAAATAATGCTAGAGTATAAATGAAAAGAACAACTACAAATAATAATTAAACATACATTACAGAGAATAATACACAAAACAATTAACATTTAAGTATTCAAACTATTGCTCCAATGTTACCTGGCTTTGATAAAATGCATATCTTTTTAATATATCAACCTTAAAATAATTATGATTTTGTTATAAAGAGGTAATTAATCTACTAATTCTATTTTTTAGATATGCAAAAGTTTAAAGATTTTTTGGTAAAAAAAGAGTATATCCTGAATATTCTCTATATTCATTCTTCTTTACTGCTATTAAAAAAGGCTGGAAATTAAGAAGACTTGGAGAATAAAATAAAAATGCTAAAAGTCCAATTATGATGAGAAGTCTCAGGAAAATTCCAAAACCTTATTAAGGTATTTATAAATAAAGAAGTAATTTTTTCAAAGAAGTTAATTGAATTAATTGTTTATCTAATAATAATTGATAATTTTATAAATATAATTAATAGAAAATGTTAGAAGAATATTCATTACTATTAAAATCATAAAACACAAGTGCATCATTCTAAAGACTATTATAAGAAAAAATGGGAAGTCAAGAAGTTTTAATTACTACAATTTGTCAATTTTCTAAACTTCCTGTGATTATTCCTGTTAGACATTCTCCCATTAATTACATTCATTGTATATTTGAATTAGAATATTGGCTTGAACATTATTAATTAATGTATAAAAAGGTTGATCCTACGTAAATTATTAATTCTACTTCTAAGTGGTTTTGCATGTCCAGGATGTAGAAAATTTGCCAATTTTAAAGATTATGGTATCGATTACACTTTCTATCATATTTTATAAGAATTAGAACTCTTATAAAAAAATAATCCTGATCTTAAACTAAATACATCTCAATTGATATATAAGTAAAGCAATAAATCCTTTTATGTTGAATAAAAAATAACAAAAAAAAGATTTTAATTGCCAGGCTCAAATCCTATATTAGGAGTTACTAGAAGACAATAGGGACTTAATCAAGAATTATTTTAAACAGAAAGTGCTTTTATTGCAGATGAAATTAGTTAAACATTAGTTAAATTGCAATCCTTAATATATAATAGAATTTATAAGATACTTAAATTACCTAGCTATTCTCAATATACTTTTAATGATTTACAATAAAAAATTGCACTTAGAAAATCAGATCTTAAATAAGTATTGATTAAATCAATGAAATTAATATCATTAGGAAGATAATCCTTATAGAAAGATTATGTATTTGCACTTAAGAAAATAACTACAAATAATTAAGTTTAATCAATAGTAATAATAATATTTTTGAATATAGTTAATTGTTTATCTAGTGTAATATGGTATTTGGTATGAATTTCCATTAAAATTTAAAGGATAACCTTATGTATAATTAGAATAGGCACTATATGTGAAAGGAGAGGGAAGTCTTACTCATAATCATATTTATATGATTGGAGGAAGAAAGACTGAGAGAGGTTAATAGTCTGATTAAGTACTATAGATTTCCTTTCCAAAATCTATTATTTAAAGTGGATAGGAAGCAAAAATAACAGAATTACCAAAATTACCAAAAGAAGGTTATAATTTTATGGGAACATGTTATAAATAGTATAATTATATTTAATAATGATTAGATAGTTATTTGTATTTTATGGTTAAAAATAAATAGCAAATTTTGATAATGCAATTAGATATGAACTATTAAACAGTTAGTATGTATTTAGAAACAATCATTGGGAATAGATGAAATTAAAATTAGTATAGAGATTTGATGGTAGTTTTTTTACTATGAATCACAATACTTTTGATAAATTAATTGTATTTTTTGGAGGAATCTCTAGAGAACCAGATAGTTTTCCAAATCATAGAGGACCATAATAACATTTAGGATAGATATTTTCTTGTAGAGATGAAAAATTTATTGGAGATTAATAATAATCATTTAAAATTTAATTCTTAGATGATGATCCATATCATAGAAGTGTATTGGCTTCGCCTGTATTTAGTTGTCCATATTATGGAAATAATTAATTATTATTATCTGGAGAAAGTATGAAATTTAGAAATACTGATTAAAGACAAGTATATACTTTTGATTGGGGAAATGCAACTTTAAAAATGAATGATTTATTCTCTTTGGATCCTCCTGAACACATACTCACACCATATAAAAAAAAAACTATAGGTTATGATATATTTTGTCCTGTTTAAGATTCTGAAGGTGCAATAGCTTATGGGAATTTCTATATTATTCATCATTGTGAAGTAGAATAATAATTTTATGAAAAGAATCAAAAAATAGTAACATAATTATTGAAAGTAAATTTAACAAATGGTTTATGTAAAATATAATGATAATAATATAGTTGTTGCAATACCATATATAGATTCTAAAATATCTAAAGAAATAGCAGATTAAAAGTATGAGAAATTAGAAGATAAGAAAAATTAAGAAATTATATGATTTAAATGAAAACATATCTTTATAATTGATTAATAGTTAATATTTATTATTTTTAATATTTCTTTTTATTCATTCACAATTTACCATCTTTTATTTATTTATTTAAACTCTATAATCTATTTTTCTTAATTTCTTTTAAAGTTTCCTCATCCATTTATACTTAATTTCCATTTTTTTAATTAGACATCTTTTTAAGATGTTCAATTTCCAATTCTTTAAATTTCTTCATTACTTCTTCTCTTTTATCACTCTATAAACCTTTCATTTTCTCAATATTTTATACTTATTTTCTAAATTCATCCTTAACTGATTAAAATTAACTTTACATACATTACTAAGTTTAATTATCAAATAAATTATACGTCATATATTTTTCTTCTTTATTGTAAAATTGTTTTATATTTCATAGCAATTTCAAATTACTCATTTTCTGTATTATTTATTTAATCATTGCATTTATTAATTAGATCTTCAATTTTCTATTGAAATTATACACTTTATTATTTTTAATATTCAACTATATCTAGATGAGTTTGCATTAAAGCATCCTCTAATTTAAATAATTATTTAATTAATTCTGATTCTTAAACAAATTATTTTTAAATTGTTTGTTTTATTTATTCTTCATCATAAACTTATTTTTCTGTTTATTATTATTATTACTTTTCTACTTTCTCTTATCTCTATTACTCTTTAAATTATTGCTCAATTTATAATTACATCTTTGATTAACTATTTTATTTCTTAAGTGTCTTTTTGATTTCTTCATTCTCTTCTCTTAATTAAACAATCATCTCTTAAAAATTATTTGGTGTTGGATCAATATTCCTAGTTCTATGAGCATAAAGCAATGTATTAAATGAATCTTCATAATTATTTGGAGCAACATTAGCAATCATTACAGTTTTTGAATTACCTTAAAGAGCATCCTTTAATAATCTTGTTAACTTGCTACCTCTAAAAGGTACAAATTATTCTTTTGAAAATAAAGCCTTTATGCAATTACCAAGAACTAAAAGGGATCTATTTATCATTGCTCCCTCTACCATTCTTTATCCCTTATTTGTAGTTTAGGAAGCTCTTTCAGAACCAGCTAAATCAACAAAAGTAAAGGTGCATTATTTTAGCATCAATTACAAAACTGTATGTGATCTTGTAGAATTTTCATTAGCACCTGTAGGTTCCTTTGCTCTTCTACTATTACCATATTTAATATATTGTGTTATATCATTAAGATTTGGGATAGGTGCTTTGAATAAATTTACAACTACTAATCCTTTATTACCATCTTCTCTTAAATCCAATAATTTGCCAGTCAAAAGATCTCTAATAGTTTCATTATATATTTCTAAAAAAGTAAGTGATGCCTAAAGATTAAGAATGTTGATACTTAAGCAGCTTATTCTTTTGATAATCTTCCAAATAAATCATTCAATGCTCTTGGTATAATTCCTTACTGATTTTAATTTCCCATCATGCTATAAGAAATTAGGGATTATAATAATACGTATGAGTTTTACCACTTCCTGTAGCTCCATATGCAAAAATAGTTACATTTTAACCTGAAATAAGATCATCTAAAAGGGGTTCTGCTGATTTTTCATATACTTCTTTTTGATCGGCTTATTAATCAAAGACAAGGTCAAATTCATAAGATGTATCTTTAATTCTATTCTTTTTCAGGATCTTTAGGATGTAAAATATAAAATAGAAATGTCATTTTACATCGACAGGATTATTGAATTCTAATTCAGGATCAAGTAGAGTAACCGTAGAGCCATTAACAATAATAGTTTTAAAGGTTTATTAAACTGGTTTAACTCTAATAGCAACAGTGATATTATGCATTATTTAAATTGAATATTTTAATATTTTACTTATATATTTTTCAATCATTTAAAGATTCCCTTTTTTGGAGAAATACTAAATAAAGTAGGTTCTTGTTATTCATCTAAAAATTGAATAGCTTCTCCTTCAGCTACAAAATAATTAAATTATTAATTACCATAACTGATATCAATTCCTTATTATTCTTAAAATGGATTAATTTTAAGTAAACCAACACTTTTTAATGAGATAATAGAGATGGCTACTAAAAGTCCCAATATAATCAATACTAAAATTCCCACAATTTATAATCCCAATTATTTAGCATCATGACCAGTCATCAAACCTTTGGTAATACTTAGAAAACCAACTAAAATGGTTCCTAAGAGACCAGGACCCTAAAGTATGAATTGAGGTGGAATACCATATGTGTAGCAATAGTTTAAGCAGGATCATCAATATGAGATCTTTTAATAATAATTGTGAGGTTAACATAAATAATACCAGCTAAAACACCAGTAAATGCAGATCCCCAAATTTTAACATCATTAGCCATAGCTGAAATAGCAACAATACCAGTAACACTACCTTAAGTTAGTGCAATTAAACTTATTTAATAAGTTTTCTAATATTATAAACAGAAACTAGTTATTGCTGAAAATGTTGATGCTACAACAGTATTAACTGCTATTAATCCTTATTCATATTTATCATATTATCCTTATGGATTAGCACAATTAACAAATAATATAATTGCAATAGTCAAAATAATTGAACCATATCCAATATTAATTGGAGAATGATGCGGAAAAGTACTTGGACGCATATTACCAGTTTAATCTCCTCTCTCTTTTAAAAAGAATGAAATAACCAATGATGTAATACCACCAAAAAAATGAATATAACTTGATCCTGCAAAATCTACAAACCCAAAAGCACCTAACCATCCTTTAGGTTAGACCCAATGAAGTGCTATTGGATATAAAAAACTTGTTATAAATGCTAAACATAAACCAATTGAAAAGAATCTAGATCTTTCTAATGTTCCTAATCCATATAGAGATGCAACAATTATTACTCCTACTGTTTAGAAAACTAAATTAATTATAATTAATCTCTATTACTAAAATTTGTATAATCATCTTCAATGTATTCAACCTAGTATCCACTTCCTGCAAATTTACTTAAACCAACGAATTTATTTCCATAGTCATCTCCAAATGCAAAACCATATCCTAACTTTCAGTTAATAAGATATTTTATTTACAAACCAAAAAAACAATATGCTTAAAACTGATCCCAATAATATAGTTATGACTGATGATTGTACTGATTTATAGCGAACAGCACCTGAACTAATCAATGCGAATCCCAAAATTGTCAATAAAGCACAGGAGGATGTTATCAAAACCCACTTTTTATCTATATCTGCTGGAGTAGGAGCAGCGGGAATACTAACAATAGCATCTAAATCAGCACTACTGTCTCTAAGATGATTCATTAAAATTATTTATTGTGGGATATATATTTTCAATGAATTATATTTATAATCAATATAAAAACTCATAAAGAAATTAAAATAGTTTATTATCATCATTTCAAAATAATAATATTGTATTAAAAACCATTAAATTTTTAACGATCTCACATTTTTCTCCAAGAATTCAAATTTGAGTAGTAAAGAGAAACAATCAATTTCTGGTTGTATTCTTTTAATTATACTTAGTACAGTACTCCTTCAAAGGAATACTGCTATTTTGTTAAATTAATAATCCATAGGATTATAGGTACCTTTAGAAAATTTAATATAAAGAATGATAAACCCTGATTAGTTTATCCTTATAAATTATAATTGAGCGTCAATACTGCATAAAATGATCTATTGAAAGTTAACTATTATAAATTTGAGTAATTTATAGATTCAACCTAACATATAAATTTCTATATAACATTTTTATATCATGATTAGAATAAATATGGCAATGATCTTTAGATATAATATTTGTTATCTCATCTTTATAATTGAATAAACAAGTTTAGATTGTCTGAATTGTGAATATATTATTATTTATATATTTTTAAAAACCTAATAGTTTATCAGGAAATAACAGAATATTTTGGTTTATATATTGTAATTTTTTGGAAAACTTAATTAAAGAATTTCGATTAGAGAACATGAAAAACCTTAAGATCCCTTTGATTACATATGGAACAAGCATGAATCACATTAACTTAAAACAAATAGAGGAATCTCCCTAAAAATGCATTCAAATATAATAAGAAGATTCCTCATTTAACATTTATTCTTGTAATTACTTAGAACTTTGTAGAAACATTCTAATAAATAAGAATCTAATTTTTTTGATTTAATATGAAGAATTAATAGAATTCGATGTTAAACTATAGAATATATTTAATTTAATACAATTTGCAAAGTAAGAATTATCAATAAATTAGAGTTAAGAAAGTCTTGTGTTTTATTGTATTATCAGAACCAATTAAGAAATGTCAATGGAAATTAGATATCATCAAGAAGTATATTGAGATAAGTGTTTAAAATTTTAATTTTGCTAATTATAACTAGCCTAATTACAATATTTAGTCTATTCAATCTTAATAAAGCATCTGTAATTAATTAAACTTTTTCTAAACTACACCTAAAGATCCAGATTTTAATAATCTTAATAATACACTAATGTAAATTATATCTCGAAACAAAAATGAATTAGAAGTTGCTTTAATATAAGGAATGGTAATCTTATCTGATTCATGCTATCTTGAAAATTAAAAAGCAGATAATAAACCAATTTAAATAATTGAAATTGAAGGATAATTAAATTATATAAATTCTAATGAAGATAGACAAGTCTTAAGAATTAAAATCAGTGATGATTCAGAATTGAAAGATCAATGCTTCATCTCAAATAATATATTTTAAGTTAAACAATATTCTCCACAAATATTATTCAGTCCTTAATTTGATTCAATAGAGTAACGACAAAAGTTTTATCTCAATTATAGAAACTCTTCAGATTGGTCTGTTATAATTAGAAATGATTAATGTAAATTATTATTAATTATATGTAGATGATATAAAAAAATTAGAATTTGATTCATTTAGTGATAATAATTTAAAATTAACTTTAAATACTTCAAAATTTATTTATACTTCAAAGTTTTCAACAAATAATAGTTTCAACATTAATTGTTAAATTCTGTAATTAATTATATATTTATATTAGAATAATAAATAAACATACTGAAGAGATAATTACCTTTGGATTAATTGAATAAGATAATTTTGAAATTCACTTTACTCATAATAAACACTCTAAACAAGAATTATTATAAATGGAGTAATTCTATCTTCCAATAAATGATGAAGATATAATATAAAATATAGATAGAGGAGAATTGTAATAAAAAGGAAATCATATTATTAAATGTAGAATTTGTATGGAAAGATAATCTGATACATTGTTGATTCCATGTGGTCATTTACGTTATTGTTTTGATTGTTCAATTGAAAATTAAGATTGTCTTTATTGTGAAACTAAAATTTAATCAAGAAAGAAATTATAAATCAAATAAATAGATCAAAATAAAAATGATCTAATAAAAGATTTAATGTGGAGACATTAAGATTTATTAAAATGTTCATTTTAGTAAAATTTAAATATTGAACAAAATTTAAAAATTAATGAAATGTAAAATTAAATCAATTTCAATTAATATTATTGTTAAAAATGTGATAAATCTAAAGGTACTTAATTTGTAAATTGCCATTAAAATCATTTAATCACTTATTGCTTAGAATGCTCAAAATTAATAAATAAATGCGAATTTATCAATTGTAATCAAAATATTATGTAAAAAGGACAAATCAAATTTAGATTTTAAGAGTGATATATTATTTATAATTTTACAAATTAAATATTAATTTGAAAAAAAACAATCAAAATTTTAATACATAAAAATTATTCATGAAATAGTCATAAATAATTAAGTTTTCTTAATTTTTGGCTATTATTCAATTATATTATTATAAATTAAAATGTATTGAGTTATTATATAAATAAACATTTTCATTCTCCTTATTTAAATTAATTTCTAATTATTATATAAAAGAATCATCATGATATAATATTATTTCTATTTCTATATCTAAAATTCCATATTCTAATTGATCTATTTCATTTATTACTTTCATATAATTACAATCAAAAAAAAACTATTTCCATTCCACTTAAAAGGAGTACCTAAAAATATACTCAAAATAGACTATAGACTATTCACCCTTAAATCACTATCTGATTCCATTGTTTTGCCTTGTATATATATTCAATAATACATTAACTCATTAAATAACATAGAAAATATTATGAATAACAATGCTGATTCATTTATATTAAAAAAGACTTCTAAAAATTAATTGTAATCTAAATCTAATTATCATAAATATTTTTGATTCTTGTTGATAATTTTTAATACTTGTTGAAATAATGTTATTATTTAAATCATTTATATACATTAAGGCTAATTAACTAGAGATCTTGAAACCATAATTATAATTTCCTTTAAAAAGTAATACAAACTCATTAAAATACTCTTTTATTTAATTTGTTAATGTGTAATAATATAAATGTTAATCAAAATAATCTTAGCTTTAGTCCACATAAGTTTTGCAGTGATTTTTGATATTTCAGAGTACAAAATGCCACTTTATGTACTTTCAGCCATTTTGACTATGATTGGAATCTATAATTCGAATAAAGAATTCGGATTCTTATTATATACCTTTATCACATTTATCAATACATTTATCAAAGGGTTTATTTTGGAAGTAAGTATAGATCTATTTGTAGATGTATTTGCATAATAGACATTCATTGCTTGATCCAAAATCATTAAAATTAGCATCCTATGTGTTTATAATAACAATAGTTTTGGGGAATCCTTTTGTAATAAGAAGAATATCAAGTTTTCTTGATTCTCATTATACTTTAAAATTTGGATTGAATTTGTCAGATAAGATTTCTTAATGTATTACGCTATCAAATTGTTATCATCATGTTTTAAGTTAAGCAAATCCAAGTATGTTTGAATTGGGATTGATTACAACAGTTGGATTCTCAATAACAAATTTAGTAATCTATTTTGGATTGTTGGAATCAAAATCATAAGGAGAATCAATAAAGATTATGCGATAATCATTTATAGATAATTTCATCACTTATTCTTTTGCAATAACAAATGTATACCTCTGGAATTTCCATGGAAAACAATTCCTTAATGTTAAATCAAACAATGTGAATGATATAAGAGTTGTGGTCAGTGTTTCATTCATAGTAATTTATAGTAATTTATAATTAAATAATCAATAGCATTATTATCTATGTTACATAGTAAACATAGTACACATAGTATACATAAGGAAAAGGAGAAAAAAGAATGATGAGAAATAAATAATATATTATTTTCGGATTATTTAACATAATCTGTATGTATAATTTATTTCAATAATAAATTTAAAATGAGTCGTGCAGTGTTACAACCTTTTGAAGTTTATCAAAAAGCAAGAGTTTAATTTGTGTAGACAGTAGCTGAGTTAGCAAAAAGACCATAAAATATTGAAGCTTTGTAATCAGCAGGTAATGAAACCGTAACCAATCTTTTAGGTGTGATGTCCTTATTGAGACCTTTACTTCTAGATTGTGTGCCATCTATTCAATAATCAGCAGCCTTAGCATTAGGAAGATTGGCTAAGCATTCTGAAGATTTAGCTGAAGCAGTTGTTTCCAATGAAATATTGCCATAATTAGTAAGTTCGTTGGGAGAACAAAATCGTTTCTATAAAAAGGCTGCAGCATTTGTACTTAGATGCGTTGCAAAACATTCATCAACTTTGGCAATGGCAGTTGTCAATTCAGGTGCTCTAGAAGCTTTAGTCTAATGTTTAGAAGAATTTGATCCAAGTGTTAAGGAAGCTGCAGCCAGTGCTCTTCGTTATATAGCTAAGTAAGTATAACATATATTCTGTATAGACATACAGCAGATTTGGCTTAGGCTGTAGTAGATGCAGGAGCAGTTCCATTATTGGTGCTCTGTATTTAAGAACCAGAAACTACATTGAAAAGAGTATCAGCAGGAGCTTTATCAGAAATCTGTAAACATTCAGCCGAATTGGCTTAGAATGTAGTTGATGCAGGTGCTGCACCATTTCTAAGTGCTTTGATTCCTCATCATGATGCTGAATTGAAAAGATCAGTTTGTTTTTGTTTGGCTAATATAGCAAAACATACAATAGATCTAGCAGAAGCTATTGTAGATGTGGATATCTTCCCAAAGATTTTATATAGATTAAAAGATACAGATCCTGGAGTTAGGTAAACGTTTTAATTAATCTAATAAATAGAAAAGCTGCAGCAACATGCATTAGAGAAATTGCTAGATAATCTTAAGATTTAGCTAAAATGATATGTAGTGCAGGAGCAGTAGTGTCAATTGTTGATTATATCAATGAGGCTAAAGGTGATGCACGTTTACCAGGCATAATGACATTAGGATTTATTGGAGCTTTTGATGAAGCTTTGGCAATGGGAATTATTGCAGCAAAAGGAATTGCACCATTAAAAGATGCTTTAATAAAAGAACCTGATCAATCAGTAAAGAGTGCTTCTGCATGGTCTCTTGGTATGATTGGTGGACATTCAGCAGATCATTCAAGAGCTATGGCTGAAGCTGATGTTCCATCCCATTTATTAGCTGTATATAATTGTTGTTATAATTTTAGGTTTATAAATTCCCTGAATCTAGTGAAGATCTCAAAAAGAAATCAAGTTAAGCTTTGAAATCGATATTATAAATGTGTACTTATTTACCTGCTCTTGAACCATTAATCTCAGAAGCTCCCCCTGATATTTTATAATATGTCTTACATTAATTCCAGAAGACATTACCTAATGATAATGCAGCCAAAAAGTATATAATATATATTATCATCTTTAGACAATTTGTATTATCAGAAGGATTAAAGAAGATTCAAGAAATTAAAGCTAATCCTGGTTCCAAATTAAGACAATATATCGACGAAATCAATTCCTATTATCCACCAGAAATCATTCAATATTATAGTGCTGGATACGAATAGTAATTGCTTAAGAAATTGGACGATTACAATGCAGATTGACCATCTATAATATTAATCCAAATATATATATATATATATTTTACAAGTTAGAAACATAATTAAAATTCATATATATATGTATAAACAACAACAATAGTAATAATACTCACATCCTACACAATTGATTCCTTCAGTTTGTACTCTCAATACATAAGAGGAAGATTCATAAGACTATTAATTAATATAAAGAAAACTTTAATGTTACAAAGATAATTTGAAAATAATTCAAAAAAATAATGAGGATGATCGCAAGTATTTGTCAACATCTTCAGATGTCTTGTAATTGACAGAATCATAAGAAGAAGACAGTGAATAATTACGATAACATATTAATTTACTTTAAGATGAATTGAGTAAAACAAAATAAAATATGATGTAAATAATTGAAGAATTAACATAATAAAGAGATTTACTTATATATAAGATTCAAGAATTAGAATCTACTATTGATAATTTATAATAACAAAAGCAAATTCGAAATAAATCAATTCACTCTACTTTATTGGATATAACATATGAATAAGATTAAACTTAAGATTATAGTAGAAAAAGGACAAGATCAAAATATGATGATTAAAATTGTTGGAAAAGAATTTTTGAAGAATTAACTGAAATGTTGAAAACAGAAAATGTAATACAAGAAGTTCATCGTTTATAATAAAAATGCATTAAATAAGATAAATTTATTGGATGTGTATAAGATTTAGTTATTAAATTAACACCAAAAGATATATTTGAACATTCTAAACCTTAATTAAGAGATTGTTGGCATTGGATTAAAGGAATATGTACAGAATATATGAGACTAAAAAAAATGTAGGCCACTGTTATAGTGGAAACATGTACATAAATTCTCAATGTCCAACCTTAAGACATAGTTAATTAAATTTAATTTCTAATTAAAAGAATAATTGCATAAAAAAATTGATATTATTATTATATTATAATTTAATAAACTTAAGTTATATAATTGTTATAAAATTAATAATAATAATTATTTGAATTTTTAAATACTTAAATTATTATATATATAATTAATTTAAACATTATAAATAATCATTTTTTTATTTTTGGATGCTATTCATATTCTACCATTATAAATTAATGCAATTAATTATTTTGATATTGATAATTTAATCGTCTCTCAACCTTTAATTTTTTTATCTGGATATTATCATATGCTAATTTAATATATTTACCTATATCAAGAATTAAATTAGAGCCTAAAATTGAGGTAAACAGTGAAATATGCATCCAACCTAATTATAACATTAGATCATCATCTAATTCATAACTATATACATAAAATGAACATATTGTAGAAATGAAAAGAACTTCTCTTGATATTAATTTTATATATTCAAAACCAACATCAATTGGTTTAAATATTATCAAATAAACAACATAAAAACTAGATTATGCTGATAAAATAAAGGATTATGCTTCTGGATAATCCATTAAAAATACAATTGCAAATATATAACTTGTTATTTTTAACATTTAAATAGGTTTGAATATCTAACACCAAAATCTCTTATTTATTCCATCAAAAAAGAAATTCCAATCATTTATATTCTTAATTGTTCCTGTAGTAATTTTAAATTATTAAAATTTAATAAATAATATGAAACCCAATGCTAATATTGCATTTACTGAATTAAATATCTCTAAAGATGATGTAAAATTATAATAAGGAAATTATAAAAATGCACTGAATAAAAATTAATGCATAATTGTGTAATAGACTTAAAATAATCCAGAATAAAAATATTTATTTCTAAATTTAATACATGCAACTTATAAATTATGATATAATTAAAAGGCTTTAGTTAAATTCTTTAATTTCATTCCTTTATTTTTAATTATTTTATTAAAATATTTTATTGCACTTGTTTTCGAAATTGTTAAGCATAATAAATAGGAAAAGAAAGAAGCAAACAAAGAAAAGTAACAACTTTTTGCATTGATAATATAAAATGAATTTAAAGGATCTGCTTAATTTGAAGATATTGTTTTTCTAGGTTTTAATGGCAATTAACCATCATTTAGATTTGTTAAGAATTAATCAAATTAAAAGTAATCAAATATAGGTTTTAATGAAATCTTAGTATAACTTTCAAGAAACTAACGTAAATGAGATGGAAATTTATATTACATAAATCTAATATATGAAAGTTATTATAGTAAATCTATTAGATTAAATAACATAGCAGGAGTTCCTGTTAATAAAGCAAAGCCAGATATAGCTATTGTAGTATACATCATTGCATCATTCATTTTTACAACAGAAGTGACAAATTCTTTGCTTTCTTTTGACATTACAAAAGGACTACCCAAACTAATATCTTTTTCTAATATTTTTAATTCTATATCATCAATATTAAAGATTTATTGTTTAGCAATACTGATAGAAAAGATAGGATTTTAAACAGGTTGTAAAAATAATATTTTAAATTAATATTTAGGATTGCTTAACATTGTAGTTAAATTAGTTATAGGAATAATTTTCATTTCATATTCAGTTTAAGGTGTAATAGTAAATTTGCATATGTCTTCAAGAATAGTATCTTAAAACATCTTTACTTTTTCAGTGAATTATAATTCAATGATTTGTGTTTAATCCTTTATATCACTCAAAGATTTAAGTTTGAAATCAGGTAAGATAATGAATGAGCATATACTAAATGAATCTTCTGTATTTAAACAAATAAAAGATTCTTCTAATTTACATTATGATGAACAACCATCTCCACTATTCTTATTATTATCATCACATTCTTCATATAAACTAGCCAACATTCCATTACCACATAAACTTTCACATTAATTATTTATTAGTATAAAATTATCATTACATTATACATCTTCAATCTTAATTTCTTCTTCCTCCTCTTCTTCTTCCTGTTCAATAATTTCTAAGGGAATCTCTTGACATAAAGAATTAGTGGAGTTCAAAAAGTAATTTGTTGAATCACATTCTTTACAAACATTATTCTCTTCACATATGAGACAACCATATGAACATTATAATAAACAATATTAACAACCATCAAATGGAATATCATTACCATCATCACATTCCTCATAAAGAGGATTAACTAACATATCCCCACAGACTGATTTGCATTTTCCATCTATCAATTAATAATTGGCTTAACAAAGATTACATGAAAGAGGAGCATCACATTTGAAACAATCTTCTGAACATTAATAAAGACATTCAACACAATTAATATCTAATGGATCATCACATTATTCATATGAGAATAATGCCACTTTTAAATCTCCACATACTTATTCACATCTCCCTTATTCCAGAGTCCAACCATCTATACATTAATAACATTAAGCATTTAAACAAATTGTACATTCTAACTAACAACTATTCTCACAATAATGACATCCATCAAATTATAGATCATTACCATCATCACAAGTTTCTTATTCTAATATATAAGAATCTCCACAAATAGTTTAACATCTATCTCTTTGTAAATCATATCCAACTCTACAATATATACATTTACCATATTCACAAATCAAACAATTAGTTGGACAAGAAAATTGACAATTAAAACAACCATCAAAAGGAGTATCATTTTAATCATCACAATCCTCATCCATAGTTACTATTCCATCTCCACATATAGGTTAACAATCATCCTATTATATATCATAATAATATCCTCTCCTTGAAATGTAACCCACTCTTTAACAATCCCACTCAATATTAATTATTTCTGTTTTTAATTCCTTCTTCTGTAAACACTCTCCAAATATACATACTTTACAATTTGAAGCACATTAAAATTTACAATTAAAACAACCATCTGATGGTTCATCATTACCATCATCACAATCTTCCTAACCTTATATTATCATATCTCCACATATAGGAAAACATATTTATTCATCACTTCTAAAATACCAACCTTCTTGACATTCTACACATTTATTAAATAACATTGTAAAACAACCTTCAATTTATTCTAACCAATAGGATTCTAATTTCTTATAATAAATATTAAATCCTTAAATACTAAAATAAAAATTATTTGAAACTGGAAATTAAACTTCTACCTAAATATTTTTAATTTAAATATTGTAGTCATAATTACTTATTGATATGTAATAGATATAATGATAATAATTATTATCTAAATTTATATTTTATGTTGGATTATTAGTTGAAAATATCAGAAATTTCATGACTTAATTAATATTTTAGAAATAAGACTAGTTATTTATAATTATCTTAATAGAATTAGGCTTGTATTAATAGAAGAAAAGTCTAAATTATATAATTGTTCCAGTGTTACTTGGGATGTCAACAGTTCTTTATGATGTTATTGTAGGTGTAGGAATAAAATATTGGTAATATAATGGATATTCTATTATAATAAATTTTATACATTGAGATAAATAGATTTACATATTTCCTGATGGAGTTTAGGAGATTTTCCAATTATTAGTTTCATCGAATTTAGTTCCTGCATGCGGAAAAAGTGGTTAAATTTGAGCACATGTATCGATTCCATAAATATCTGGACAATATTTACAAGTTGCTGGGCATTCTTCAACATATATTGATATTTCTTTTAGTCCCCATTCAAAAGAGTTTGGCTGTGATGCATTTTGTTCCGACAGAATTGTGATGATATCCATATCATTCAAATGAATAAAGCTAAACTTAACAGATATCTCGGTATTCAATGCTCCGAATTATGCAAACTAGTAATATTTCTTATTATCTGTCTACACAACTAAATCAAAAGAATTTGTTAGAATAATAGTAAAATCAATAAAAAGCTAATTGTGAGGTGGAAATGTAAAATATTTTTACATTATTATGTTCAGACCTAAACTAGGCTATTCTGGATTAATTGGTACATTAGCAGCATCAATCTTCATGTTAACATTTCCATTATTATCGATCCAATCTTCTATTAATAATGCAAATACCTGATAATATATAATTAAATTTTTTTTCATATACTAATAACTTAGTGAGAACTGTATAAAGGAGTCCTAAAAATGTAAATAATATAATCATCTATTAAATAATTTAATTATGATTTCAATAATAATGCTTTTAATTATTCTACTTTAATTATAGGCTTTGAGAATAGCAAATATTGAAATAATAATGTCTTATCATTATGTTTGATATCCTCTTATTCTAGATGCCTTTTCTAAAGTTCTATTAAGATTACTGCAATTAGATAGAACAAAAATCTAATTTAATTATTCATGAACATTATTAATATAAATATTTTAAATTATAAATGAATTATTAAATTACAATAAGAAAGCTTTATGATTCCTTAAATTTAAATCACTTTATTTATAAATTATGAATTAATTCAAATGGACTAGATCATTTAATAAATTCTTTACTTTTTTAATTGTAAGAGTTCTAAAATTATTTTCTAAGGTTTATAAATTATCAAAATGGTTGATGAACATAATAACTTTATCACTAGTATAGTGATATTAGTAATAGTATTTTAAGGAATCTTTCATTTATCAAATAATGTTCGATTTATTATCTTCAGATAGAATTATTATCTAAGACTAGTTTTATTTTTATCAATCACAAAATTTCTTTATTGCACTTCTCAATTTAATTTTTTTAATTTGGTATAGTGATTTGATGTATCTATTATAGTAACCCAATCTAATATTACTTTATTTAATGTCCAATAAGAAATATAGTCTTATAAGGAAAATCGATAGAATTATAATTAATTAACATTCTATATATATTTACTTACTTATATATTTAAATTAAACAAGAATTGAAATATGATTTGAATTAAGAAGTTGAAAATAAATGATTGTTTATAATAATCTTTATCTTTTCAAAACACATAAAAACAGCTAATTATTTAAAACTCATCTATAAGGAGAGTTTGAATAATTAAGTATCAGATAAAATTGAAATTGTTGATATAATATTGAAAATATCAAAACTATTTTTCTTTTTTGTATTCGTCTAAACTTATTGGATATTGGCATGGTTAATTAGTCTCTTTACATCTTTTACATTTTCTTCTCAAAAATTCTGGTTCTGTTACTACTTCGCCATTTTTTATCAATGGTGCATAGTCAGGACAACCCACTCTGTGGTAATGATTGCCATGTTCCAATATGGGAAATCTTTCAACAGAACATGCTGAACAAAGATCTATCTTGCAACCATAGCAAGTCACGTGATTACATTTATTATCTTTTGTTTGCATTAAATTACAAAATGGACAAACAAGAATTGGCATATCTGCAATAGCTTTCTGAATCTCTGTTAATAGACTTGGACATTTTTAATTCTAATTTAAATTTTAAATATACTGTTTAGATTTCACCATGATATTCTTAATAACAAAGACTACAAAGTTTTGTATTACATTTTAAACATTCTATTTCTACCTATTTGCTTTCTAAACTTGCTTATATTGGTGAGGAACATTTACAGCATATTGAGGGAATATTTGCTGTAATCTCACACTTTATTATTTTGACATATACTCCAATAGAAATATTACTTTTTAGATAATCTTAGTATTATTTAAGGGATTGTCCACAAACATGACAAACAATTTTTTAAAAATTCATGTTTAACTTTGCTTTTTCATTTAAATCATATTATGTACATTACAAGTGAACCTTTTTCTTGCAGCATGGAGTTATAATTACTTAATCAGAATTTAAATAATATTTTTCACAGCATATATCACATTCTGTAGAATTATCTTCAACTTTTGTAATAATATTTGTTTGTAATCTACTAAAATTATTTACTATTTTCTCTTATTATTCATCTTCTTAATTAGAATTCATTGTTACAGTAAAAAATATACTAGGATCATTACAAGTTTATGGCAAAATAGGATTAGCAGCAAAATTAGGTTGTTAAACAGTTATAGGTGACAGTTATATTATATTATTCTAAGCATGATTTTAAAATTAAAGTTAAGGATTATTAAACTAATGATTATTATTGAATAAATTAGTAGTCACATTATTTTTAATCCCAATATTTTAACAATCATTACCAATATTATTATTAGGTTTTTATTAAAATTAATTATTATTGTTATTAAAATTAAATTGATTTCCATTGTTATTATTCATATTAATAGATTAATTTTAAGTATTATTTTATATTTAAAAATTCTAAGCATTATTCTTAAAAATATTATTGTTTTGTTTATTATTAATAATATTATTCTAATGAGGTTGTTGGAATTATTAATTGATAATTTGAAATTGTTAATTATTGAAATTATTAAATGTTTGTTGATTTTAATTGTTTTTTTATTACTCATTATTATTAATACTAGTATTCTAATTAGGTGGTTGGAACTATTAATTATTGAAATTATTAAATGTTTGTTGATTTTAATTGTTTTTTTATTACTCATTATTATTAATACTAGTATTCTAATTAGGTGGTTGGAACTATTAATTATTGAAATTATTAAATGTTTGTTGATTTTAATTGTTTTTTTATTACTCATTATTATTAATACTAGTATTCTAATTAGGTGGTTGGAACTATTAATTATTGAAATTATTAAATGTTTGTTGATTTTAATTGTTTTTTTATTACTCATTATTATTAATACTAGTATTCTAATTAGGTGGTTGGAACTATTAATTATTGAAATTATTAAATGTTTGTTGATTTTAATTGTTTTTTTATTACTCATTATTATTAATACTAGTATTCTAATTAGGTGGTTGGAACTATTAATTATTGAAATTATTAAATGTTTGTTGATTTTAATTGTTTTTTTATTACTCATTATTATTAATACTAGTATTCTAATTAGGTGGTTGGAACTATTAATTATTGAAATTATTAAATGTTTGTTGATTTTAATTGTTTTTTTATTACTCATTATTATTAATACTAGTATTCTAATTAGGTGGTTGGAACTATTAATTATTGAAATTATTAAATGTTTGTTGATTTTAATTGTTTTTTTATTACTCATTATTATTAATACTAGTATTCTAATTAGGTGGTTGGAACTATTAATTATTGAAATTATTAAATGTTTGTTGATTTTAATTGTTTTTTTATTACTCATTATTATTAATACTAGTATTCTAATTAGGTGGTTGGAACTATTAATTATTGAAATTATTAAATGTTGGTTGATTTTAATTGTTTTTTTATTACTCATTATTATTAAGTTAAGTACTTCTTATATTAAATTGACTATTATTTGGTTATTAAATAGGATATGAAAGAAGCCTTGGTAATTAAATTTGATTTTATCCTTGATTCTATCCTTGAATTAATCCTTGATTCTATGGTTACTAAAAGTTGTTAGGAAAAATATTTCCTTATATATTTTAATTAAATTATTATTGAAATGGTAATTAATTTTATTATTAGAACTACTATTAAGGGAATTGAGGATCTTTATTAGTTGAAAATATCAGATGTAGTTTCGTCCCATTAACCTATAAACTTTGAAATAAAAATATATAATATTTTATGGGTTCCTTTTTGGAAAATTTATCACTTTGATAATATTAAGATTATTTTCCAGATATATAGATTTCACCAATAAAACTTTCTTATAACTAATCATCTATAGTTTTAAAGTCTAAGTTTAGAGGAGAAAGGCTTATCAAAGATTTATTAAAAACTTTCCGACAAAGTTCAATGTATTTCTATTGATTGATATCTTTTAGCTATTAATTTTAATTCATAAATATTCCAAGCTGATTTCTGATTTATTGATTTTAAGATTATTTTATAATTTGTAAAAAGAAAACTCCAAAACATATTTCTAAAGTATTTATTTCAAAATTTATTAATTGTGAACTATTCCATTTCAAAAGTTTCTCTTTTATAATTGTAGCAACTTAGATATTTCTTTCATTAAACTATTTCAAAATCTCATCCTTAGGAGTTTCCATAATTGTATCACTGATTATTTTTTGGATATCCATCTATTTCTATTAAAAATTATAATGAAAATATTTTATATAAAATTAAATTGTAAATTATTTTTATAAATATTTCTCTAATCAATTTACGTATTCAAATTTATCAATTTTTAGTACTCATGATAAATAGAAATATATATGTTTACACAACATTCATTCATTCATTCATACATTACTTTTTCTGACTTTTTTAATATGCATCATAGTTAAAATTGAATAAAATTAAAGAAACTATTATTATATATATATGATTTTTTTCTTATCATAAGTAATCATATATGAATTATTACAAGTATGTTTGCTTTGGAACAATTATAAAAAAAGAGTATTTTGTAATGAAAGTTCTTTGTGTTTAATATTAAATATATTTAAATTAGAATACTCTAAATTATAATTTACTAGTATGATGATTTATAAAAATTGGGTTAGATTTTCCATATATTAAATATTCTTTTAGAATTATCTAGTGAAATTGACTAAAAGAATTAATCTGCACTCAAAAGTAACCGAATAATTGTTAATATAAAATTCTATTATGAATAAATTCTTAAACATTTAAAGCGTAGTTCTTCATTAACTTACAATTTAAATCTATAATAATAATATAATAGATATTTTATAAAAATCGATTTTTTCTAATTCTACCAAAATTATCAAAATATTTATAGAAAGAATTAATATAATATAAAGTATAATTAAAAGATATATAAATAGATTTTACATGATATTTAGTTTGTTAAAACAATATTCTTAAATTTATTGATGATTACAGTTGATTCAAAAATTTTATAAAAAAGATTGTGAATAGTTGAATTAACTACGAAAATCCAATTAATTACTCTCAAGTCACCTTTTATGATATTAAACTATTCACCTATCTAATTTCTTTAGAAGTAGACAAATTATAAAAAATTACAATTTATTTACTCTTACATTGTTACCAGTAAATAATCTTTATATTCACAAGAATACTCTAAATTGAACTTTTTCAAGAATAACAGAGAAAAAGATTTTCTGGAAATTATTGGAATACAATTTTATTATTTGATTCAACAAACAAATATTCAATTTGCACTAATCTCTTTTAGGTAATTAATATTATGTATAGAGCAGTATAGAGAAATCAAAATATAGACTGATTTAAAACTACAATTTTACAATATTATTTAGGATTTAATATAATAATTTTATTAAATTAATTATGTATTATCATTTTTAATTTTAAAACTTTACTATGATAAGGGAAAGTGACTGAGATTATTGTAAATTAATTTAAAAAAGAGCTTTTTTTTAATTTACACTACTCTACTTTTATTTAATGAATCATTCAGATTGTCTATTCCAATTTAAAATCTTTTAACCATCTAGAATAATATTTCAAAATAACTAATTCTCAAATTAATAAATTAATTGTTTTGAAACATCGCATGGATTACTTCAAATATTCTTTTAAGCAATATTACTTTTGTGATAACTACAATTATTTAGTTTGATTTTATACTTTCATATCAATAAAAATAACGAAAGTTTCCTAATTGACTAAAAAAAGATAGCAAATTCTAAAATATTATATTATTCATATATTATTGGTCTTGCTTCTTTTTTCTCTATCGATCTTACTTAATGGAAATAAAATTTGATTAAGAGTTGAAATCAAATTGTATAATAAATAGACAATTGATATAATTTAAAAAATAAAAATCCTTTTTTTTGACTTCCTCAATTTACTCCTACTTTTATTATGCTCTTTTATTAATTTTTTTAATTTCATCGTTTCATTTATAAATAGTTTCCTTTTCTTTTCCTTAGTTAACACCTTCAAAAAATATTGAAGTATCCTCAACTTTAGGATAATCCTTTCTTTATCTTTCTAGTACGAGTTTAGTATTTAACATATTTAATACTAATAAAAAATGAAATTAATATTATTTTTCAAATATTCTAAATAAGTGAAAATATATTGTTTAGAAGCTCAAATTGAGGAGATAGTTTAATTTATCTCAAAGAAGGTTGATAAATATTGTGAATGGTTGTTTTAATTCAAAAGTTCATAAGTAACCAAATATCAATCAAATATAAATTAGGCACCTTTTTAACATTCAAGTTATTTTGTATCAATAGTATAATTTTTCAATATGTTTTAGATCTACATGCTTAATATAACCTCTTGATTTATATTATAAATAGATTGAAAGTCTAATTTCAACACTTAATAAGAATTGTATCACATATTTGAATTTATATTTGTTAATTAATATTTATTTTATGTTGTTTTATTTTATTAATGAATAAATATAAATTCACTAAAGTAATAGATCCAAATGGCTAATTTTTAAAGACTAAATTGTGTATATTGTTCTGCTCAATTTTAAACAAAGGACTCTATAATGTATCCTATTCACTATAAAAATCAAATATACTACAATATTTAACAAAGTAATGAGAACATTAGAACAATCACGATATCCTAATTAAATGAAGGATAATTCACATTAACATAATAATGTTCTGCAATATTATATTCATCATCCTCTAAATGATTTTACTTTTATTTTTAAATATATTATTAAGATTCTTCAGATATCGTTAATTATTACTAGAACCTTCTCTTTTATCTTTAATTTTTATTTAGACAATATTTAAATAAAGAACATGAAAGTGTAACATTAGAAATTCTTAAAGAAGATTTCAATGATTTTAATCTTTGTTGCTAATATAACTTAGTGCTCTTGGTGGATATTTTTGGCTACAAATCTAATATCTCCCATAAATTATGAGCTATTTATCTTATAGATCCTCTGCATATTGACAAGAATATGCTAATTTTACCTAATTCAAAAAGGCTTGGGATATAATTTATTTTTACATGTAGTTTCTCTTTTATATTATGTAATATATATAGAATCGTTATTGATTTTGAATTACACTTAAACACTATACATATTTACAGATTGCGGATTAATGATTATCACCTACAACTATTACTTAAGGAAAACAGTACAGAAATCTAGTCTAATTTGTAGAATAGGACTCCCTACATATCTATTTATTAGAACAATATGGATGGTTATTAGTACTTTAAATTATTAAACACTTGAGTGTTTGATACTTATCATCATTGTTTTAACTCATTAAGTACTAACAAACTATAAGGAATTTGGAAAATATGAAAAATTCACATAAAATTTTTATCTTAAGCCTTTTAAATAGGGATAAATATTATAAAATTTATAAAATGACAAAGAAACACCCCCACCTGTTTAAAATTATTTCAAATCCTTAATAAGATCATAAAGTAAAATGACTCTTGTTTAATCCCCTAAGAAATGTTTTACTATATAATTAAAAGATCTTCCAGATGAATTGAAATTAAAACGATATTCAAACTTGACAAGCTTTTCAAAATCTTAAAAAAATATTCTTAGTTAAGGTAACTCCCAGTTTTAAATGCTTTAATTATATTAAAATCTAATTAATATATTTCCTTATGGGATATTAATTATTAATTAGCATTAATCAATTAATTATATTAATAATAAATGTGAGAAGATATTAGAATGTTAAGGCATTGAATAAGTGTTGGAAAAAGTGAAAATGTGTGTAAATACTGCAAAAATATAAGAAAATGTGAGTGAAACATCAAATAAATAATAAAAGAAATAACACCATTATCAATTGCTCTAATAAATAATAAAAAAATTATAATTAAATAACACTTCATTTGATGTTTTGGATATCATACTTTAGCCATAAAAATATTTTGGAATTTTAGGACAAAATGAAATATAATTTTACAAAGATTTTTAATAATCATTTCATTAATAGGTATTCATTTACGAATGGCTAATTAAGTCTGAGTAAACATCATAAAATTATTAGAAGAAATTGAAATTGATAATTATGCCAACATCAATGACTAATTAATAGTAAGAATACATTTCAGCTTCATCATAAATTAAATCTTCAGTTAAAAGTCACATTTCAAGTCATTAGAGTGATTAAGAGCATCCAGTTATGCTTATTATAATAAAGAATGTTACAAATAAATACAAATGTCAATAAATGAGAGATGAATAAATTATTCATCATAGTTTAATTAAATCATTTTCACATGAATTACGAACTCCGTTGAATAGTTGTTATCAAATGTTAAATCTTTTGAAATATTAATCAAATTCAAAAGCTTCTTCAGATTATATTGATATAGCATAATGTTCAATAACCTTATTAATCCATCAAATTAATGACATTTTAGATTATGCTGCTCTCCAATCATTTTCCTTCAATTATAATATCACTAATTTTAACATTAATTAAATTACAGAGGAAATTGAAGACTTATATAAAATATAAACTTAATAAAAAAATATCAATTTCACAATCAAAGTTTCAGATTATTTATTAGGAAGGATTTTTCGTAATGATAAACAGAGAATAATATAGCTATTAGTAAATCTATTAAATAATGCAATCAAATTTACTTCTGAAGGAGGTAGCATTAGTTTAAATATAATTGAAGCTGGTTAACAATACATTAACTTTTCAGTCAAAGATAATGGTATTGGAATTGATGAACATAAACTAAATTAAATTTAGAATTGTTTACAAAATACGATTGAATTTGGAGCTGTATTGAAATCTCATTCAAAAATAAAGTAGCCAGGCTTAGGTTTAATTATTGCAGCAAAATTGATAGAAGGTTTGACTGAATCTAAAGATAATAAATTAACTATTAGTTCTAAGAAAAATAAAGGAACAATTGTATAGTTTCAAATAGAAGACTTATAATAAAAGAATTTATTATCCTCTCATTTTCCAAATCAATAAAGCGAAAAGATGAATCATTTAGCAGATCAATCAGAATATAATGTTTAAAACGTTGATTAAAATAAGGTTGTCATGTCGAGTAATAAAACTATAAATTTAGAAAATGATAGAGATTTACAAGAAGTAAAATCAGAATCTTACATTACATTGAGATTAAATGATTTAGAAAAATAGCCTGAAATATATCTACCTATCAGTCCTGACTATTTTAAAAAAAAGAATTTAGATTAATACAATAAAATTTAGAAATAATTACAATCTGATTACTTTAAAAATGAAGATTTACTCTGTTAAAAATGTGTGCACATACTTATAGTAGATGATATTCCTTTTAATCAAATAGCACTAAAAATGATATTAAGTAAATATTAAATTGAAGTTGATTAAGCATTTGATGGATTTCAAGCGATTGAAAAAGTTAAACAAAAAATGCTCAAACATTGTCAAAACTATAAATTAATATTTATGGATATCGAAATGCCAGGAATGGATGGATTTTAAGCAAGTTAGCAAGTATAATTTTCAAATAATAAATTAGATCCTTGAATTAACTTCTAATTAGGCTTTTATTGTGATTTGTTCTGCATATGATACCTAAGAAAACATATAATAAGGTAAAAACATTGGAATAAATACATTTCTTTAAAAACCTGTAAAATAAGATTAATTGAATGTACTACTTGGAACGGTATTTAAAATTGAATCTAATTCAAATTTTTAATTATAATAGTCAAAATTTCATGAAGAATGAAATTTTATTAATAAATTAAAACAATTAGAGAATTTACTTTTTCTTATGATTATTTTAATATTAATTATGTTATTTATTATTCTTAAATATATATGATTTATATGGTGATAGTCACTTGATATGAGAAAAGACATTATAAACATAGATGTTTACTTAAAAAATTCTAAAGAATACTTTCTTAAGATTTTAATTAAAAACTATTTGATTTAATGCTGTTTGGTAAATTAATATATTGACTTAAATCTATGCATCTAATTAATCTGGCTAAAAAGAGTAAATAAAAACAAGTATATCTGCTTAACCTATAAATGAATATGTAAGATTCAATAATATCACAACTAATTTTATAGCAAAATAAATGATAGCTATTTTCAATAAAAGCCCAATTTTCTATATTATATATTGCTTTTCATTGATTTCTCTTAAATTTTTTATTTCATCTTACTTTATTTATCGAATTATAGCAATAACTATATTTTTCTTAATGTTAATAAAGAATACTATATATTTTCTTTATATTACTGTAAAAGTTTGAAAATCCTATATTCTCATATTTTATTGAGATAATGAAAACATCAAGAATAATAAAAATGAGAAATTATTTTTATAGAAATTGGATAATATAGAACAAACAATAGTATTTATTAAAATACAATTTAATTTATTCTACCTGCTCTGATATGGAAAGTACGATTTCCTAATGATTACTTTATGTAATAAGAAGAGATTAATCAATAGCTCATTAATAAAATGATATTTTTTATCTATGCTCTATATTTTTATGAGTCTAATATTATATGCATAAATTATTTTTACAAATATAAAAACTGATTTAGATATATCATAAATCACACTTAAATACTAAAATACGATGTTCATAACAATTCAATAATTGGGTCATAAATAAGTATGACATTCCATTTCATAACAATAAAAAAAAATGATTGATTGGTTTTCGTAGACATTATGTGTTAATTGTTATTAATAACACTAATTTTTTTAGTCTTGACTAATAAATGGCATAAATATTCTGTCTATTTGAAATCTCTTATTTCCACTTTTCCTATTTATCATTTTTTTTTTGGTTGATAAAAAGACAAAATAGCACAGGCTAGAAATGAAGAAGTTGTCTAAAAATGGTCTGATACTACAATATTATTCATAAATATAAAAAAATTCATATTCATGATACATTTGTGATAATATTTTGTTATAAAATTAAGTGGTTTGGTGCATTTAATAAGAGTAATTTATGGATATGTAATTTGCAATTTAATTTTTGAATGGCTGAAAAATAATCCAAGATAGGGGATCACAACGATAAGGAAGAGTCTATAATTCAATTGTTTTTAAATTTAATAACCTGTACCTTTTAAACAGTGTTTGGATATATTTGTTTAGATGTGTGTGTATCGATTAGTTTGCATTATATTACTTAAGAGTAATTGAGTAATTATAAGTAGAATAAATCCAACGTCGAATGCTGGTTATGGTTTTGCCTTGACTTGTGTGTCTATGATTTTGGCTCCAATTGGATTTGGGCTTAATTAATCATTAAACATGCACACCTCATAGGCGTTAGGTGCTAAAAAAGAGTCACTTGCTAAGAGTTATTTAAATGTTAACTTCTACGTTATACTCATTACACTTATACCTCTGGGAATCTTGCTGTTAATTGCAAAATATCCTTTGAGCTTAATTATGGCAGAAGACTAAAGAGAATAAACATCTGATTATTCTCAATAATTCTTATATTATTTGATACCTGCCTTTATTCTTGCATATGAATTTGAAAGTGTAAAATGCTTTATGGTGGCTCATAAAGTAACCTACCCATTTACTATAATCCACTTTAGCACATTATTAACTCATTGGTTTTTTTGTTGGCTTTTCATATCTTGCTTTAAATGGGGAGTACCTGGAGCAGGTATAGTAATAATTCTCACAGAAGTCTTTAACATTGTTGGATTGGTTTGTAATACATTTAATCTTATTTTAGTAATTGTTTAAAATTCAGATTTAAAAAATGAAATTTTTGATGGGACTAAAATCTTATTGGATATAGATAGATTCACGAGTTTAGGGTTTTAGTATATCAAGACTTCTATTCCGATTGTTTTACATCTTTTTTCTGAATTTTTTGTCTTTTTTTCTCTTTCTTTCATTGCATTAAGTTTAGGAGTTTCTGAAATGAATGCTCATATGGGCGTTCAAAACATTTGTGGAATTTATTTTAGTAATATCTTTATACTAATTTAGAAATTCCTATTAGTTTATCTATTGCTATGATGTCATTTGTAGGTAATGAAATGGGTAAAGCAAATATCAGATTGGCAAAAATTTATATCACTATGGGAGTTTCCATTTTTACTATTACATGCCTAATTTCTTCTCTTTTGGTTTGGAATCTATAAGAATAATTGGCAACTTTCTATACATCAAATTAAGAATAAAATAAGTTGGCGCACAAGGCTGAGCAGATATTCTTAGATACTCTTCCATGGATGATAGGTTGTGTTTTATTTGTCGATGGTCTCAAAGGGACCCTAAGTGGAGCCTTAAAAGGAATTAACAAAATTAATCTTGTCTTTGTATTATAAATCATTAATTATCAAGTATTCAACTATCATAAGCATGTATGTTATTTGCCTCCCGATAGTATCCATTTTGACATATTCATGGGGATTTAATTAAGGAGTAGTAGGTATTTGGCAAGGTTTTGGAATAGCAAATCTAATTTTATGCATATTAGATCTAACAATTCTATTTACAGTTGATTTTGATAAGGAATCACAAGCTATTATTGCAAGGGTTGAAATCTAGAATGAAATAGAACTTAAATGTTTCCTTCAAACTGAAGCTGAAACAGTGTGACATATTGTATCTTTATATATCTGAATAATATTTTATTATGGTTTACAATTAAATTAATGTATTTCCATTGGGCATATTATTATATTATCAAAGAAAATGAATAAAGTAGAATTAGAAAATTCTTAATCCTTAACTAATTTCAACAATAATAAGCATCCTCTTGATATTAAGTGCCTCTCTTTATAATAAATTCTGAAAAATATAGAATAAAAAATAGAGAAATTAGTTTTCACCTTACATGCTTTCCTATTATGTTTCATTTTAATACACTTTATTAAGATTTTTTTCAACTTCTGTAATTTAGTGTCTCTTTAAGTTAGTTGAGACTTTTTTTTGACTTAAAATGAATATATATATGTATCACCATTTTTTTAAGAATTTATTCTCATAAATTTAAAATTTAGAATTATAATTCAACGTAAAATACTCATTCCTTTTTAGATGATATTTGTTATCAATTTTATCTCATTACTAGTGGTCTTGAAAAGCCCATCACATACCTTATACCCCTCAATTTAATAAATTCAAAATCACTCAAACCTTATCTAATTTGGAAAATATATCTCTTATTTATGCAACTTCAAATAAATTTATTGTTAAGATTTAATTAATCATAAATCTATAAATGATTATACTTTTTAGTTATCTTTAGCAAAATCTCTAAAAATAATAAAAATTAAAAAGAAGTATTTGAAATAGAATGCTTTTTTACTATAAAATTTTACATTAAGAGGATTTATAATTGCAAAAATTTAGCTATTTTTCGTTTAAGAAGAAATCATTCATAAATATATTTTGAATAGTAAATTTTGGAACCAAAAGATATGTTTTGAAATATAAACTTAAACTTCAATGTTTCGTAGTTATGAGATTTGATGATGGTATTTTTATGAATGGAAATTATGTGATTTAGTAGAGCAACTCATTTTATTCATAAATATTTTATATTTCCACATTTCTAATATGATTCTCACATGATTCTTTGGAGAAATATTGAAAACCCTTAAGAACAATTATCTATAGATTGATATAAAGAATTCAAGTTACATTCTTTGTAGATGTTTAGAAATACAGGGCCAACTAAAATAGTAGGAATACCTATTTTTTGAAAAAGCATTAAGACAGAATTAATTATTGTAATTAAGCAGTATATTTTTAATTTATTTTATTATCCTAACAAAACAAAATAATCTGAATTTTTTATAATCTTTAGAATAAATTACTAATATATTTTATAAAAATATATTTAGTTTAATAGGTTTAATTTTAATACTTGTTTTTAATTATATAATACATGCCATCTAATGTATGTGTATAGTCAATACCTTCTTATGGCGAAGGAGATCGGGTTTGAGTCTTCAGAGTGGTAATTTTTTCAATTTTTTATATTGGATAAGAAGGGAATTATAACTTTTTTATTATCTAACGCTTGATCTCTTTGATTAATCAAAATCAAAAATGAGTTTATTTATCATAATAAATAAAATTCATCACAATATTCTTAACTATTATTTTTTTAGTATTCTATAAAAGTTTTTGTTAATCTAACTTTATTTTCAAAGAAAATCAGTTTAATAAATATGTAATTTGTAAAAAAAAATTGATATTCATCAAATAATAATAGATTTATGGCAAATATAAAATAAATTTCTTTTTCATCAATATACTCTGCAATTTAGTTATTATTTTCTTAATTTATTTGAGAACTTGAATGATATTGTAATTAAAAATCAAAAAAGCCCGAAACTTTTTACTTAAGAAGAAGAGGATATAAAATTTAATAATATTCATTGATTTGAGCTCGATTAGAAATTTTTTTTTGCATTTTAAATTTCTAAATTTATAGAACTAGTCCTAGTATTTAATTTAATAATTAGATTTAGAAATTATTAAGACAAAATAATGAATTACATTAAATTGAATGAAGAATTAGTGAGGAATCTTGATTTTGACAATAAAGATGAAAAATAAAATATAAATCTTTAAATGCTTAGTTTTTGTGATTTCTAGATTGATAGTGATGCTTAAAATTCAGAATATTATTATAAAAAAGGTATACATTAAAAAATGTTGTCTAAGCTATTGCTTTAAAAAATATGAATAGATTTGAAGAAGCTTTGGAGTATTATAATTTAGCAATTCAGAAAAACCCAGGAAAAGCAGAGTATTTTAATGGCAAAGGTATAAATTAATGATAAATATTATTTTTTAGCGATTGCTTTAATGTCAATGAATAGATTTGAAGAAGCCTTGGAGAATTATGATTCAGCTATTCAAAAAAACCCAGAAAACGCAGATTATTATTACGGCAAAGGTATAATGTTAGTTAATTAATTATAGCTGATTTTCTATAAATTATCAATAGACTTGAAGAAGCTTTACTATATTATGATTCAGCTATTCAGAAAAACCCAGAAAAAGTAGATTATTATAATGGCAAAGGTATAAATTAATGATGTATATATCTTTTTAGCAATTGCCCTATTAAAAATGAATAGATTTGAAGAAACTTTACAATATTTTGATTCAGCTATTCACAAAAATCCAGAAAAAGCAGATTATTATAATGGTAAAGGTATAAATTAATAATGAATATTTTTTTTTAGCGATTGCCTTATTCAAAATGGATAGATTTGAAGAAGCTTAAGAATATTTTGATTCAGCTATTCACAAAAATCCAGAAAAAGCAGATTATTATAATGGTAAAGGTATAAATTCATGATAAATATTATTTTTTAGCGATTGCTTTAAGGTCAATGAATAGATTTTAAGAAGCCTTGGAGAATTATGATTCAGCTATTCAGAAAAACCCAGAAAAAGCAGATTATTATAATGGTAAAGGTATAAATTAATAATGAATATTTTTTTTTAGCGATTGCCTTAATGTCAATGAATAGATTTGAAGAAGCATTAGTATAATATGATTAAGCTATTGAGAAAAACCCAGAATAAGCAGAGTATTTTTATGGCAAAGGTATAAATTCATGATAAATATTATTTTTAGCGATTGCCCTAAGGTCATTGAATAGATTTCTAGAAGCATTAGCATGTTATGATTCAGCTATAGAAAAATATCCAGAAGAAGCAGAATATTATTAAGGCAAAGGTATATTAATAATAAATATTGTTATTTAGCCATTGCCTTAATGTCAATGAATAGATTTGAAGAAGCATTAGTATAATATGATTAAGCTATTGAGAAAAACCCAGAATAAGCAGAGTATTTTTATGGCAAAGGTATAAATAACTAATGTACATTTCTTTTAAGCAATTGCCCTATTCAAAATTAATAGATTTGAAGAAGCTTAACAATATTTTGATTCAGCCATTCATAAAAACCCTGAACAAGCAGATTATTATAATGTCAAAGGTGTGAATTCAAGATAAATATTTTTTAGCGATTGCATTATAAACAATGAATAGATTCGAATCAGCCTTGAAGTATTTTGATTAAGCTATTCAAAAAAACCCAGAAAATGCAGATTATTATTACTGCAAAGGTATCGTGATAGTTAATTAATTATAGCTGGTAATCTAGAGAATATGAAAAGATTCGAATAAGCATTGGTTAATTACGATTCTGCGATTATGAAAAACCCAGAAGAAGCAGATTATTATAATGGCAAAGGTATAAATTTATGATAAATATTTTTTTTAGCGATTGCCTTAAGGTCAATAAATAGATTTCAAGAAGCTTTGGAGAATCATGATTCAGCTATTCAGAAAAACCCAGAAAATGCAGATTATTATAATGGCAAAGGTATAAATTAATAATCAATTTTTTTTTTAGCGATTGCCTTATACAAAATGGATAGATTTGAAGAAGCTTTACAATAATTTGATTAAGCTATTCAAAAAAACCCAGAAAAATCGGATTATTATAATGGCAAAGGTATAAATTAATAATGAATATTTTTTTTTAGCGATTGCGTTAAAGAATATGAATAGATTAGAATCAGCCTTGGAGTATTTTGATTAAGCTATTCAAAAAAACCCAGAAAATGCAGATTATTATTACGGCAAAGGTATAATGATAGTGAATTAATTATAGCTGATATTCTAAAGAATTTGAATAGATTTGAAGAAGCCTTGGAAAATTATGATTCAGCTATTCAGAAAAACCCATANCATGATAAATATTATTTTTTAGCGATTGCTTTAAGGTCAATGAATAGATTTTAAGAAGCCTTGGAGAATTATGATTCAGCTATTCAGAAAAACCCAGAAAAAGCAGATTATTATAATGGTAAAGGTATAAATTAATAATGAATATTTTTTTTTAGCGATTGCCTTAATGTCAATGAATAGATTTGAAGAAGCATTAGTATAATATGATTAAGCTATTGAGAAAAACCCAGAATAAGCAGAGTATTTTTATGGCAAAGGTATAAATAACTAATGTACATTTCTTTTAAGCAATTGCCCTATTCAAAATTAATAGATTTGAAGAAGCTTAACAATATTTTGATTCAGCCATTCATAAAAACCCTGAACAAGCAGATTATTATAATGTCAAAGGTGTGAATTCAAGATAAATATTTTTTAGCGATTGCATTATAAACAATGAATAGATTCGAATCAGCCTTGAAGTATTTTGATTAAGCTATTCAAAAAAACCCAGAAAATGCAGATTATTATTACTGCAAAGGTATCGTGATAGTTAATTAATTATAGCTGGTAATCTAGAGAATATGAAAAGATTCGAATAAGCATTGGTTAATTACGATTCTGCGATTATGAAAAACCCAGAAGAAGCAGATTATTATAATGGCAAAGGTATAAATTTATGATAAATATTTTTTTTAGCGATTGCCTTAAGGTCAATAAATAGATTTCAAGAAGCTTTGGAGAATCATGATTCAGCTATTCAGAAAAACCCAGAAAATGCAGATTATTATAATGGCAAAGGTATAAATTAATAATCAATTTTTTTTTTAGCGATTGCCTTATACAAAATGGATAGATTTGAAGAAGCTTTACAATAATTTGATTAAGCTATTCAAAAAAACCCAGAAAAATCGGATTATTATAATGGCAAAGGTATAAATTAATAATGAATATTTTTTTTTAGCGATTGCGTTAAAGAATATGAATAGATTAGAATCAGCCTTGGAGTATTTTGATTAAGCTATTCAAAAAAACCCAGAAAATGCAGATTATTATTACGGCAAAGGTATAATGATAGTGAATTAATTATAGCTGATATTCTAAAGAATTTGAATAGATTTGAAGAAGCCTTGGAAAATTATGATTCAGCTATTCAGAAAAACCCATAAGAAGCAGATTATTATAGTAGCAAAGGTATAAATAATTATAAATATATCTTTTTAGCAATTGCATTAAGGTCAATAAATAGATTTCAAGAAGCCATGTAGAATTATGATTCAGCTATTCAAAAAAACCCAGAAAATGCAGATTATTATTATAGCAAAGGTATATATAATTATGAATTTTTTTTTCTAGCTATTGCTTTATTCAAAATGAATAAATTTGAAGAAGCCTTGGAAAATTAAGATTAAGCTATTCAAAAAAACCCAGAAGAAGCAGATTATTATAATAGCAAAGGTAAAATTTATTATTTATATTTCTTTTTAGCAATTGCATTAAGGTCAATAAATAGATTTCAAGAAGCCTTGTAGAATTATGATTCAGCTATTCAAAAAAACCCAGAAAATGCAGATTATTATAATGGCAAAGGTTAAAATAATAATGAATATTTTTTTTTTAGCCATTGCCTTAAGGTCAATAAATAGATTTGAAGAAGCTTTACAATATTATGATTCAGCTATTCAAAATAACCCAGAAAATGCAGATTATTATTACGGCAAAGGTATAATGATAGTTAATTAATTATAGCTGATATTCTATACATTATGAATAGATTTGAAGAAGCTTTGCAATATTTTGATTCAGCTATTCAAAAAAACCCAGAAAAAGCAGATTATTATAATGGCAAAGGTATAAATTTATGATAAATATTTTTTTTAGCGATTGCCTTAAGGTCAATAAATAGATTTGAAGAAGCTTTACAATATTATGATTCAGCTATTCAAAAAAACCCAGAAAACACAGATTATTATTACGGCAAAGGTATAATGTTAGTTAATTAATTATAGCTGATATTCTATACATTATCAATAAATTTGAAGAAGCTTTACAATATTATGATTCAGCTATTCAGAAAAACCCAGAAAAAGCTGATTATTATAATGGCAAAGGTATAAATTAATGATGTATATTTCTTTTTAGCAATTGCCCTATTCAAAATGAATAGATTTGAAGAAACTTTACAATATTTTGATTCAGCTATTCAAAAAAACCCAGAAAATACAGATTATTATTATTGCAAAGGTATAATGATAGTTAATTGATTATAGCTGATATTCTAAAGAATATGAATAGAATGGAAGAAGCTTTACAATATTTTGATTCAGCTATTCAGAAAAACCCAGAAAAAGCTGATTATTATAATGGCAAAGGTATAAATTAATGATGTATATTTCTTTTTAGCAATTGCCCTATTCAAAATGAATAGATTTGAAGAAACTTTACAATATTTTGATTCAGCTATTCACAAAAATCCTGAAAAAGCAGATTATTATAATGGCAAAGGTATAAATTAAAGATAAGTTTTTTGTTTAGCGACTGCTTTATTCAAAATGAATAGATTTCAAGAAGCATTGCAGTTTTATGATTCAGCTATTCAGAAAAATCTAGAATAAGCAGAGTATTTTAATGGCAAAGGTATAAATAAATGATGTATATTTCTTTTCAGCAATTACTCTATTCAAAATGAATAGATATGAAGAAGCTTTAGAATAATTTGATTAAGCTATTCTTAAGAACCCAAAAAATGCAGACTATTATATTGGTAAAGGTATTTATTTATCTTAAATTTTCAAGCCATTGCTCTATCACATTTGTCAAACTTTGATTCAGCTTTGAAATATTGTAAATGTGCAATTTTGAAAGACCCAAATAATGCCAATTATCAATTGGTTGAAAGTAATATTTCTTATTTTAATAAATAGATTAATTAAAATTAAACAACCATAAATTTAATAATTATTGAACCTTCAAACATTTTTATATAAAAATATGTAATACAAATTTGTGATATCTTATTTAAATTAAGAATTTTTTTAATTTATAATAAACCTAGTATTATATCCTATTGATATATTAATTCCCCCTAGAGAGAAAAAGTGAGAAATTTGTTTTTACAGAACCCAAATTTGTTATGCTAAGTTGATATAATTATTGTGATATTCTTATTGAAAATTGTAATACTCCCTTTTGAAATTTTAATAGGAAAAAATTTTAAGAAAAAGTGATTTCACTTAGAGATATTTAAGATAACTTGTAAATGGTGATAAAAAGTTTTTTCGAAGACCTCCCCCTTTAATTTTATTACAGGAAAAATGAAGAGTTTTCACCTTTGATCTTAGGATTGTACAAAATATCATAATTTTAAATGGCCCAAAAGAAATTTGTATTACCAACCCTCTTTTGAAAAAGTGAAGATGTTCTTTTTGGAGGGTTCATTTACACATTTTCTTTGAAACCAACACAGATGTACACATGAGGTTTGATTTTAGAATTGTATCCTCTATTAATTGATGTATGACATCTTGATATATAAGAATAATGATTTTTTTAAATAAAAGTATTATTTTTTTAAAAGCTTTTATTTTTTATACCCAAAATTTAGTATGACCCTTCAGATAAAAGTCGCTTATCCAGGAAAATAATACATCCCAAACAAACAAATAACAACTCAAAACATCCAACACTTTAGGGGTCATCTCCGAGACGGTAGAGGGGGCTGGTGTTTACTAAAATAATAATAATAGCCCGCCTAGGTAATGATAGTAATTCGGGGCCAAGGCAGAAAAGCAATTTTGAGGAGTGGTGTTGGCGAAGGCGTTATTAAAAGTCATACAATTTGAAAAAAATTATCAATTTTGCAAAAATTTAATCTAAATAATCACAATAAATTCATAAACTTTTCATATTTCCTCTTAACAATTATAATTTTGAAAATTTTCATAAACAAAATTAACTTTTAATACCATTTTAAAAACACATAATTAAAAATAATAAAATAATAACAAAAAATTTTTTTGAATAATTGGAAAAAATTGAAAATAAAAAAAAAAGTCTTCATCCTAACAACAATTATCACATATATTAATTATTGTGATTGATAATAAAAATGTAATAACAATAATTAACATTTTATCTCTTTTATCTTAAATTATACAAAAAAAATGAAAATAGCTTTATCAATTACAATATACATGAAATCAAAGAATTGAAAAACAATAATATTTAATAAAATAAGAGATCAAAAATTATTTCTGGATTTAATTGCAAAAATTTTAATCGATTATAAAGTATTTTTGAGATATTTTGTTGATAATTGAATAATAGGAATTGGTAGAATTTTTCAGAATTTCAAGGAATCTCTATAATTTTTATTGAGGGCATGTTTGTTAGTTGTCAGTTCAATAGATGGATCAAATTGTGATTTATACTTAAATAATAAAAATTCTACAATTCAATATTTTAATAAATTAAAATAAATAAACAAAAAACAATTGTTAAAGAAAATTATTAAACCAAAAACAGTTTTCTTAAATTATTAGAAATTAAATATTTTTATCATTATTTAATTTGATTATTGAATCAAATAATATGAGCACTATTGATAAAATAAATAATGAATACTTATAAACACTTTGTAAATAGTCTTTTAAAAATAGAATTGAAATACTTTTTATAAAAAAATTAGTAATGGGACTAAAAGTAAAAAATGGCGCATAGAATAATCAAACGACTAAAATTTATATGAAAAGATAATATTATTTAAATATTTTATATTTTCTCCTCTCCCTAACAGGGTGAATTAATAATTATAATGAAAAAAACTAAAAAGTTTGTAAGAAATATTGTCATGATATGATTAAATTAATTTGAATCTTAAATTTTAAACAGAAAATTTGAAAACTATAAATTATGAAATTAATAAAAAAATTTGAATCAAATATTTCATGATGAATAGAAAAAATACATCAACCCAAAATTATCATAAAATTATGAAGAATTTAAAAAATTATATCTTAAAAATAAAAAAATTGAAATCTACAATTCCAAATCCTAAAAATGTGATAAATACATTCAAAACAAATATTGAGAAAATGAGAAATATTAAAAATTATCTTAATCATAGCAAATTAAAAAATTTAAAGATTTTATTCAATCATTCTTCAAAAAAATAAAAATAATTAAAAAAAAAAAATGGTAAACAATAATTTCAAAATAGTTACATTGCAGTATTGAATCTTAGATTATATTCGAATCCGTATTTATTTAATATGTTTCATCATTTTATTTTTAGATCATTTTAAATTATCCTACACTTAACTTTTTATAATTGGTTATCTCTTTTAATTTACTCTTGAGTATTTTGATAAAAAAGAAATAACATATAATTAAATAAATAAACATTGAATAGAAATGAAACAACAAGGTCAAATTGTAAAAATTAGAATATAAACTCACCTTTTTAGAAGAATACGAAAAACTAATAATATATGAAAAGCTATATTTGTTAAGTAATTAAAAAATCATATTTCTAGAAATAAACGTTGGTAGAAAGACTGTTAATAATATAATAGAAATTGTAATATTATTCAGATAATAATTAATGATAATTTGAGCTATTCCTTGGGGATATAATTATAAATTTTTTTTCATTTATTATTCTTAATTTTATCGATTGAACTATATTTTTATTAAATGTAAAATTATTAAGATGAACAGAATGGTGCAGGTTAAGTATAGTAACTATAATTTAAATATGAAATTTTATTAAAGGATCTACATTCTAACTCAAATTCTCAATTGATAATCTCGAAAAAAATCATCTATAGAAAAATCAAAGAAATTCAATATTTACAATTGATTATTGGAATCATGTAAATCAATAGTTAAAATAATATGAAATATTGAGCTAATTTTAATTGATGGGCGATCGAATAAATAATTGTAGATCCCCAAAAGCAGAATACTCTTTGAAGATTGGATTAGCAAATCAATTAATATTAAAAATCAAATTCAAAGGCAATCTTTCAAAAATCATTTCTTTTTCGAAATGCAAAAATTACTTAATAATTTAAATCTTGTCACTATTTTAGATGAGATGACAGAAGAAAAAATTTAGAATTTTTTATGTAAAATGCATGTAATAATTATTAATCTCTAAAAATAATCTAGATTTGATTTTGAATATTAAATCAAAATATGGCAATAAAATACTCAAAACAATATTAAGTTGTTTAGATTCTGATTGCATAAATCACAATTATGCAGAAATTCTTTATCATTTATCAGGAGTAAATTATTGATAAATATATATATGTTGCTAACTAAGAATCCAGATAGGCTTTCATTTGTAAGATCGATCATGTCTTAGGCCTTTTAAATTTAGTTAGAAAATTAAAATGATTCATATTGTAACTATAGAATTGATATATGAGGATGAAGTAAAGTATGAGATGGTTTTTTTAATATTTTAATAATAATTTATTGTTATTTTTTGATACTAAATAATACCCAATAAAATATCAATTTTTTATTAATTTTATTTTTTTTATCAATTAATAATACATTAAATTGAAAATCTAATAAGAATAAATTTTAAAGAAGAAAGCCTGCATCTGATTATTAAATTTTATATCTTTTCATTTTTGATATTTTTCCGAATTTATGCTATTTAATTTGATACATCTGATAAATTTTCTATCAATTTATTATCTTTTTCCTTTATAAGAAACTTCAAAAATTCATTTATAAATAATCTATTTTATTCAATTTAGGAACATATTTACCTAACTTTATTAAAATTTTTAAATGATTTAGTATAACTTCATTGATGAAATTTATATTAAATAAATGTATGTAATCAGAATCTACTATATCATTATTTATATATTAATATTCATATATTTTAAAATAAAACAACTCTCATATCTATTAAATATAATAAATCTTACTTATCTACGATTTATTATTGATAGTAAAGACTATTCTTATTTCAAGAAATTTTCATTATCGATTAAATCAATATTTAATTTGCATTCTAACAGAGCTAAACTTGCATAAAAAAGGTTCTTTCGAAAAAAATATTTAAGCTCATATCAGTTAAAAATACTGTTGTTCTGATGAAATTAAATATTTTATGATGACTTTTGATAATATGGAAATCAAACCCTTATTCATCAATTGTA